TCTCCTAACTATGTCCCTTACTTTGCCCAAGTCTTCCGCTGCTCTACCGCTAACCTCTTTTGCCCTACCCATCTCTGTCCTAAGTAGTTTAAATTGAAAGCGGTAAACCGCTTGGTCTGAAAACACTCCATTCTCAGGTACTCTAAACCGCAAAAAAACTAGGTATTATATCGGTATCTAGGCATTTTCTCAGAAATTTAAGGCGATATTGGATATTGTTAACTTTATTAACTACTTTGTATATTTCAATACAGTTTTCCACAAAAGTCTTTTTCTGAGAATGAATCTAAGGAACGTCGGTGGAGAATGCACTATGTTCATTGCACTGCTGGCAACGAGCAACAAAAACTCACAAGGCGCTAACAGCTTAAATCCCAAAATGCAAGTCACCTCACTGTGGTTCTGGATTGTCGTCCTTCTGCTGTCTATCCACAGCTTCCCGCTTCGTCTGTGCCCTGTGCCGGGTCTGCGACGGTCTTTTGCTGCTTCTTCTTTTGGAAATCAGCTCGGACAACCGCTCCTTGTGCTTTTTTATCATATACTTATTGTATATCTTTTTAAAAAAATTTTCTTTTTATTATATATTTATTTTATCTATTGTTTCTAGATTTAATTGTGGGCTTCAGTATCTCGCCATGCTCAAGCTTTTTCAGCGCATTGTTTTTGTATTTCACAATTTAGCTATATCGTATTAAGTTTTCAAAAAAAAAGATCTGAAAAGCTTCAGTATTTGAAGTTGTCATTTCTATTGTGGTGTGCTGTTAGTGTTTTAGCGTTGTTTTCAGTTCTATCTTGCGAATACGACTTAGAAAATTTTTTTAAATTAGTTTTTAAATCAAAGATCTGAATAACTTCACAATATTTGAAGTTGTCATTTCTATTGTGGTCTGTTAGTGTTTTCGCATAGTTTTCAATTCTTTCGAATACGACTTTTAAAATCCTTTTAGTTACAAGAAAGGACGTTTTCATAACTTTGTAAAATTTTTGTAAGATAAAAAGAGGTATTATGAAAATGTAATGGATTTTGTTTTCTTTTTAATGTTTGAGACGCTTGTTTTTTTTGTCATTAAGTTTCATCTCTAATACGACCTAAATTGCGCTTTTATCTGCGTGTATACCCGTTCCACTAGTCTTTTATTGCCTTACTAGACTTTCTACAGCCTTGGAAATATTGACAGCCTTGGGGTAATATTTGATCCATATTTTTTTGGATTTTTTTCATTTTCTCAAAATTACCTTGCGAAGTCTGAGATTTTGGGTTGAATTAAAAAATGGCACGGTCTACTGAAAAAACGGTCTAGCGAATAAGCATTTACAACCCTTCTTTGAACACAAAGTTCAGGACCTCGCAAAAGTCGATCTTTCGTTTCTCGAAATTTAAATTTTATCGAGAACTAGCCTCTCAAATCTGAGGTTTTGTCTTCAATCAAGAGAACGGTTTGTGAAAAGCTCCTCTGCATAATTGATTTGTTTCACAGAAAGTTAAGTTCCACGGAAATTTATTTTTCAACTGTTTAATGAAATTGACCTCGGCCAATCCATATTTCTGTACATACCATTTGTCTTTGCACTTAAAATGGACATTACTAACAGCGGTGTACAAAAGGCGTTTCGTTGTACTTCTTGATAAGGTGGCTCATTCTGGCTGTATATTTTCTTAAGCGAGGTCAAAAGCATATTTGAGTGGTTTATTTGTGTATAGGCTTTTAACATCCAAGGAAATGATACTCTCTTCAGAGTCTGATTTAGTATTCTCTATCATATCCCTAGCTGGTTCAATGTTGGTCTCAATATTTGCACCCTCGATTTATCCAGAAAATTTGCTAGTGTTTTATTCAGTTTCTCATAAGAACTACCGGGGAGAGAGAGGACGGGTCGGTGTGTTGTATGCTTTTTATGTACTCTACCCAGTCCATAAAATCGTGCAGGTTGACCTCAACCTTGCTTATAAGCCATCTGTAATCTCATCCCTTTTGTTTTGCCAGTTGTTCTTTTCTAAGTTTTTTTTCTTCAATTTTTTGAGCAAATGCATCATTCATATTATCATATCTCTCAAACTGTTCTGATACTAGAAATTGGGTCAGTTTTCTTTCATATGTATGTTTTTTTCTGATGCAAAACCCAACAACTTTATCAAAAGATACCGCCACTAGTTCGTTGTTTTTGAGATATTTCCTAGTTTTTTTCAATTCCCATAGCACGGAGTCTGGCGTAATTTCTTTGAGTACCACTTAAGAGCCGCTTCAATTTCACATAAATTTTTGCCAAGCCCGTCATACTTCTTCAGTTCCGACAAAAGATATCTACACCTGCTAAAAAGTGATTTTCATTAAATTTGTCTCGGACTGGATGTTAAGGCCCCATAGACAGTAACTCTTTTTTTTGTCATTAAGTTTTTTCTCTAATACTACCTAAATTGCGCTATTATAGGCGTGCATACCCATTACACTACTCTTTTATTGCCTTACTAGACTTTCTACAGCCTTCGAAATATTTACAGCCTTGGGGTAATATTTGATCCATATTTTTTGGATTTTTTTCTTGTCTCAAAAGTACCTTGAGAAATCTGAGATTTTGGGTTCAATTAATTAATGGTACGGTCTACTGAAAAGACGGTCTAGCGCATAAGCATTTACAACCGTTCTTTTAACACAAATTTCAGAACCTCGCAAAAGTCGAACTTTCGTTTTTCGAAATTTAAATTTTATCGAGAACTAGCCTCTCAAATCTGAGGTTTTGTGTTCAATCAAGAGAACGGTTTGTGAAAAGCTCCTCTGCATAATTGGCTGCACTCACTTTTCGTTACCCAGAAAGTTCCACGAAAATTTTATTTTTCAACTGTTTAATGAAAATGACCTGTCTCGAAAACTACCCTTCCAAATCTGAGATTTTGAATTCAATCGAATTAACGAGTTGTAAGAACTTCTCCTGCATACTCAGCTACGCTCAAGTTTGGTACAAGAAATTTTATGGCCATCAGAAAATGCACTTTTTAAAAACGGAACTGCCAAATCTGATATCAAGTGTTTAGAAGAACTAACAGGTTACAGAACGCCTCTCTACTTAAGCGACTTCTCCCTAATTTTTAAGAAAAACAGTAGAGTTCCTCGGAAAGTTCAATTTGTTTTAGAACACAGTTAAGGACCTCGGAAAACTCAAGTTTGTACTACAAGTTTTTTTTCTAAAATAATTGCAACCTTGCCGCTTTTGGTTCACCTTTACCTTTCTGTGCTTCGATATTCGAATAGTTTTAAATAACTACAGTTGATAAATTTTAAACTCATCATATGAACCAAAAAAAGTTATTTGTTTCAAACATAACAACATAAAAACTCGATTTCAAGAAATTTAATTCAATATATCTCACAATTTTGCTTTATGCTATCCAATTTATTACATGCAAAATTGTTTCTGTTTCTATTTGGTGTCACTTTTGCTGCAGAGCATTGGCAATTTGTTAGCATAAATAGCTGCTTTATTTGCGACAGGCAAACACTTGTCACTTTGTAAAGCTACTTTTTGTCTTCTTGCAAGCGTTTGCGGAGAGCAGCTACGCCTCTGTATTACTCTGTTTCAAAAATTGTCCTGCCAATTCTCAGATTAATGGTTTATTGGTAATACATAGTTGGAGTCTTTGCCGCATGAACCGGTAAAAACTTCAGTCGGAAAAAACAATGGATGGGAAGCGGCCCTTCATAAGTGTCTCCGCGGGTACCGGTTCTATCGAAAGAACAAGTTTTGGAAATCTTTCCCGCAGAAGCAGCTACAACTTTTTGTAGCTCAACTGTTATCACCTATGAAAAAGCCAATTATTTTAGATTTCGATCATTTTTTGAAAGATGTTTTTTTGTTCAAAAACAGCACCGTCAATTATGAGGTTCATAGTTAAATTGAAATAACAAGGTGCAAAGCTCTGCCTGCATAAATGTTTACAGTCTTCTTCAGCTTTAGCTGGGCTCTTGGTTTTTGGGAAAAAGTGAAGAAAAATTTGAATTTTTCAATTCTCATTTGGGGCAGTCTCAGGGTACTATCATAAGTGGCTAATTTTGCCTCCAAAATTGGCAGCTCAAATGCTTTTTCGTTTTCGAGATATGCCATCTGTTATTGCCTTTAAAAAATTTTCACAAAACTTTCTCTTTGTAGTTCTCAATTTTATATTGGAGTGCTGTGTTATGAGGTGTGTTATGAACGCTTTTGTGTTATAAGGTGATTAAAAGTTTAGTTTAAAATTCTAACTTTATGGTGGTGTGCTGCTAGAATGCTCTTTTCAGGTATCAATATGGACTCCAAATGTGACTGCTCAACGCCTTTAAGTCTTATATCAAAAGCGTTATATTTTGGAAACTAAAAGTTATAAAGATTTCCATGAATTGAAACTTAAACATAAAAACTACTGCTCAACCTTATAAAAATACTTATCAGCCTCGAAATTCTCGACCATATAACAGGGTGATGCCAAGTTACTCCCAGGGGTTTCAGATGTGCCTCCAAATGTGTAGATGAATAAAAAAACTTAAAAAATCAAATTTTCAAATTACGCTGTGGTAGACGATTGATGAGAGCAAACGATTTACGTACGGGCTAATGAAAATCAATAACTAAGTTGGACAAGAATCTTATTTTTGAATTAAGTATTTTTTAAAAATGTAAGTTCTTCCCCAAGTTTTTTTGAAAAATGCAGTTTTATGCTGTTGGCCATATGAGAGGTTTATTTCTGAGTTAAAATAGGAAAGTCTGAAATCCAGTAGTTATGGAAATATGACCATTTAAATATGGCAAAAATTAACCTTGAAGTCGAATTTGTTTGTAAATGTCATAGAAACCGTGCTGGATGCCCCCCCCCCCCCGTCTGTACTTAGTCGCATTTAATTTAGTTCTTTTTTCCTATATTTTGTATAAAAGTAGTTTTCACGGTGGTCAATCTGTTTGAAGCACCGGAGGTGCAAGTTACACGCTAGTTTTAGTGATGTCTGATGTACTCTGACTTCATCTTGTTTCAGGCGGCGCCAGTCCTCCGCCGATGGCTGGAGGTGGATGAGGTTAAAGAGGCAGCCCTCACTCGATCGAAACTAGTTTCTTTAAACATGAATCGACGTCTCTTGTCAACTATGCAATCAAGTTGTCGATGAAACAGACTCCTAGTTCAGAGACTTCATGTTTTGATCTAATTGAGTTGAAGTGCTGCTTTATTTAGATGTTCAGTTTTGGCAGATCTTAATCATGTGACATAGATTATATTTGTCGACGTATGGCGAGTTTCCTTCAAACTCCTCTGGAGTGAGGAACTCTGAAGATGATGTTGATTTGTCTATTTTTGATCATCGTTTCGTGTTATTTTGCCTTATTAACGATCTATGATGTGAAGTTGTACATGTATTACAGTAATGTAAATAGTTACTTAAGTTAAATGAAATTACTGGAAATAATGCAGTATATGGGTAGTATAAATTTTGAAAAAGTTTAATAGGTAGGTTAAAGGGCAGTATATAATTTAACATTCAGTTAGTATTTTCTTCTCGAAATATGTTAAGGAGATGTTAAGAAGACTGAAACTGTTGATAACATGTTTCTTTCATCATAAAAATCAGAATTGAGTATTAAAATATAGTGTCCAAATAACGGTTTCAGGTCTTTTATGAGTCATGTGAATTTGGACCAGAGATCATCTGTATATGGTTGTTAGTTAGCTAAGTAGTTAGTAAGTCAGTGGAGATAACCATTAAAGATGTGGGTGCTGCCCGAAGAGATTCTGTTGCCGGGTGCTTTCTGGGAGACCCTGAGATCGAATGAGTTCTTCTACATGCAGCAGAGCAGAGGAGCAGCTAAGAAAGGAATCTCAGGTAGAAATTATATCTTCGCCGATGAATAAGTTCTGAACAATTTCGGCGATGAATTTAATCATGTCGGAAATAGTTTCAATCTGAATACGCTTGTAGAAAACAGATGTTATTTTTACACATCGTCAGCTTACTGTATTAATGAGAACCTCCTTTTTTTCTAACCTAAGTCGCAAATATGACCCCACTTTTGGGGCAACTTTACAGCTTTTTGATGTGCTTTGACTTTCAAATTATAATAAATTAGCACAGTTGTTGCTTTTTGTAATTCATCAAATGGTTCGAAAAAGTATTTATTTCAAACAACATATAGTTCGAAAAAAGTATTTATTTCAAACAACAACAATAATAAAAGTTCGATTTCAGTAATTTTCTAACTCAATATATCGCAGTTTTTTTAAATGCATAATTCATACATAATGTGATTTTATGCTTCGCGATTTGTTACCTGCAAAGTTATTGTGGCTGCCTTCAGTTTGTTATATTTCAAATTATTACTTGCAAAATTGAGTCTATTTGTGTTTGGTGCCACTTTTGCTTAAAAGAATTGGCAATTTCTTATCATATGTATCTGCTTTATTCGTGACTACTGCTTGTCGGTGGTTGAGCTTGAGTGGTTAGTGCGTGAGACTCAAAATAGCTGATTGCAGTCGGTTGCAGAGAGATTCCTAGACCTGATGCTAGTGAGCAAAAATCAACACAGAGGTCAAAGCTAGAAAACACAACACAGAGGTCAAAGCTTGAAAACAGTCGGTTTTTTTGTTGATTGTATTATGACTTAACCTTGATGAAAACTTTCTAAAATTAAGAGATGCCAGCTTATGTCATTTTTTTTCTTGATACGAGAAACATTTCAAAAATAAGCAATAAATCCTAAATCTCAAGTAATCTGAAAACAAAAAATGTACAAAATTTCAATAGTCAGAAGCAAAATAATTCTGTAAATCGGTTCCATCCTTACCAATGGTCACGCAGTGATTTCAATAACCTTGCTATGCCTCCAAACCACTAATATAATTATATGCAGAGTTACTATCGCTAAAGCTAGTTAAGAAGAAATTGGTATAAGTCTGGTATTTTTGTTTTGGAGTTTTCAAAATTGCCAATGTTAACAAATAACCTCTTAACTAGCTTCTTTGTGCTTATGTTCATCGATTGCAACGAAATAATCATTTTTCGAGAATTGCAAAAATTCGAAAAAAGTAATAAATTTCCATGGGTTGCCAATTTTTTTTCCATTAAGTCAAGTTGGGTGCCTCTCAAGCGCACTAATAACATCACTATAGTGCCTCTCCAGCGCACTTTACCTTTAACATATTTATTAGTAATTTAATTTTTACTAATGTTAATACTTCTCATTTTATTGATTTTATTGTCAAATTTACTTTTATGCTGCGGCGACATCAACCCAAATCCAGGTCCAATTGTACAATTCAATGACATATCGGAGAGACTAAACGATTACAAAAACAACATAAAAATTCTACAGCTAAACTGTAGGAGTTTAAACAAAATAGATCAAGTCTAAAAAAACTATTAAAAACATGTTGGTTAAACACACTTTATGGGTTCTCTGAGACATGGTTTAATGACTCTAATGATTACAACTTGTGGACACTAGATAGTGATCATTTTGTCTCCTTTCGATGTTATAGATCAGCAGTTGCAAGCGAAAAAACAAAAGTAGGGGGCGTCATGATACTCATTCCTAAAATCTTAAACCCTAAACTACGCACAGATCTAAACTTATTTCATCAAAAGTATGACAGCATCTGGGTAGAATTTAAAACATCACAGAACAAAACTGAAAAATCAACACTATTAAATTTTTCCTATAATCCAAATAAATCCAACAAAATAGAGTTTGTCGATGAATTTGCTCTGTCAGTTGACTTCGCACAATCCTATAATTCAAATATTGTTCTCATGGGCGACTACAACCTTAACTATTTGAATACCGAAGAAAAAGAATCCTTGGATACAATTTTAACGCCCTATAATTTAGAAGTTGTCAATAAATCGACGTCAACTCACTCAAAAACACTGATTGACTATATTATCACAGATTTAAACTCAAACGAACTGAAGAACAAAAATATAAATTTCACTCCACCAATTATAACTGATCACTTAGCTACAATTTTGATATCTGAATTAAAGTTAGTTGATTAAACTGTGCCATTTAAGTGCACCATCTACGATAGATCAAAGTAGTCAGAAAAAGTATCAAAACTGCCGTCACAAGCATTAATTGGGAGTCTTTCTACAGGCAAATTAATAGATGCGCACCACTCAAAACAGTCTACATTCGTAATGACAAACCACAAGTCAACCTGAAAGACGATAGTTTCATATCGAAAATATTTAATCCTAAAAGAACTGAGCGACAGAAATGGATTATAATTAATGACACAAGAAACTCGAAAAGTTCAGCAAAATCACACTACTAAAAAATTCATTTGGTGAAGCGATAACAAACAACTTGAAAACGGCAATCTTTATGAACTACAAGTTTTCTAGACTCGGAAGTTTTTTTGGGGAGAAAATAATGAAAAAGTAATTGATTCAACCATCAAAAAAACACGAGAACAAAAAAAAGCAACTTAAACAAAAGTTTTGTTTCCGGTTTGTAAGTGAAATTGAACGTGAAAAAAAATTATAATTTTAAACGCAAATAAACCACCCGAACCTTCTAATCTTCCAGCCTGGGCTCTAAAAGATAGGTGCAATGAAATATATCCACACGTTACATTTCTTATAAATGAATTTATTAAGTACAATTTATTTCCATTTAGACTCAAAAGAGCGATTGTTACGCCAATATACAAAAATGATGACCCAGAAACGGCAGAAAACTATAGACCAATCTCTATAACAGGTGCACTCTCTTAAGTGTTTGAGAAACTACTATACAAACAAATCAATGAATACTTATTATCTAATAACCTGCTCAGCAAAACCCAATTCGGTATTAAAACCTATTCAACGATGGACGCCATCCTTTATTGCACTGAGTTCTTCCGCAAATCAATGGATGAAAATAAATATGTTGCCGTATCTTAATTAGATTTATTAAAAGCTTTCGAGTCTATCAACCACGATCATTTAAAGAACAAATTGTATGATTTGGGTTTCTCTGAATCGGCAATTGAAATGATTCATAGCTTTATAAACAATAGACAGCAGAAAACTGGTAAATATTACTGAATCCAATTGGATCTCACTTCACCAAGGCGTACCTCATGGTACAATTTTGGGACCCCTAATTTTCAACCATAAATGACTTGAACAAAAATTTAACTGAATCTTGCTAAGTAATACAATATGCAGATGATACACTACTATTTTGTGATGATAATGACATCAACAATGCTCTACAGCTGTTGCAAAAGTCCTGTGAGAATTTGTCTCTGTTCTTCACAAAACATTCTCTAAAACTCAACACAAAGAAAACCGAGTTGATAATATTTAGCGAAAAACATCAAGGCAGAAACCATAATTCAAAGTTCAATATAATATTAGATGATAACAAAATAGAAGTAGAGCCAGAAGTTAAGTATTTGGGGGTAATTGTCGATCAATTTCTAACCTTTCAGGGAGAATTTGAAAATATATTAAGAAAATATATTAAAAAAAAACCACTGTCAATAAAAAACCGATTACTATTATTGAACGCTTTAGTCATAAGCCAGCTGCACTACCCAGCAATACTATTAAGCAGTTTGACATCCAATCTAGTGATATCACTTGAGAAACAACTCAGTTGGGCAATAAAGACCTGCTGTGACAGAAGAAAATTTGATTGTTCATCCGATCCTAAGCTGGAATACAAGGTACTTCCGGTTTCCTTGTTTCTTGATTGGAAAAAAATTTGCCATCTATGGAAAATCCAACATAAACTACTACCGGCATACACAAAAATCAAGTACGTGAACAACATAACTGAAGAGAACAAAAGAACTAAAAACTACACTTTCAAGCAAAATTCAGCAGCCATTATATCGAAAATTGTTTTTTTTTTCAGAAAATCAGTTCTTATTTGGAACCAAAATGCAAATTCAAACATAAACAGCTGCAGTTTGACTTACAAGACTATGAAGTTTAAATTTAGGGAATATTTTCCATCTATTTTTCGTGAAAATCCTTCTATGGCAACCTATGGAAAAACAACATGGAAACAATTTAAGTTTATTTGATGTTGAAATTCGAACCATTAATTTAATTATTTTGTAAATATGTATATAACCCAGAAAAGTTGTGTGACCTACACTTGCTTAGTAATTTTAATTATCATTTTGCAATAAAAGTGTTCATTTTTTGAAGTGTCGATATTATTTCTATTTGTCTCATTGATTTTGACGAGTAGCGTGCCATGCATTTTTTTGCAAAGCTCAGCCTCTGTCTCCCATGTCGATTAAAATAAAGTGTGTACTTAACAACCTTTATCAAATCGGAACAGACTTTTTTTCTGTGAATAACTTGCTGTGTAGAAGCACTGAATCATTTGATGACTCGATTACCCTTGCGATAAGAAAGCGTATCGCACTCGGGTAGTAGAAATTTTTCCTTAAAAAGATTTTTGTTCCTAGGATCTGCAAGTTTAAGAGCTCCATTTCTAGCCAAGTTGTTCGTTTTACAGCTTATTTAGAGCTTTTGCAGTATTACTTGGTCTTCAGCTGAGAAAAAATTCAGATATAATTTGATTTTTTCATTTTTTTTATTTCGTCCCAATTTTGTCGTCTTACTGGTTGTTTTTGGTAGATTATTCAAGTACTTTTATTTCACGAGGGTCATTATAGTTCTTGGTTTCTTGGTCTTTATACACGCCAAAATTTTCGGTTACAAAAGAAATTTTTTTTTGAAATAAAAAGGGGCCATCATTCAGATTTTTGGATGCATGGTTTCTGATTTGTTTTTTTTTTTCATATCTAAAAGTGCGCGGAATTTTTTCTACACGTTTGGATTAGAGGTAGTATCTCTGCTTGGCAATATGGATGTCTAAGGCTCGAATCTAGCCAGAACCTGTTCTTATAGCCAACATTTTCCGGCTTTAACAAATAATTGTCGGCTTATCGTGTTTTATTTTTTGTCGGCTTAGTCGCCATAGCTCGGGCTTTTCTGGTTTTTTAAACAGTTGTCTGTTCATCTCAAAATCGGTTTTAAAATTTCCTGTAAGGGTGCAGGCGGTTTCGTTGCATGAAATTTGCTGTTATTTTTGAAATTTAATTTGTGAAATGCAGCGCATGGAGCCTTGAATTTTTTAAATTGAATTCATAATTGGCCTTTGACTCGTTTGAATTCATGATTTTCTCTGATTACGAAAATGGAAAAGAAATTATTATGTTAACGAAAAGCAAAACGGAGTTTTCGTTCCTTCATAGTACTCAAAAGCTCCATTCAAACATTGTTTCTATTCTAAAGGAATGTTTCTGGGTACAGTGGACACCCTGATTGACGCCAAGTCAGCACCCTTCCGCATCATCCTCCACACTCCAGACAGTGACGTGTACATGTCAGTGGCAGCGAGTCACTCCAGAGAAGAGATTGACGAAGATTGGGATTGGCTCGAGCAGAATATACTAGCTGCTCTCGTTAGCTTTGAACAGAGATATGATGATGTGCGAATTTACGTGTCCACTAAAATTGGTAAGTCCTAGTGCAAATAATAGGTACCCTTGAGCATCAAAGTAAGAAATAATTACGCCTGCCATTAGCAGACCTTATAAAAACACAGGAAAACTGTCCAAACCCTCCTTAAAACTGGTCAATTATGACCCATTTTGACGCTTGTTGTTCTGACCGCTTGTTCCGACGATTTCCGGTGTTTTATTTTTCTAATTTTTTTCCACGCAAAATCAGGTACCACAAATTATGATCGGAATGAATCGAGTGATATATCAGACTAAAGCCCATTTAATCGTGATTCGAAGAACATTAAATAAATATCCCAATGTCGAGAAAACCGGCTTGAAGTTTTTGATTTTTCGTCTAGTTTCCACCGAATAAAGCGAACAAATAAAGAGATTGTAACTTGTTCAATTGATCATTTTGTTTAAAAAAAAGCCAAATTTTTCCGATCAAAAACAAGTTTTGAAAGCTTTGTTTGGCACTTCCTTGACCAAAAAATTGTGTTTTTGAAAAAAAAAGTTCTGCAAAGTTTCATTTTTTGTTGGTTATATTTTTTTGAAGACAACTGTATTGGATTATGTCTAATTAACCAACTTTTTAACCATGTGTAAAGTATTATCACTTTGCGCACAAAAAAAGACTAATTTGGAGAAATTATTAATTTGCCTTTTTTTGCTTGTCCAGATGAAAAGTTTTCCACTTTAATCTACAATTTTACCACGCAGTAAAATTGTAGATTAAAAATCAGCTTCGAAAAATTCAGATAATTTGAGTAAAAAATCTGTTGAACTTTTTCTTCAAAGAAAAATTTTTTTGATTATCCTTAATTACCCTTTGCAATCGTGACTAGACTTCACCCACCCCCGGGAACAGCTTTTTTCGCAGAATCGTAGAACTCATTAATGTTTTGTTTTGGTTCAGTTCATAATGAATTCAAATTAATTGCGTCTTCGGCTCACTTTGGCTGGGGGTAACAAATGTGCCTGGGACGGCAAAGGTCCTAGGTTCGAATCTGACAAGAACTATTTTTTTTCAAATGGTAAATAATCCGTTTCAAAACAAAATTGTTGGCTTATTATTGTCTTCTCATATTTGGCTTTGTTGCCATATTGTCGGATTGTTTTTTTCTACATTATAATTGCTTTGTGTTCTGATTTACCTCTGCTGTTTGTAATTTTTACTACCCTTGATTCCGTGTTTTTAGCTTGAAATTTCATTCTGCCCAAATGATTTCGTTCTAATTTTATTCATTTAGTGGCCCAATTTCGAGTCCTTTCTACTGAAGCATATAATATTCATTCACCTCTGGAGCGCTCAAACTGCTTACAATCTTAAAAATATATAATTCAAATTTTTCATGACATCCTTTTTCGACTTCATTTGTTTCGACGTATACTATATCGGCTTATTGGGCTCATGTTGCGTCTTTAACGAGCGAGAAAAGTTTGTGTGTGCGTTTATGTGTTTTGAGGGTGAGGGGGTCTTAATAACTTAATATTTTCTTCTAAATTTTTTTGCGGCTTTTTTAGTTTTTTTTCTTTTTTGGGTTCAATTGGTTTCGGCTTATATTATAACGGCTTAGTGACATGTTATTTCATTTGATGAGCAAATGATGTTTTTGGTAAACATGGTTTTCTCACCATAGTTGAATCAAGTTTGTTTGTAACAGCGAAGAAATGTTCCAATGTTTTTTTTTTCAAAAGAGTATGATATGATAGTATAAGGCAAGACTTTGATGAATACAATCCTAAATGTACATTAGCTTTGCATATTCGACTGTTTGAAATTTTACTTCCGATAATTGAATCCTTGACATAATTTTTTGTTAAATTCAATGTTATCGAAAAAAAACTTCATTGGTTGTACCAGAATTTCCAAATACCAAACATTTGTTCCTTTTTTTTGTAAAAATGATTCAAAGTCATGTTCTCTAATTAACAGAGTACATAATTGCTGTGTATAATGAACAAAAACAATCTTTTACCTGGAAAAGTTGGTGATGTGACAAAAATTAAAAGTTTTTTTTTGTTCACATGCATATTTGATTAACAAATCATCGAATCTGACTTGACCTATTTTTTTAATTGGAAATAGTCCATTCCAAAACAAAGTTGTTGGCTTATTGTCCTCTGTTTTATCGGCTGAGTTGCCATATTGTCGATTTGTTTTTTTAACCTTATCATTGCTTTTAGTGTTCTGATTTACCTATGCTGTTTGTAATTTTTACTACCCTTGATTCCGTGTTTTTAGCTTGAAATTTCATTCTGCCCAAATGATTTCGTTCTATTTTTATTCATTTAGTGGCCCAATTTCGAGTCCTTTCTACTGAAGCATATAATATTCATTCACCTCTGGAGCGCTCAAACTGCTTACAATCTTAAAAATATATAATTCAAATTTTTCATGGCATCATTTTTCGACTTCATTTGTTTCGACGTATACTATATCGGCTTATTGGGCTCATGTTGCGTCTTTAACGAGCGAAAAATGTTTGTGTGTGCGTTTATGTGTTTTGAGGGTGAGGGGGTCTTAATAACTTAATATTTTCTTCTAAATTTTTTTGCGGCTTTTTTAGTTTTTTCTTTTTTGGGTTCAATTGGTTTCGGCTTATATTATAACGGCTTAGTGACATGTCATTTCATTTGATGAGCAAATGATTTTTTTTGGTAAACATGGTTTTCTCACCATAGTTGAATCAAGTTTGTTTGTAACAGCGAAGAAATGTTCCAATGTTTTTTTTTTTTTCAAAAGAGTATGATATGATAGTATAAGGCAAGACTTTGATGAATACAATCCTAAATGTACATTAGCTTTGAATATTCGACTGTTTGAAACTTTACTTCCGATAATTGAATCCTTGACATAATTTTTTGTTAAATTCAATGTTATCGAAAAAAACTCCATTGGTTGTACCAGAATTTCCAAATACCAAACATTTGTTCCTTTTTTTTGTAAAAATGATTCAAAGTCATGTTCTCTAATTAACAGAGTACATAATTGCTGTGTATAATGAACAAAAACAATCTTTTACCTGGAAAAGTTGGTGATGTGACAAAAAATAAAAGTTTTTTTTGTTCACATGAATATTTGATTAACAAATCATCGAATCTGACTTGACCTATTTTTTTAATTGGAAATAGTCCATTCCAAAACAAAGTTGTTGGCTTATTGTCCTCTGTTTTATCGGCTGAGTTGCCATATTGTCGATTTGTTTTTTTAACCTTATCATTGCTTTTAGTGTTCTGATTTACCTTGTAATTTTTACTACCCTTGATTCCGTGTTTTTAGCTTGAAATTTCATTCTGCCCAAATGATTTCGTTCTATTTTTATTCATTTAGTGGCCCAATTTCGAGTCCTTTCTACTGAAGCATATAATATTCATTCACCTCTGGAGCGCTCAAACTGCTTACAATCTTAAAAATATATAATTCAAATTTTTCATGGCATCATTTTTCGACTTCATTTGTTTCGACGTATACTATATCGGCTTATTGGGCTCATGTTGCGTCTTTAACGAGCGAAAAATGTTTGTGTGTGCGTTTATGTGTTTTGAGGGTGAGGGGGTCTTAATAACTTAATATTTTCTTCTAAATTTTTTTGCGGCTTTTTTAGTTTTTTCTTTTTTGGGTTCAATTGGTTTCGGCTTATATTATAACGGCTTAGTGACATGTCATTTCATTTGATGAGCAAATGATTTTTTTTGGTAAACATGGTTTTCTCACCATAGTTGAATCAAGTTTGTTTGTAACAGCGAAGAAATGTTCCAATGTTTTTTTTTTTTTCAAAAGAGTATGATATGATAGTATAAGGCAAGACTTTGATGAATACAATCCTAAATGTACATTAGCTTTGAATATTCGACTGTTTGAAACTTTACTTCCGATAATTGAATCCTTGACATAATTTTTTGTTAAATTCAATGTTATCGAAAAAAACTCCATTGGTTGTACCAGAATTTCCAAATACCAAACATTTGTTCCTTTTTTTTGTAAAAATGATTCAAAGTCATGTTCTCTAATTAACAGAGTACATAATTGCTGTGTATAATGAACAAAAACAATCTTTTACCTGGAAAAGTTGGTGATGTGACAAAAAATAAAAGTTTTTTTTGTTCACATGAATATTTGATTAACAAATCATCGAATCTGACTTGACCTATTTTTTTAATTGGAAATAGTCCATTCCAAAACAAAGTTGTTGGCTTATTGTCCTCTGTTTTATCGGCTGAGTTGCCATATTGTCGATTTGTTTTTTTAACCTTATCATTGCTTTTAGTGTTCTGATTTACCTCTGCTGTTTGTAATTTTTACTACCCTTGATTCCGTATTTTTAGCTTAAAGTTTCCTTCTGCCCAAATGATTTTGTTCTATTTTTTTCATTTAGTGAACCGATTTCGACGGAACCATATTGTTTATACTCACTCTGAATCGCTCAAAATGCTAAAAATTTTAATAAAATTTATCGTTAAATTTTTTCATGACATCTTTTTTTCGGCTTGGCATGTTTCGAACTATTTTATATCGGCTTATTGGACTCATATAGCGTCTTTCAACGAGCGAAAACTGCTTGCGTATGCGTTTATGTGTTTTGAGAGGGAGGGGGACTTCATAACTTGTTTTTCTTGTTTTTTTTTCGACTCTTTTCAATATTCTTATTTTTGTCTTAATTGGTTTTGGGCTTATTTTTTATCGGCTTAGTGGCATCATATTGTTTCCACAAGTAAAATTTTTTGAGTGGTTATTTGTTTTGAGGGCGAGGTGGACTTATCAACTTTTCATAGGTGCTTAGTCTTGATGACTTTTTTGGCTCAAAAGGTATCTGACTATGTATTTTACCGCTGGGTACATTATATTCTCATGCTAAGTTCACATTCTATTGTCTTGGCAATGTCTCTTCAAACTTAGTTGTATACATTCTGATAGATCTTGTTTTTGCGATATTTTAGAGTTTTTTCTTGTTTTGTATCGCTAGTGGCGCGAATCTCAGGTTCGAATCTGTGTATTAGTGTTAACAATGACTCATTGGCATTGTTCGGCTCCTTTATGTGGTAATTTTGTGTAAGTATTTTTAAAAAACGTATACATTTTCTAACATTTTATTTTTAGTTTTATCCAAGATTGTCATTGTGATCGGGTAGACTCTTCGTTGTGTATTGTGCCTCTTGTCTATACTGCTGTTCTAGTTTTTGTACAGCAAATACTTTGAGTTTCCTAAAGCAATGTTTACTGTCTTGTCTGTATTTATACGATTATGAAGAAAAATATGTGTTTTTCTTGATATTTTGATCAAATATTTTCGAAGTGAGTGAGCTTCGCTTCATTTTCTTCCAGTAGCTAGTAATGATGTTTGTTGTATCGAAAATATTGTGCAGCTGTGCTTTGCCTCTGTGTTTGAATCTGGTTGGACTAGTTTTTTTAAAATGGTAAATAGTCCGTTTCAGAACAAAATTGCCGATTATATTCTACTCATGTTTTATCGGCTTCGTTTCCAGATTGTTGAATTGTTTTTTGTAACATTATAATAGCTTTTAGTGTTCTGATTTCCCTCTGCAGTTTGTAATTTTTACTATTCTTGATTCAGTATTTTTTAGCTTGAAATTTCCTTCTGCCAAAATGATTTTGTTCTACTTTTATTCATTTAGTGGCCCGATTTAGAGTCATTTCTACTGAAGCATATTTTTAATACTCACCTCTGGATCGCTTAAACTGCTTACAAACTTAGTAGAAATATAATTCAAATTTTTCATGACCACGTTTTTTCGTCTTGATATGTTTGGACCTATACTATATCGGCTCATTGGCCTCATATTGCGTCTTTGTTTTTTCCGTGTTTTGAGGGCGAGGGGGACTTAATAACTTCTTATTGTTTCCTTTAAAAAAATTTTTGGCTGCTTTTTAGTTTTCCGTTTTTGGGTTTTATTGGTTTCAGTTTATGTTATAACGGCTTAGTGGCATCATATTGTTTCATTGATGAGCTAATGATTTTCTTGTAAACGTAGCTTTTTCAGCATAGTTGAGTCAATTTTATTTGTTACAGCGAAGAATTGTTCAACTGAAAGAGAAAGTTTGATAGTATTACGCAAGATTTTGATGATAATAAAATCCTAAATGTACATTAACTTTACATATACGATTTTTGAAGTTTTGTCTCCGATAATTTAATCATAGACATAATTTTTTAAATTCAGTATTCTCGAAAAATTTTCTTTGACTGTATCAGAAATTCCAAATACCAAACGTTTGTTCCTATTTTTTTTGTAAAATTAAGTCAAACTCATATTCTCTAATTAAGAGAGTACAAATTTTCTGTATATAATGAATAAAAGCAATCTTTTACCTGGAAAAATTGGCGATGTGACCGAAAATAAAAGTTTTTTTTTGTTCATAACAAATCATAAAATTTTGTGCAACAAAATTTTTGTCTACTTTCTTTCAAAGCTTCTTTGGAGTTTCGATTCTCGCACAAAAACATGAATTTTCAAAGCCTTCTATTTTTCGAGATATGGCCTTTTCATTTTTTTGGAAATTATAAAAAAACATTTTGTGAACTTCTTTGAAAAAGAACTTCATATATTTTGAGTAAATATTTCATATTGAACTTTTTCTTTCAAAAAAGATTTTACTGATTATCCTTAATTATCCTTTGCAATAGTGACTAGACTTCACCCGCCCCCGGAAATAGCTTTTTTCACAGAGTGGTAGAATTTAGAAATGTTTTATTTAGATTCAAGTAAATGACTTCAAGTTTGTTTGCGTCTTGAGCTCACTTAGTCTGGGGGTAACAAATGTGCCTGGTACGGCGCAGGTCCTAGGTTCGAAGCTGACAGGACCTAATTTTTCGAATGGGAAATAGTCCGTTTCAAAAGAAAATTGTTGGCTTATTATTGTCTACTTGTTTGGCTTAGTTGCCATATTGTCGGATTGTTTTTTACACTATAATTGCTTTTAGTGTTCTGATTTACCTCTGCTGTTTGTAATTTTTTCTGTCCTTGATGCCGTATTTTTTAGCTTACAATTTCATTCTGCCCAATTGATTTTGTTCTATTTTCATTCATTTAGTGACCCGATTTCGAGTCGTTTCTACGTAAGCATGTTTTTTATACTCACCTCTGGATCGATCAAATTGCTTACAATCTTAACAAAAATTACCGCTCAGTTTTTTTCATGACATCATTTTTTCGGTTTGTTATGTTCGACCTGTTTTATATCGACTAATTGACTCATATTGTGTCTTTCAACAAGCAAAAAATGCTTGTGTGTGCGTACTTGTATTTTGAAGGTGAGGGGGTCTTAATAACCTATTCTTTTTTTGTATTTTTTCGGCTGTTTTTAATTCTCACGTTTTCGGGCTTAATTGGTTTTAATTGATGTTTCATCGGCTTAGTGGCATCATTTTGTTTCAGCAAATAAAGTTTTTGAATGATTGTGTGTTGAGGGCGAGGTGGACTTATTAAATTTTCTGACCAAGGGTTTTCTGACCATGTATTTTACAGCTGGGTACATGATATTCTCATGCTAAGTTCACCTTCTATTGTCTTGGCATGTCTTTTCAAAGTTAGCTGTATACATTTTGATACAACTTGTTTTTTCGACATTTTAGAGTTTTTTTCTTGTTTTGTATCGCTAGTGGCACGAATCTCAGGTTCGCCTTTGTGTATTAGTGTTAACAATGGCTCATTGGCCTTGTTTGGCTCCTTTATGTGGTAATTTTGTGTAAGTTATTAAAAAAAAACGCATACATTTCCCAACTTTTTTTAAAGTTTTTTTTAAGATTGTCATTATGTGTTCGGGTAGACTCTTGGTTGTATATTGTGCCTTTATTCTATACTGCTGTTCTGCTGTTCATATAACAAATACTTTGTGTTTCGTAAAGTAATGTTCAACTTTTACTGTCCTATCTGTATTTAAATGATTATGAAGAAAAATATGAGTTTTTCTTGATATTTCGATCAAATATTTTTTAAATGGGTGACATTCGCTTCATTTTCTATCGAGTAGCTAGTAATGATGTTTGTTGTATCGAAAGTGTTGTGCAGCTGTGCTTTGCCTCTGTGTGAATCTGACTGGACTTGTTTTTTTAAATGGTAAATAGTCCGTTTCAAAACAAAATTGTTGGCTTATTTTGTCTACTCATGTTTGGCTTAGTTGCCATAATGTCGTATTGTTTTTTTTTTAACCTTATAATTGTTTTTAGTGTTCTGATTTCCCTCTGCTGTTTTTAATTTTTACTACCCTTGGTTCCGTATTTTTTAGCTTGAAATTTCATTCTGCCCAAATGATTTTGATCTGTTTTTATTCATCTAGTGACCCGATTTCGAGTCGTTTCTATCTACGGAAGCATATCATTTATCCTCACCTCTGAATCGTTCAAAATGCTTACAGTCTTTATAGAATTAATCGTTCATTTTTTTCGTTGCATTTTTTTTTGGCTTGGTATGTTTCGAACTATTTTATATCGGCTTGTTGGACTCAAATAGCTTCTTTCAACGAGCGAAAAATGCTTGTGTGTGGGTTTATGTCTTTTGATAGGGAGGGAGACTTCATATTTTATTTTTTTTGTGTTCTTTTCGACTCTTTTTAATAATCCTATTTTTGGGCTTAATTGGTTTTGGGGAGGAACTTTGTTTTGGGTAGTTTTCATTTTTATTCCACGCAAAATCAAGTACCACGATTGATCTTCGGAATAGATCGAGTGATATTAAAGCCCTCTCAGTCGTTATTGGAACATTAAAAAAAAATTCCAACTATTTAAAATTTTACTTACTTTTACTCAACGTAAATTAGTTATCGAGAATTTTTTAGCGCCTTCTTGGGAATGAAATTTTGCAAAAACTTTGAGTTTTTTTTGAAGTTTTGTCATTTTTTCTTTGAAATTAATTTCATGTGAAAAACTCTTCTCAAGTGTCCAAATTTTTTTTACTCCCAATCACTAAGCTTTACTTCAGATTTTCTCATCACACCAAAAACAAAAACAACCCCATTCGAAAAAAACGTAGTTTTTTTTAAATATGGTCGGAATATTCTGTGCTACTTGCACAGCAACCGGCTATTATTGTTTTTTTTTGTACGGATTTTGTTAGTTATTCAGAAGCAATCAATGGACGTAGTGAAGGCTTTTAAAAAGGTTGTGATAGTTTTTCTTTTGGTTCAGGAAAATTTTTTTAAGTATGTTAACGATTAAGCTTTGGTTTTGCTCAGTTCATTTCGTTTGCTAACTCCCTTAAAGATCGGTAAAAAGTAAAGATCACAAAAATTGTGATCAGCTACTAGTTTCGAAAGTTGATTTTTACCTATTGATCCATATCTTTCAAATTAAAAAAAATTGTTATAGAAATTCAAAGAGCTCTTTTTCCCCCAGGAAAAGATTCAATTTTTTTTCCTGTTTCTTTTTGATCATTGACTGTTTCCCAACTGTCTGCTAGCTATGTTCTTTCTTTTGATTGTATTAAAACTGTCTGTTAAGAAGGCACGCAGCAGCGTTTTTTTGCTAAAAAGCATATATTTTTACCCTGCATTTATCCATTTACGTTTCAATGGCTGTGTACGTTACAATGAACATCAGTTATTCATGCAAACTAGTATGTGTTTTGCATATTGTCACGAAAGTTGGAACGTTTGCTGATGTGAATCGGGGCAATTATTTCTGAGCAACTGAAGTAAGCTCATGTAAAAAAAATGACGTGTAAAAAAGCTCATGTGAAAGTTTCGAGTGACGTCTCCTCTTTTCTTCTCGATTATCGAGCTTGTTTTTTAATAAAAAATGCCCTAATTCTATTTCGTATGACCTAATTTTTTTTTGCTTATCGCTAGTAAGTATTAAGTTTGCACTTGCAGTGCCTTTCTGTTTTGCAATGTTTTTTTCCTGCACTTGTTGTTACATCCGCTTCGTCAGACTGACCTGTGCTTAACACTTTTTCAAAATAAAATTTTGAATAATGAAAATGAGGCTAGATTTTGAAGTAGTTTGGTGGAATAAGTAATTGCGAATGATAGATTGGTTTCACCATCTAACCATCATGCAACTAAGCAAATGAAGCTGATGTCGAATTTTATTAATCATAAGTTGTGTTGCCTTTCTTTTGGGTTGAAGACTTTCGCACCGAGCTGAATGGGATTTTTAGTCCCATTTCCTACTAGCGTGTTAACAAAAACTAACGTTTGCACTTTTAAATTCGTAAATTTAATTTTTACCGCATATGGTTTTTATTTTTGGTTAGTTTTTGAGGTGTTAAACATCAAACATATTTCTAATCCAAGCGTTACAAAATAAACTCTCAGTTTTTATTGAGACTTTATCCTCGAAGCAATGTGAATTTTCTCCTGGAAGCAGTTTTTTCTGCTATTAAATCAGTCGATTAGTTCAACATTGTTCCCTTTTACTTTGACGGCCATTGAATGCAGACTACTTTGTTCAGGCTTTCCTTCCTAATTATTCCTAGGAAAATTTTTTTTATTTCCCATGTCGAGATAATTGACTTTTTCATTGAAAAAACTTGGGTTTTTTAAATTTATGGAATTGCTATTCTTTTTGCTGCAAAGATAGAACAGTTGCTTCTTTTAATAAATCAGTGCAATTAATATTGTGTGGGTTAAGCTTTTGAATTGTTGCTGATTTCTTCGTTTTCATTCACGTGAATTCTAAATAGCTGAAGCAAATATGTCGTTCAGTTTTAATCCGTCATTGCACATGGAAAATGCCGGCCTCAATTTTGTTCTAGAGTCGCTTGTCGCTGCATTGTCGGATGGCTTAAACGGGCAGCACAGTCGTGACCACTCATCGAACATTCTGGAATCCCGCAATACAATGGACGAGACCATTACTAGTGGCGATGTAATTAGCAGCCAGTTTAAAATGGCTAATCAGTCGAGTGGGGTTAGTACAATCAAAATATTGTTAGATGGGGGAAGGGGAGGGGCATGGTTTTGCAAGTAAGGCAGAGCAGCCAGGAGGTTGACTGCTTTATTGCTCAACATGACCTTTTTTTGTACTTCATGTTTTAAAGCATCCATGGTAGACCAACATGTACACATGTTCTAAATATACATGTAAATATTAAATTTGATGAGCGAAAATTTGATGATTTTCGAAAATTTTTAGATAGTAACGGCTTCAACACAGATAACTGGATGACTGGAATATGAAATACATAATCAGCTATGTTCTTGCGAGCTTTCTATGTTTTTTTTGTGACCGAGGAAGTTTTTGCTTCAGAATCCAACCTATCCCGCTGAAAATCTTCTGATCACTGGTGCTTCATCAGAGAAAGATATGAATTGAGGAATATGAATACAATGCACAGAGAATGGATACATATAAAACATGCTAACTGGGTGTTGCTTTTAGAACTCGGAGGATGAGGAGAGTAAAGCATACAAGATGGCGTCGGTGAAGTTCAGGAAGAGGTTCCAGATGCCTGAAGAAGAGAAGCTGGTGAACTATTACTCCTGCTCCTACTGGAAGGGAGTCATGCCGAGACAGGGTCAGTTGGGTTTTGAATGAAATATTAACAAGGATATAGCAAACCAGCTACCAATTTTAAAAAGTTTTTTTTTCGCTCAAAGTTGTAACCAGCATTGGTTAGATCGGTTCTTATTACAAATCCTCTTATTGATATCAGACATTGTGAACCCAAGTCAAACAATGATATAGATCATGACCATATGAAATGCAAATCTGTGGCATGAACCTGCTCTGTTGGCATTTGTATATGCATATCAGTATGAACTACACATTTCCTATTGCTTCCCATAGCAAGCTATGTGATGTTTGATTCGAGGCTTTGACGACAGATTCGCTGAGATTGCACTGCGTACTAATATGTTATGTTGTATTGTGTAGGCTGGCTGTACCTGTCAGTGAACCACTTGTGTTTCTACTCGTTCTTCATGGGCAGTGAGTCCACAGTGTGTGTGAGGTGGAGTGACATCACCTCCCTCGATCGCAAACAAGGGGTCATCGGCACCAACAACCGCATCACGGTCAGTGTCTGTCCCAGCTCACTGCGGAAAAGAAGAGCTAGTTTGTCTTTTCTTTCGGTCTTCAATTGCTTATAGGAATCAATTGCGTGTAATGTTTTTCAAATGGAAGAAGCCATCATCTCACACTGGAAATATTCGTCTACTGTTTCAAAAAGTTCAAAAAAAAAAACATCGAATGTTGACTTCTCGGTATGCGGTGTTGACTTCTCTTCAGTTTTACTAGCTCAAAATATTTCTTGATTGCGTTGTTTCTAGGTATCATTTCTTGTATATTTTGCAAATAGATGTATAGACACCTCGCTTAGAAAACATGCAATATAGTTTCCCCCAATATAATCCTTAAGTTTATTAGGTGTGCACTAGACAGGGCGTGTTTGAGTTCTCGATGTTGATGAATGCGGGCGAGACATACAGACTGTGCCAGCAACTGGTCTCCTTCGCCCTCCGGCTCCTCATGGCAGAGGCCGGATACTCCTCATTCGGATTCAAGGTCACTACTTCTATTTTCATCTTATTTTCACTATTCGTTTTGCAGGTATGAACTCGAGTTATAAAATACGAACTGTGCTTCTTGTTTGGCCAGTTAAATGCACTTGGGTAGAGAAGGCGAAGCGGGTGGCATCCCTCTTGATTGAGGGACCGAATGTTGGAATTTTTTTCAGTTATTTTCAGCAAAATAAATCGAGGCCATTGACAGCGAAATTGACCGATTGCAAAATACGCAGGATCATAAATGTGCATAGACTGCCAGACCAAAGACGTATTGAATTTAAAACTTATTGAAATAATTCTAGGGATCCATAGGATAACGAAAATAGGAAAAAAATACAAAACCAAATCATTTTCTGCTGATATTGATTTCGATTTTGTTATTCTGATTGGTTGGTAAGTTTCCATGATTCAGTCCCTCTATCATGAAAGTTCCCCGCGTCGAAGAGTTGTTGCCTCAGCACTGCTATCGAATGGCTGATTGTTCGGAACACACTATGAGATGTGATATTTATAAGAGCTCAACCTAAAAAAAACTTCAATTGAGCGATAATTTAATTTCAACTTACTCGTTGACAATGAGAAAAATGTAATTACTCTTGCGATCAGCAAGGGTTTTGCAATCGGGTACTACAATTTTTTCCCGTAAATAGCTCTGTTCAAAGAATGGTCAAAATTAGAAATGGTAAATTTAGGTTCAGTTCATGAATTTCTTTGCGTCTCCGGCACACTTGGTCTGTAGGTAACGAATACGCCTAGGACGGCAAAGGTCCTGGGTTTGAATCTGACAGGATCTGTTTTTCAAAAAGTTTTTCTATCGTTTAAAATTTTTTTCTGCTTAGTTTTGTCGGCTTAGTTGCCACATGATCGTAGAACTGTTTTTTTTTGCTTTAGGCAAGCTGCATTGTAATTTCTTTTTGTGCGTTGATTTACTTCTACTCTTTGTAATTTAACTAGCCTTGACTTCGTATTTTTTTTGCTAAAAGCTTTTGTTCTGCACAAATTGTTAAGAGTCGATGAACGTAGTTCAGACTCTTATATATGTCGTGTTGATTCTTTTTTCGTTTTTTTTTCCCTGAAAAGTCTTTCAAATTTGTTCAGGCTCAAATTTACTTTTTTCGAGGTTTGACTTCTGATTTTTTTTTCAGATCAGTTTTTTTCTATTGTTAAAAGAAAGGCTATCTCCACGATCGATCAGCAAAAATGTAAAGTTTACGAAAAAAAAGATCGACTTCTAGTCGCAAAAGTGGAACTTAAGTTTCAGATTTCCCTGCAAAGGGGAATTTGTGGTTGATCCAGTTTTAATGAAAATTTTTAACATTGTTCAAGTTTTTTTGTTGAGCCACTTTTCTCGAATTAGAATTTTTAAATCAAAAAAGTGTCAATCATAGTTTGTTCTAGAAATCCAAATAGCTTTAAGACCATATATTATTTTCTTGGAAGTTCGAAAGTTGACATTTTTTTCAAAAAGAAGTCAGCAGTTTGTTTCTGTTTCCTTGCGTTCATTTACTTTTTCGAACTGTCTTTTGGCTATATTTTTGGCTGATATTTTGTTGACTGAGTGACCTAATTTTGAGTCGTTTAAAGGGAAACATATTTTTTTGCTCCCCTCTGGATCATCGCACAAAATGCTAAAAGTTTTGCATGACAACAATTTTTTGTCGGTTTTTTACCCAAGTTCTGTCGTCTGTTACCGCTTGATAATTGTTTCGGGATTTTCATCAAACCATGTCGATTGTGTTTCTGGGCGAGTGTTCCTCAAAAAGAATATCATTCCAGACAAAATCTTGTAGTTTCAGTTTTGGTTTTTCGATTTTTTTTTGTTTTTTTTTTGTTTCTGGCTATCCTGTTTTTCCCTGTCTGCTAGCTTGCCATGCTGTTTTTCATGCTATCGCAAGTGGCGCGAAGATCGGTATCGCTCTGTGTTCAAAAAATAGAGGTAGGATTTTGTCGTGTAGCTCAAGATTTTAGGTGTCCTGTTTTATATAAGAGAATGCTTTTTACACCGAAGACTTTAGTCAAGGTGTTATGGTATCGTGTAACGGGTTTTTTTTTAATGTTGTCTGTTGTCAAGTGTCGACAAATAACGTCCACAGTTATCAATTATCATGTGGGCTGGACTATATCGCGCTATGTCACGTGATTGCGTATGTTTGTTTCTTTATTTGTTCATCTTTATTTATTTAATTATCTGTTCTTCTATTTATTTAATTATGTTTAGTTTGCTTATATTTATTTATAATTTATGTATGTACATATTTATTTTTGTTTATTTTTATCACGTGTTTTGTTTATTTATTTAATTATTCTTTCTTTCATTTAGTTTTGCTTTTATTATTTCTGCGTGTGTATTTATTTAATTTATTTATTTTCATTTTCATTTATTTATATTATGGGTCTGTTTGTTTGGTTATTTGTTCATATATATTTTTTCGTGTCTATTTAATTATTTGTACATTTCACTTTTGCTTTTATTTATTTATTTATTTATTTATTTATGTATTTATTTATGTATTTTTTTATTTATTTATGTATTGATTTATTTTTTTATTGCTTATTTATTTATCAGGTGTGTTTTGTTTATTTGTTGATATTTATTTCTATATTTATTTAATTATTCTTTCTTTCATTTAGTTTTGCTTTTATTATTTATGTATGTGTATTTATTTCATTTATTTATTTTCATTTATTCATATTATGGGTCTGTTTGTTTGGTTATTTGTTCATATATATTTTTTCATGTCTATTTAATTATTTGTACATTTCACTTTTGCTTTTATTTATTTATATATTTATTTATTTATGTATTCATTTATGTATTTATTTATTTATTTATGTATTGATTTATTTTTTTATTGCTTATTTATTTATCAGGTGTGTTTTGTTTATTTGTTGATATTTATTTCTATATTTATTTAATTATTCTTTCTTTCATTTAGTTTTGCTTTTATTATTTATGTATGTGTATTTATTTAATTCATTTACTTTCATTTATTTATATTATGGGTCTGTTTGTTTGGTTATTTGTTCATGAGATATATGTTTTTTCATGTTAATTTAATTATTTGTACATTTCAGTTTTGCGTTTATTTATTTATTTATTTATTTATTTATGTATGTATTTATTTATTTATGTATTGATTTATTTTTTTATTGTTTATTTATTTATCAGGTGTGTTTTGTTTATTCGTTGATATTTATTGCTATATTTATTTAATTATTTTCTTTCATTTAGTTTTGCTTTTATTTATTATTCATGTATGTATTTATTTATTCATTTATTTATTTATGTTTATTTATTTTTGGTTTGTTCGTTCATTTGTTGGTTTGTTCGTTCATTTATTTATTTATTTAGTTAGCGTCTTTGTTGTTTGATTGTGAAATTTGATGTTTTACTTCTTAGCTATGTAGTTAAAAGCAAAAAATGATTTTCAATTTATTGTTCTGTTAGGATATTTTCAGAAAGATCTGTATATCACCAATTAGCGTACAACGATTTACAGGGAACGCTGCCAACGAGATTTGTCCACTTGCTTTTGGGTTGCAGCTACATCAAAAATGATTTTAAATTATTTATTTTAAAGATTTATCTATAGTTATATCTGTCCGGTAATTAATTTTCAAATTTGCTTTTGTATTTCTCAAAAAAGAATTTGTTGGAGCGTGGACTCAATAACGTAAAGCAAAATGTTAAATTTTATGTTACTTCTATTTTCAGTCATGTAATGGAGCCATTTCGACCCACGGGCATTGCAAATGATGACAACAGTTGCTATCTCAATTCTGTTCTTCAGCTTTTGTTGTCAAGCGCTTGCATCAGAGATCGGCTCAGTAGACTTACTGAATTTGAAATACTTACTATTTTTAGTTCTAGAAGTGTTATTTTATGATCTTCGTTGATATATCAAAAATTTAACCTATACATGTGTTAGTACGATTTTTAGTTCTAGAACTGTTATTTCAGGCTCTTTCTCGATATAGCAAAATTTTGGTGTATACATGTATTAGTACGATTTTTTGTTCTAGAACTGTTATTCTTCAATTATTAGTTGTTCAAGTTGTTTGGTTTTTGCTTCAGTTTCTATGCCTTCGGTGTATTGCGCGTAGCGCCTATGTTCAAAATATTGCAGCTGATATTTGGTGGAAATTTTTATGTGGTTTAGGACAAGAAGCGGAAGAAGCACAGTTCCCTGATGAAGAGAGACCTCTATGCCCAGTTGAGGAGTGACAACTACAGAGCCCTGTTCAGTCTACCGAGGAGTGAGAAGCTGCACGGCGACTGCAGCTGCAGTCTGTGGCTGCCTTACGACAGGACAGCCATTAGAGGCAAACTCTACATCTCACATAATTTCGTCTGCTTCAACAGGTTAAAAATGAAATTAATTCAAGTGTACACGCTGTTTTCCCTGAGACATGGTTGCCACCTTTTTCTGAGACCCATTTTCTCACTAATTCCTGCCTATCTATTATAGACTAGAAATAGCAGCCCCAGTTTTCTTTCCCTAACTTTTTCTAGTTACTCAATGATAATTTTTTTCAAAGAATACAGCGTGTTTTCATGTTTTTTTCTACATATCTATGGTAATGGGCAGTGCTTATTCTATCTTTGAAAATTGTTTTTATGTTCGCTCCAGTTCAGACAGTGGGGCTGCAATGGTTAAGCTAGTGCTGCCCATTTATGAAATCACACACGTGGATAAGATAGACAAGGCAGCCAATGAGATCAGAGACGGGGTGCACATCACTATGAAGGTACTCAATTCAAATTCAGAACACTTATTTTTCTCATCAGAAGACTTCCGTCGAGTAGAATTGTGAAATAGGTAGATAAATGGTTGAATTTGGATGTGTGCTCATTGTAGATGTTACGACCAGTTGACAACTGATAGCTTATGATTGGTAAAAACACCGGATGTAATGGTTTTCAAAGGGAAAATGCTTGCACTGTTTTAAAATGAAACGTCGATTTTTTAATCTTGTTTCATCAAAAATGAAACGTCGATTTTTTAATCTTGTTTCATCAATTCATGTTCGCTAGAGAGTGGGTTGAGTTTCTCATTTGGATTTAAGTACACTTGGGAATAAATGTTGTCGAACTGTTCTTTCACAGAATGGAGCGGACAATGTATTGCTGGGTCGTCTGAGTGACCGTACAAGTGTAATAGGGGCAATCACGGGCTCCATGCGACACACCTCTGCATCTATAGAAGACAACCTCTATTCAGACAGACACGACACAGACACTAGCACCAACAGGAGAAAAAAATTCAGGGTGAATATTGCTAGTATCCATAAGCAGCCGAAATAGCACAATTTATGAAACCAGTGGAAACTTTTTCCAGGGGCATTTGAACCAGCCGAAATTTGCTTCATTTGTTAGAAATTATCATGACTTTCGTATCTATAACTCAAGTAGTGCAGTATCACTTGATTGGTGGTAAGTAATCGAGCCAGAATATACATCAGCTACAATCGAAACCAGTCAAAACTACTGAGAATTTTTATAATCATTAACCAGTTGAATGTTATATAATGATATAACTTTCAGCTGGTTTTATGCTCTACTTCCTAATTTTGGGTCCGTTTACTTTGTCCGGCTAGTTTTTCCACTGGTTAAATCTTAGGAAACCCAATTAAAATATTAAGTGAAGTTTTTTTAATGCTTAGTATAAAAGCCTCCGTTAAAAAGAAAGAATAGAATTATAAAATTAATTTTCCATTTATTAACAAATATATCAACAATATATCATCAAATGCAGTAATGGATAGAAAACGGGGCCTGCTGGCCCACTATCCGTCTACCCTTGATGTCAAAACAATCTGAGCATTAACAGAAAACACAGAAGAAATTGTTTTTATGATTTCTATACTACTCTTATATAAAAAGATCAAAAATTATACATATTTGTTTAAAAATCCGATTTAAGAAACTAGGAAGAATAGAAAAGTGGCTTGGCTGATCAAATTAACATCTACTGTAGGCGAAATTTGGAGATTTTTTACAAAAAATTGTTTGGAAATTTAATGAACAAATTCAGAAAAATTTAAAAACCTCGATATCTCGAAAGCTACAATGATTTTTTTGGGGGGAGGGGGGGTTGATGTTTGCACAGAACAGCTGAATCATGGTTGATAGTTCTGTAGCCTGCAGCCATTGTGTTTCGGTTTTTAGAAAACTTATAAACCGAAATAATAAACACCGGTTTATAGTTTTGCACCATATAGATTTTCAAATTATGGTAAAAAATCAGATATGGATATTTCAGAAAAAGAACTATTTTCGATATTGACAGGCATGAAACTAAGAAGCCATAGCTTGTTGAAAAGTTTGCAGGTTCGAGATCGAACAGAAAATTGCTCAGATTTACGCTTGAAGCAGATCTTCTTGTTTTTGTGTTTTCATAAGTGATTAATTTATTCAAAAGTTGTTCTGAATGAAAACCATATAAGATTTTCAAATCAAATTTCAGCAGTTCGTTTTTTTTGTACTCAAAAACCGTTACAATTTTTACTTTTCGAGTATAATATGACCCTGATCTTCTCGTTCTCCAGAAAAGAATTGTTTATAGTTTGGTATGTGCTGCACCGATTAAAAAATAACTTGAACCATTTGTTTTGACGGTTCATTGATAGGCGACATTGTGTACTTTGGCGCAGGGATACAAAAATATGCCCATAGTAAAATCGCAAAAAGTTCATTTGTTGTGTTGTTACCGGTGAAGCTTCGTTTTTTTAAAGGCTATTTTGGCGTATTCTTGCCTTTTAAGAGAGCTTTCTAACCATTTTTTTTCGGGAATTGCGGCTTCGCCTCCTTTAAAATTAAAAGGGGGACGTGAAAAGGTCTGCATTCTTTTCGATTCTGGTATCTCAAACGCAAAGTCCCTTGATGAATGTGTGGCTAAATGTGTTACTAATTTTAGAAGGACAAAACAGAGGGGTTCAGGTGAAAGTTTTATGCTACAAATATATTGTCTTTGGTTTTTGACACAATTTTTGACGTCATGAAAAATTTAATTGCTCTAGGTGAGAACAGTTGATTCAGAAACTGGCAGTTCACATGGGGATTTGTCCTCTGGCACTTCGAGTGGTAGCTGGGGCATGGTCACCAGGAGGGACTTGGAAGATGGAGAGGATGAGTGGGCTGCTGAAAACGAAGAGGAGTCAGCCAGCTTGTCTTCTCTGGGTTAGTTTCATCTGAATCACTCTCTGAACCTCGAGTTGCATGGACCTCCGATATTGTCTTTTTTGCTGTTTCCTTTTTCGTTTTCATTCGGGAACGTTACCGGCAGCTCTTTCAAGAGTTAATGAGGGTAGAGGGTGTCATAAAATTTGACCACTGTTCTATTTTACAGTCAAGGTGTTATGTAGAACAATTTTTGTTGAGTTAATTTAAAAAATCGAAATAAGTAATTAAGTTAGTTTTGATACATTTTCAGCATGAGACAGTTCGCTCACTTAGCTTGTTGAAACGTGATTCCTCGTTTTTGTTAGACCCGTTTGAGCTGCAGCCCGCCCTTATCACCCTCTTTCATCAATCAACAGTCATATCGGACGACACCCTAACAGACAACACCACATCTACTACTATGGCTGAAACTAAAACATCAAAAGAGGAAGGAGAAGGAGTGAAGAGAGAAGGGGAGATTGAAAACCAGGCAAGTGCAGCCAGTGTGCATCTGAAGAAAGAGGAGGCCAAACAGAAACTGTGGATAGACCACTTTGATAAATTTGGCAGAGGGGCAACCATGTACAGGACTCTTGGTAAGTTGCATATTAGGAGAATTTGTTCTAAAGCAAAGGGTTTTTGTAGAGTCGACTTATCAGAAAAAAAGAAGGTGTAATGAAGATGGAAAATTTTAATCATCTCAATTTGTGTCCCTTTTATAATAGGGTTTCTGTTTTTTTTGTGCAAAAAAATTGTTTAGTTCTGACTAACTGAAGTCGATAGGAATTGGAGCTATAACCATAAGTTGTTTTTATAAGGGTGTAGTAATTCAGATTAGCTTGAGTGTGTTGTGTGGGTTGATGTTTCAGAGACACTGCAGCTGATCAGGAAGGGTCTCCCTGAGTTGTACAGAGGGGAGATGTGGATGATCTACAGTGGGGCATTACACGACAAGAAACTACATCCGGGATACTACGAGAAACTAGTATACTCCACACCCAACAGAGGTAATTATTAACATGGTAATTTTGTTAGATTCTGAGGCTGATTTTTTTTCTTACTCATACTGAGATTTACAGGTGTGCAACAAAAATTAAAGCTAGTTAAACCAGCTGTCTTAGTATAAGACGCATTAATGACAATGCGATCCATTATGCCAATCTCATGGCTTAAAAATTTTCAATCAGAGTTAGGGTCAACTGTGATTAAAAGGTTGAGAAGTGAAATGTAATAGTGTAGAACCGATTTTGATGTGAAGTTTTTCTTTTTGTGTCTGCAGCTGATGCAGTGGCCCCGGACGAGATAGAGCGAGACCTTCACAGATCCCTGCCCGAACATCCCGCCTTCCAGAGCAACGTAGGCATAGCTGCTCTACGCAGGGTGCTCAATGCATACGCTAGAAGGAACCCAAACATTGGTAAGCCTTAAGTAACTGAATTCATCTGATGTAAAGCTCCGTTAATCACCGCAAAGCCCCAACAAAATTTCAATTCAAGTTAATGAAGGTTCCTCCTGCCAATAACATCACGAGCTTATTAGATAAGAAACTACCTTTGTATAACATATTTTAAGTGAGAAATCTTGAGCTAGCTTGCAAACTAATGTTTCTATAGTCTCAATACGACAGTTGTTTTAATGTGATAAATGTTGATAAATTGAGTGCATGTAGGGTACTGTCAGGCGATGAACATAGTGTCTAGTGTGATCCTGCTCTACTGTGCGGAGGAGGACGCCTTCTGGCTCCTCATAGCTCTCTGTGAGAGGCTCCTCCCAGACTACTACAACACTCGAGTGGTGGGCGCACAGGTGGACCAGTATGTGTTGACGCAACTCTGCGAGAAGTTCATGCCCGAGTTGGCGCAGAGGTTGGTTTAGCATTGATTATTTGGAAGCAGAGAGGGTATTAATACAAACAGATGTAAATCAAACTTGCTTTAATCTGCATCTTTTACCGTCATTATAAACAATGAAAAAAGGAAGGGGTATATTCTTTACTGTTTAATTTGAAAGTAATAAGCGTAGTGAGTACTCTTATAGAATTCTTGCTGATTCTTTTTTGCTTTTTTTTTCGCGAAATTTGTTCACGCTCAATAATGATTTTTCTCGGATTGTTTTTTGACTTCTTTTTAAGTTCTCTTCAGTTCCTTTGTTTAGAGGAAGGCAAACTCCACTATCGAACAGTAAATTTGATAATTTTGATAATTTTCCTGATTCGCAATTGCTTTTGAGTTTTTTAAAACAATTTGTGTTCTAAAAGATATTAATGGGACCAATTTGCTTGTCATAATTAAGCATTCGTGCCCGAGAATGACGGGTTTGAGACTCTATTTCTCGAGGTCGCGGGTTCGAAGCCCATACGTAGCTAAGTTTTACTAATTCGAGGCTTGTTTCTACTTTTTCTTATTTAGAGTAATGAACGTAGTGAGTACTCTTATATAAGTCTTGCTGAGTTTTTTTTGACTTTTTTTTCAGGAACAAGTCTTCAAATTTGTTCACGCTCAATTTTGATTTTCGAACAGCAAAAAATGTAAAGGTCATGAAAAACGTGAGCGACTTCTAATTTCGAATATGGACATTAATTATCAGATTTCCCAGTGAAATAAACGTTTTACCAATTGATCCAGTTTTCTCAAATTGGGTTAATTTTAACATAAAAATGTCCATCATAAATTGTTCAACAAATTCAAAGAAATGCAAAAGTTGAAGATTTTTGAAAAAACCAGTCAGCTTTTGTTTGTTTTTTTTTGCGTTCATTACTCCTTTCCAACTGTCAGTTGCCTATGATTTTGATAGAAGACAGCGATGAAGCCTTTCCCTACAACTAAAAAAAAATTCTGGGCGATAAAAAAAATTTCCAGGCATAAATGTGTGTGCAAGTATGCATGTATCCATTTAAGTACATGTAATATTTCAATTTCTGAGCTCATCTTGAGAACCGCGTTTTCTGCCCAAGAAGATATCTCAAATCTAATGTCCTCAGCTAGATGATATCAAACTCAGTAACTGATACGTAGTAACTGTTCTAGGCTGGCGGAGTTGGACGTGTTGACGATGGTGTCTCTCTCCTGGTTCCTCACTCTCTTTCTCTCCGTGATGCCATTCAATTGTGCCACCCACATCATCGACTGCTTCTTCTGCGACGGAGCCAGAGCCATATTCCAAGTTGCCCTTTCTATACTGGGTTTGTAAACTAGTCCGCTTAGTTTGGTTGTGATAGCTGCTGCAACCTGTCCAAATTGTGAGTTCAAGGCAAGAAAAGGTAAATGGTTTGCAAAAACAAGCATTGCATACAATAGTGGCTTCGATAATATTTTGGAACGGAGAGCTCCAGTAGATCCAATGTAATGATAGACAGCTACAAATTGAAATTCGTGTACCATTACTTTTGTAATAATAAGCTATCAGTGGATCGGATGAAATAATAGTGTTTAATTTCGTGAGATATTTAATTAATACATGATATCGTTGTATTAGTTTTATATAGTCGAATGTATTTTCGCTCCCACCATGTCCTAAATTAGGTTAAGTGCCGCCTTTTTAGCTTCAATAGTATTGAGTGCTGTTTTAGAGGAGAACAAGGAGGAGTTGGCTGCGTGTAAAGAGGAGACTGACGTCATCACTGTGTTCGTGGACTTCTTCCAGTCCCTGAAGAACTTCCAAGAGCTGACAGTTAACCCTACCAAACAGGAGCATACTTCTTCCTCTGTGGGAAATAACAGTAACATAGACACCAACCCAACAGGTAGCGTACCGTACCATAAACTATACAAACTCAGTCTATTCACTTTTTACGAGGTTTCATAATCCGAACTATTCTAATATTACTCCATTCGGGTCACTGTATAGTGTAATCATTCCGCGTGCGATTAGCAGGCATTATTAAATCGGAATATAGGCAATCTTTTAGGTGAACTACTTGTTTACAATAGCGAGCTTGCGAGCGTAGTGTATTAGTGCGAACCTCCTTTCTTCCAACCTAACTAGCAAATAAAAGTATTCATTAAAAATGTTCACTTATTGTCTACTTTGCTATAATCACGATCTGTAGCATTAGAAATTTCATAGCATCTGTTCTCTGCTTTATTTGTTGCTAGTGTTTGTCATTTATTTATGCTTATTTCTACTTGTTGTACTTTATAGAGCTGCTTTTATGTCATGTTCTCGCTAGTGTTTGCGATGCGCAGCCTCGCCTCTTTTGAACAAAATAAATTGATAGCTTGTTTTCTGCAGCACATTTGGCTTAGAGGTAACGACTAGGCCTGGGACGGCGAAGGTCCTAGGTTAGAATCCGGCCAGGTTCTGCTTCCGTTGAAACTGAAAAGATTCCATTTCAGAAAAATTGTTGGCCTTTTATTTGTCTGATTGTTTAGTGGGCTTGGTTTTCACATCCCGGAATTTTCATGTGCTGTAAGCAATTATCATTGTAGTTGCAAATGTTTGGTGATTTTTTTCAGGAATTAGCTTACGCTCAATTTCGATTTTTCGCGGTTTGACTTTTAATTTTTTTAAGTGCAGTTTATTTCTATGGTCAAAAGGAAGGCAAAGGTCACGAAAAACATGATCGACTTCTAGTTTTGAAAGTGGAACTTAGTTTTCAGAATTTCCAGCGAAATTAAAAATTTACTATTAATCAAGTTTTCTCAAATTTGGTAATCAAAAAAGTGTCAATCATTTTTGTAAATTCAAAGAGCTTAAGGGGCATCTATTTTTTTTCTTTGAAATTCGAAAGTCAAGTTTTTTCGAAAAATTTGTCAGGTTATTTTTCCTGTTTCCCTGCGTTCATTACTCTGTTCCAACTGTCAGTTGGCTAGAGTTTTCAGTTCACTCGAAGCTCATATGCTACATGGAAGGTACTTACGCTTTTTAATAACGAAGATTATTAAAGGAAGGCTATGGTCAAAAGGAAGGCAAAGGTCACGAAAAACATGATCGACTTCTAGTTTTGAAAGTGGAACTTAGTTTTCAGAATTTCCAGCGAAATTAAAAATTTACTATTAATCAAGTTTTCTCAAATTTGGTAATCAAAAAAGTGTCAATCATTTTTGTAAATTCAAAGAGCTTAAGGGGCATCTATTTTTTTTCTTTGAAATTCGAAAGTCAAGTTTTTTCGAAAAATTTGTCAGGTTATTTTTCCTGTTTCCCTGCGTTCATTACTCTGTTCCAACTGTCAGTTGGCTAGAGTTTTCAGTTCACTCGAAGCTCATATGCTACATGGAAGGTACTTACGCTTTTTAATAACGAAGATACTAAGGGCGCTAAAAATTGATGGACTTTTAGCTTCATAATTGGATTTAGTTTTTTATGTTCCCAATTCATTAGTTTTTATCCATTTTCTCAAATGGGGTGTTATCACTAAAATGTTATTGATAGAAGATTCTTGAAAAGCTTATTTTTTCTTTTTGAAAATGTTTAAGAAATAAACAATCGTTTTCGCGGTGATCTTGACATCATTGACTTATTTGCAACTGCCTGTGGGCTTGGTTTTGCTTGCGTATTCTCGATATTAGTTGTGATTTTCAGAATTTTCCTTTTGCCGCTTGTTTTAGACAGTGAAACTGAACCAGAAAACAGCAGCTCTGAGTCGTCAACTGGAGATCAAAAAGAAGGTTCCAGACAAAAGCGGAAGCCAGTTTTGGTGGGCAAAATCATTTACAATGCGTATCACTTATTCGGCACCATAACGAATGAGGAAATTGAAGCACTTCGTTTCAAGTATCGCATCAAGGTCATACAGAATTTGGAGGATTCTACTAAACGCACTGTTCTGCGAAATGTGGGGTACGTTTCATTCGAGGAATGGTTTTATACGGTATTCAATTCCTAATGATGCAACTTTGAAAAAATGCAGTACTCAATAGCATGGTAAAGCGATTATCAAGCGTCATTCAACGAAGTCAAGACACTCATTTAGGTCGTGGATGTTTTTTTTAAGAAAGTTTGAGAAATTGTTCACGCTCAATTTTATGTTCTCGCGGTTTGACTTTTACTTAAAAGGATTTATTTATCAATACCCTTTCTATGGCATCTACTAAACAATCTGCACCCCTCTAAATAAAAACAGTAAATTAGCACTAGAGCATTCTAGTAAAAGATCTAATCATGCCGCATTCTGATTCTAAAATTGGCTGTTCAATCTACTTAACAATCTCCTCCGTGGGTGGGTATTACGTAGATCTGATGTTTTTTTTTTAAATTTACTTTGAATTCATTGGCTCTCCAATAAAGAAAGTACAAATGGCGCGAATAAACAAGATTGTTTTTTGAAAGCGATATATTTGAACTCAATTCTAAAAGATTCTTCAAATAAAAAGAGCTTTAAGGTGATCTTTTTTTTCTGTGGCATTCTAAATTTCTAAAAAGTTTTTCGAAAAAAGTATCTCTATCTCTAATTCATAAGGATCGCAAGGGCACATTTGGCTAAGTAACATTTTTGAAAGATTCAGAAGTGGTTGTTGACGCAGTTTTAGTTTTTTATGAACGGCAATTTTTTTTTACTTTCAGTGAGAGCTCTGTGTTCAGCGAGAGTGAACTGGAGTTGCTTTATGAGGCATTCAAAAAGGAGCAGGTGGCTGGGTTTTTCTGGTCCCAGCTGCAACCGCAGCAGGCATTCGACAGAAGGGATCCCTTCTGTGTCCAGTCCAAAATCAACCGCGAAAGATATTCTACCTTGATGAAGACTCTGTCGCCTTGGTGCCAGCATTCAATGGGTGCGTAAAAGTTGAAAAATGAATGAAACTATGAATATTATCAAAAGCTTCACCACAATAAAATTATGGCAACATTAGGCCCAAATCACTGATACAATTACCAGTAGATTTGGCTTTCAATATGAAAGTTTGCTTTAAGTTCCGTCAATTAAAGGATTTGTCATTTCGCTACTTCTGTATCTGTTCAGATGGAGTAACCTGACCCAGCTGTCTGCTTTTCTATTTTACTTAATATCCATGTGTTTGATGGTTAAGCAATTCTGACGGTCGAGCAGATTAGTTAGTCTAGACAGCCGGTATATCTTAATAATTATTGTGAAGCATCTCCATATAAAAGAGCCCTGTCTTGAAGTTTAGTCGCGTGCTTCAGATTTCAGATAGCAGTTCTTGTTCAGAATGATAGCGTCACCCAAGAATTAGAAGCTCCTCAGATTTTTGCTAAAACTTGGTTTCTGAAAAAAAGGACATTAAAAACGTTTTGGACCTAACAGTAATTCGGAGATATAAAAGTAGATATTGGTACTGCCTGAATTATCTAGCTAAATATTTTCATGATGATATGTTTTGTTCGTTTAGCTGATCAGATGTGTGAGCGTTCCTTCTGGGCGGTAGACGTGGACGGAGACGGACTCGTGAACTTCGCCGAGTTCTGTCTAGCCCTCTCTCTCATGACTAGACAGGCGGCGGAGGAGAGAATCAAGTTCCTCTTCCTCATGCATCTCTGTCCATATATAACGACAACTAATACCAGTAGTAGTAGCAACAGAGAAAGCAAACCAACAGACACTGACAGGTACCATATTTGACAACTGACTCAGTTGGTAATTTTAGTGCTAATTGCAGTTTTAAAATAATACGATGAAAATTGCGGCAACAAAAACTGTCAGGCAAAAAAGTTACCGTGTAATTTTCCAAAAGTTGAGGTGGGTGTTCAAACCGCAAACCCTTGTAAAATACAGAAGGCAGGTTACCTTCCAGGCAATTGTTTGAAACCGTCATAAAGGATGAATCGTATTGGTTCTTTCATCTAATCTTGATGCAAACGAAACTCCCTGCTAAAATGAAAAATTGTAACCAGTTCTAAACTAGTAGTTATAAACCAATTATATTGTTGATGGATTATCACTATAAAATATTACTAACTAACCAATCATATTCCATCTCTAACATTGACACTTATTTGTAAGTGCTGAAACTATTTAAAGTTTCAGCACCAGAACAATTTGAATAAAACTTTGAATACAGTTGTTCTGCTTCTGGATAAACTCCAAGAACTAACTCGCATAAACCAGTATACACCAGATCTATTGAGACTAGGAGATATAAGAGTAAGATTAAGATTGCTATTAGACTAAGAAGTTGCACTAATCTATCCGGCCGAAAATAAGGTAGCGTGACGAGAGGACGGTATAACCTATCTGAAATTACTCTATGAGTATAACCAATAGGTCATAACTCAAAATCTTGACATTGAATAGTTTGTTTTAACTGAATCTGGTACTTGTCCTTTTTTTCTGTGAGCAACTAGTTGAGGATAATTTTTTTACTGAAAATATATCATTTTAATTACATGTAAAAAAAATGAAAGACATTTCAGCAATAATTTTTTTCAGGGCAACATTGACCTTGAGGTTAAGTTCCTTTTTTCACCGATGTTTTCCCTCAGAAATGCTCAATCCAATTTTTAGATACTATTTGCTGGATTAGTCTATTGTTTTTAAACTTGTTTTTAAGAATCGATGAACTTACTTCAGACTCTTATATAGGTCGTGATGTTTTTTGTGCTTCAGGGAAACTCTTATAAAATTTGTTCAGGCTCAAATTTTTTTTTTGCGGTTTGATTTATTTTTGAGTTCTTCAAGACTTATTTTTAGCCCTTGAGGTCGTCTATATTAACTAACAGTCTCTTTGCTGTGTTTATGTCTGGTCAATACCCTCTCATGTTATGCTCTGAACGGATTGTTTTTTATAGCTCAACTGGTTTGGCAAGTGAAGATGTCGATGCGAACCAGGACATGTTTTGCAGCGATGCTTCCTCCTCGCCAATCGAGTTCGTAGATGCATCTATGGTCCCTTCTGGGGGATCCAATAGTCCAGAAAACGAATCAGAAGACAAAAGTGACAGATACAAGACAGATAGCAGTGGATCAATTGCCAAATCGAAGTCAACGCCTCAGTTTGACGAGAAGAAACAACATTCGAAGCAGCATAAAAGGTGACTATCATATGACCTCGATGCTTCCATCTTAATTCAATTAACTTTGCGTTGTAAGCATTTGAAAATTATATCGCCCTTGTTTCAGGAGGACAACTGAGAGTAGTAATATGGCCGTTGATATGACCGAAGGTGACTTGGGCGTGTGCTCCTACAGACAGCTAACAAGCGTGGGAAGGGGAGGGGACAGAATTGATAAGTGGGTGATGAACTATCAGAGACTGGGAGAGGTGAGTCTGAATCAGCAGCAATTCATCCAGTTGTGGAAGAGTCTCTATGACGTGTTCCAGAATGAAACTAACGAACAGGACCTATACTTTGCAATCGGAAGTAAGTATTGATTATGTTTTTTTTAATAAAAAATTTTCAAGTTTGTTCACGCTCACGTTGTTTTTTTTTTAAAATTCATATACTAAGAGGAGGGAAAGTGATGATCCTCAAAAAAGAAAGTAATGGCGCCAAAGAAAGCGTAAATTACTTTTTTTTAAAAAGTGGACTTAATTATTAAACGTCGCAGCTCCGCTTTGCCTGTGTAATTAATGATAAAACCGGGTTGAAAGCTGCTGTATTGTTAATTGCTTCGCAAGCGAGCTAGTGAGCGTAGTGTTTAAATGCGAACCATATTTTCTTCAACCTAACTTGCCATCATTTATTTGGGAGTACTTTTGATTTATTTCCAAGCATAGGCAATTTAGTTGCATCTGTGGCTGCTGTATTGGTGGCTAGTACAAGGAAAACTAGCCGGATTTAATCCTCCGACCTGGATTTTAGGATTCCCACTTACTAGCATCTGAACAACTGTCGCTATGTTATAATGCGAACCATAGTTTTTCCAACCTATTTTGTAGATATGGTTCGCATTATAACTTTTACATGTTATAATGCGAACCATATTTTTTCCAACCTAACTTGTAAATAAAAGTGCTTTCCAAACATTGGCAATTGAAATGCATATGTGGCTGCTTTATTGGTGGTAGTGTTAGTAAATTTTCAAGCGACCGTCGCACAGATACAAGGACATGAAATTGTTAATCTCCGGGTCGCAGACTCGATTTTGGCTCTTACCAAAATATTTTTAAGAGTAATGAACGTAGTGAATACTCTTATAAAGGTCTTGCTGATTTATTTTTTCAGGAAAAGGTCTTAAAATGTGCATAAAAGTCTCTAATAACTACAGATGTGAATTCATACATTGATTTCATGCATATTGATGCATTTATGAATGCACTTAGGTATAGATGCTTTTTTGAGTTCAATTGAAATTCATCTGCTGAAAGTGACGTAATTAGCTCTCTCCAAATACGAACGTGGAAATGGCGCAAAAAAACGTAAGCGATTTCTAGTTTCAAAAGTGGAATTTAATTTCTAGATTTCCAGCGGAATAAAAACTTAACCTATTAATCCTGTTTTCTCTAGTTGGGTTCATGTTTACACAAGCAAAGCTTGTGTTATAGTTTGAACTATCTTTTTTTTTCAACCTATGTCGCAAATATTGTTGCGATAGAATGTGTTCATTTTGAAAGTGTTTATTTCAATCAATAACCAATTATTAAGTACAGCCAATGCTAAGGATTTTAACACAGACTATTATTGTTCCGGCTTTCGTAACAAAAGTAACGGAATATTTGTGCTCGGGGTGGGTTTTTTTCTTCAGACAAAATTCGACTTTTTAACTGGCCATTTTTGACGGGATTTGTTTTAATATCATTCTAAAATTATTGTTGTCCTGAGCTTAGTTTAGAAAGATATTTTACCTGTGATCATTTTTAGTGAAGTTATGGGGGTATAACAGTTGACGTTTTTGCCAATTTGGGACAATTAACGAGCGATATATTTCGCCTATTAAAGCGTAAGCGGAGATTTAATACGTCATAGAAATCGTTACAAATTGGTTGAAGGAAGCTTATTTGCCATAATTGATTTGTTACTAGGAGCGAAATTTATCTCTCTGTACTTAATATGGCGTGTGGGGGGATGATTCTCACAAAAAATATCAAATTTAAAAAATTCATTTCATTTTTAATACATTTAATTTTTTCATATTATTACTGCTCCATAGACTGCTCTATAAATTGAGGCATTGATTGGTATTTTTTTTTCAAAATTGACTGGTACTGCTAATGTGTCATAATTGGCGTGCGTCACTTACGAAATTTTTTAGACTCAAAGTTTGACTTATTCAGTTTTTCCCAGTAGCGTTATCGGTCATATTTTTGCTTGTGTATGCGAAGTGGAACTTCGCCTCTGTAAATCAAAAAGATCCAATCATTAATTTAAGAAACGTGAAGAGCTTAAATGGTATCTATTTTTTTCTTTGAAGTTCGAAAATTGAGGTTTTTCCACGAAAGCCATTGGTTTTTTCTATGGTAACTTGCGTTCATCAGTCTTTTCCGATCTTCGATTGGCTATGCTTGAGTTCAATTGAAATTCATCTGCTGAAATTGACGTAAATAGCACTCTCCAAATGTGAACGTGGAATTGGCGCAAAAAACGTGAACTATTTCCAGTTTCGAAAGTGGAGTTTAATTTATAGATTTCCAGCGGAATATAATTTTCACTTGTTGATCCAGTTTTCTCAAGTTGGGATAATTTTATCAAAAAAGCAGCTATCGTAAGTCATTCCAGAAGTCCAAAGAACTTAAAGGGCATCAATTTTTTGAAATTCGAAAGTTGAGATTTTTTCAATAGTGTTATTTTTTCAATGTTTATTTGCGTTCATTACTCTTTTCCAATCTTCGATTGGCTATGTTTTCCTAAGGATCGTTTTTCCGCCATTTAGAACAAATTTTTGGCGTTTTCTCACTTTCGTTTGCCAGTTGCATCTTCGCCTCTGTGTTATATTTATAACTTCGAAAAGTTGTCAATCTTATCCTTGATTAAGATTTGATGAAGGTAGTGAAGACTCTAATCTAGGTCGTGATGATTTTTTTTTCGTTTTTTTTATGGAAAAGTCTTAAATTTTTTTCAGTCTCAGATTTACTCTTTCGCGGTTTGACATATTTTTTAGAATTCAGTTCATTTCGTTTGCTAAAAAGAAAACAAACTCCATTATGGAACAACAAAATTGTAAAGGTCACGAAAAACGTTATCGACTTTGTTTCGAATGTGAATTTTGATTTTCAGATTTCCTAGTGGAATGAAAAGTTCAACTATTGATCCAATGTTCTCAGATTGTGTCAATTTTATCAAAAGTCTGTCAATCATAAATTGTTGTTGAAATTCAAAAGCCTTAAGGCAATGTCTTTCTTCGAAATTTGAAAACTTGATTTCCGAAAAATTGTCCTTGTTTTGGCTTCTTGCGTTCATTGACGCTTTTCTAATTGTCTGTTGGCTATGATTCATCTAAACCAGACATCAAACAAAGGCTCCATAATCTTATCCAGGTCTTCTGGATCTGCTGGAAAGAATGCAAAGTGCATGTTTTAGCTATTGGGTCGAATTTATTGAGAATGGGAGACGTCAAAAAGGGCAAAATACGAGCTGAATCAATGCAAGCTTCCAACTCCATAACTAATCCTGCTGGTCCAATTGGAGATCTGTCAGAGGTGCCCAACATGGGCATGGATCCAGGTGTGTTTGACGTGGACTGGCGAATCGAGTTCAACCAATTTCTGGCCAGTATTAGTCAGTTCAGTGAAGTCTTCCAGTTCTTCAACTCCAAAGTCCCAATCAAGGATCGATCCAAGACGCTTGTTGCTCCTCAGACAGAGTAGCAAGTGAAGGGTGTGTTATGAGTTAAAAAGATTAAGATATTTTTCCATTTCTTGTTTCAATCTAAAATTTAAAAATATCTATTTTGCTGTAATTAGTTTTTAGCTGAATTGTAAATTAACAGCGGTATAGATCAAAATTTTGCAGAGCATTTCAAAGTGAGCGTTCTTTGACCGTAATATTCAATTGAATCTAGGATAAACACTTCTTGATTTTTTTCTGATGTCCTTAATTTTGACCAGCTCACGTATGGTTAGGTCAAGTATATTCATCGCCCTTCTTGATTCTATCTGATAAAACTGTAATTTAATGCTTCATGATCATTTTACCAATGTAGTTTAATGTTTATCAACGATTTTGAAGGTGCTTAGCTAGACTTTAATTTATTCAAGGTATTTTCTGTAACATAATTTCCACGAAATAGTCTTGAATTTACTTTATTGTAATTATTTTTTTTTTTACTTTTTTGTAATTATTACACTTGCGAAGTAATGTGTTATAGTACGAACTTTCTTTTTTTTCCAACCTAAGTCGCAAATATTGTTGCGACTACTATATTTGCTCCATCGAATGTGCTTTGACATTCGAATACAGTTGATTCCTTTTTAATTCATCAAGTGAACCGAAAAAAACGCTATTTTTTTCAAAGAACAACAATAATAAATTCTCGGTTTCTGAAATTTTCTAACGCAATTTTTTGAAATGCATAATTTATACATAATGTGGCTTTATGATTTGCAATTTATAACATGCAAAATTGTATCTTTTTGTAATCGATGCTACTTTTGCTGTATCAAATTGGCAATTTATTAGCATATTTAGCTGCTTTATTCGTATTTGGATAGTCCGTGAGACTCAAAATCTCTCGATTGCACAGTAGGTCGCAGATTTGAATCCTACACCTAGCCGATTTTTTTTTTTACAAATTCGAGGCTTATTTCTAATTTTTCTTGGTCACTTGATAGAGCTGCTTTTTGGTCGTGTTCTCAGAAGTGTTTGCGAAGCGCAGCTTCGCCTCTGTGTTATTTTTGTCGGAGCTTGGTTTCTAATACTACCACAACTAATTGTTAAACTTCTTAACTGTTATAACGTCTTCGGAGTTAATCGTGTGTTTTTGGCTCAAGGACGGTTTTGTTTTTACACTACGAGCTTGCGATGCGAGCGTTATTGTGTTTGTACCAACCTTTTTTTAAAACCTGACTCGTTAATAAAAGTGGTCATTTATTTCACTTAAGCTATAATAACTATCTGTAGCATTGGAAATTGCATAGCATCTGTTCTCTGCTTTATTTGTGACTAGTGTTATGTTTTTTTAAGCGTCCGTGACTGAGTGGTCAGTGCGTGAGACTCATATTCTTTTTATTTCTGCAGGTCGAAGGATCGAATCCGACACGTAGCCGAAATTTTATTAAATCGAGGCTTATTTCTACTTTTTGTTATTGCACTTAATAGAGCTGCTTTTTGTTCTCGCCAGTGTTTGCGAAGAACAGCTTCGTCTCTGTAGAAATAGTTGGTTCCAGCATAATTAAGAGTAAGGAACGTAGTTAAGACTCTTATATAGTTACTTGTTTTTTTGTTTGTTTTTTTTTCAGGAAAAATCTTAAAATGCTCTTATATCTACAGATGTGCATTCTTACATATTAGTACATTTATGAATGCACATAGGTATATAAGCATTTTTTGGAGCTCATTTGAAATTCATCTGCTGAAAGTTACATAAATAGCACTCTCCAAATACGAACGATTTCTAGTTTCTAAAGTGGAATTTAATTTTTAGTTTTCCAATGGAATAAAATTTTTACCTATTGATCCAATTTTCGCAAGTTGGATTTATGTTATTAAAAAAGCGCCAATCATAAATTGTTCTAGTAATTCAATGAGCTTATAGGGCATCTATTTTTTTCTGTGAAATTCGAATATTGAGATTTTTTTCAACAGTGTTTTTTGTTTGTTTACTTGTGTTCATTTCTCTTTTTCAACTTTCAGTTGGCTATGTTTTTTTTGTATTTAAGTGAATTAGTTTCGTGTAATATTTTAATTGACTTTGTACAAAGAGGTGGAAAATTGGTTGCTGATTTTAATAAAATGCTTTTATGCTCTGCTGTCAGTAAGCATGCTATGCCTATAGTTTTACAGGAAAGTAATGAGCAATGGTTCCTGATAATTATCTAGCTATTTTGTTTTTGGAAGTTTTTTAAAATTGAGGTTTAAAGTGATGATTTTTTTTCTCTGAATTTAAAAATTGGATTTTTTTAAACGGAGATAAATTTGGTTAGATCTCATTACAGATGCGAGCTAGATTTGTGTTTTTTTTTGCGGAAAACACTTTTCCAACCAAACTGGCACATAAATGAGCTCATTATAGTGGCGCTTTTGTTGCATAGTATTGGTAGCTTAATAGCATGTTATCTCCGAATAAGTAGTAGTTAGTGTTTTTTAAGCACCAGTAGCGCAGTTGTGTAGGGCAGTCGAATTGATAACTTGGAAGATTCGCCTCTGTTAACTTTTTTCAATTGTCTGATTATTATGATGAGTTTTAACTTTAAAAAGTGGATTTTTAAGTTTCGCAGCATAACCATTAAGTTTGACCAGTTGGCCAGTTTTCTCCAAATTAATCAATTTTCTCAAATAGTAGTATAGATCTTCTTATTCTGGTTCGCAACTTAAGTAACAAAATCAGTTGAATCATGTGAACTCTTCATATTAAGTTCAATTTTCTCAGCTTCTCCGATACATTTGGTCAAGAGCAAACGAATGGGTCTGGGCCGGCCAAGGTCTTAGGTTCAAATTGAGCCAGGATCTTTTTTTAAACGAAATATTCCGTTCAAAAAATTTTTCAGCTTATTTATTTGTGTGCTAATATTTTTTACATCCTCGAGTTTTTTTTGCGTCGACAGATAATAATAAACTTTCTATAATAATAAACTTTCGATAATAAAAAAGTTTTTTTTTACTTCGACTTAACTTACACAAAATTTTTTCGCTTGTGATTGTTATCGTTGATTAGGTAGATGTTATCAATTCTTATTTTTTTCTTGTAAACAGTTTGTCCTGTAACCAACTTGTCCTACAAACAATTTGGCCAAAAAATAACTGCATCATTTTCTCAAATCTGTGTTTTCGTCAATCAACTGACATATTTTGTGCATTTTTGCGTTTAAATTACCCGTTCTGTGCATATTTTAAATGTTTGTTTCAGTATTACCAATTCTGGTAAGGTTAAGTTAGGTTAGGTTGTTTTTCTTTTTTCCCTCTACTCTGCTCAAAAAATGAAGATTGTCTGCTCAAGAAATGTAGGTTTGTTACCGCTTCATAAGGTTTCTTTTGATGCAAAGTTGCTTTTCAATTTTCTTATTTGACATTTTTATAAAGTGACCTTTATTCTTCAGATTTGGGAAAAATATGAAATTTTTGGTTGATCTAGCTTTTCTCGATTTATTCAAACAAATTTTTATAAAATTTTAGCGAATTTAATTAAGAGCAATGAACGTAGTGAAGACTTTTATATAGGTATTGCTGATTTTGTTTCAGGAAAAGTCTTAAAAGTCTCTAATAACTAAAGATGTGCAAGCATACATATTGCAGCATTTATGAATGCACTTAGTTATATATGCATTTTTGAGTTCAATTGAAATTCATCTGCTAAAAGTGATGTAAATAGCTCTCTCCAAATGCGAACGTCGAAATAGCGCGAAAAAACGTGAACGATTTCTAGTTTCGAAAGTGGAATTTAATTTTACGATTTTTAACCTGTTGATCCAGTTTTCGCAAGTTGAATTAATGTTATCAAAAAAGCGCCAATCATAATTTGTTCTAGAAATTCAATGAGCTTACAGGGCATCTATTTTTTTCTTTGAAATTCTTAAGTTGAGATTTCAACAAAGTCAGTGTTTTTTTTGTCTATTTGCTTTCATTACTCTTTTCCAATCTTCGATTGGCTATGTTCTGATATTATGTCTGTTATTTTGTCTTGTTATGTTTGTGTTGTATCGCAAGTGGTGCGAATCCATTGTTTTTGATTTATTCCTGCAATTTTCTAAATCTGATTTTTTTTGTATCTTCCTTTTTTCGCTCAGAAGCTTCATCTGGACTAAATAGTTTTGACTTATACGCTCCGATTACTCATTTAACGCTGAAGACTCTTTTTCCAAATGCATTTTGCTGGAAATGATCATCATTCTAGATCAATTTTTATTGTTTTTTGTATTTCTGTTTTTGATCTAGTGGATTTTTGTCTGCTAGCTTATGCTGCAATTTTTTGTGCTAGCGCAAGTGGTGTGAATTTTTGATGCGTCTCTTTTGAAAAAGATTATCGAAATTCAAATCCAAACAGCTTAAGGTAAAATGTCATCAGAGAGTGTTGTCTATTGGTTAGTTTTTTACCAATTTAGTTCAAATTTGGTTAGCTTCTAACCATTCCTCCTGCTATCTGTTTTGTTAGGTTATGAAGTCTTAAACGTGCTATTCCGGTCAACTTGGGCTAATTATTGCGTGGTTTTGAGAGTTTACTATATGCACGCGTGCGGAATAATCCGGCTCAAAAATCATTTCGAATTGACGCGTGCTAATTGGTCTCATAAGTGCAATACGACTGAGCGGAGGCATTCTCGGTTCGTTTCATCCGCTAAGTGTCATTTTGCTCCAATTTTTGAAGAAAGCTTTGCTTTTAATGATCGGGTCATTTTTGAGAGTCGAACGTTTTTCAGACTCTAAATAGGTCGCGATGATTTATTTTATTTCTTTTTAGCAATTTCTTAAGCAAAATCGGTTAGGTTGTCGCTTTTATAAAAAAGAAAGCATTGAGTTTATTGCATCTCCATTTCGATATTTTCTTTGCTTTTTCAGATAATATTTGCAATGCCAACTTTTAGTCATCGGTGAAAAATCAACGTTTCTGCGGCTGTCTGTCGTGTGCAAACGCAGAAGGGAGTTATCAGTGTTAAAACTAAAGCGTAACATTTTTCGTCTGTGTTGAATTTGAGAGACGATAAGCCTTCAATTTGGAAGAAGAATGAAGAAAAAATCCAGCGCATTGAAGGCGTTACTTGGCAAGCCGATGCTTGTCGGCACCACAACATGCAATATAGAAGATATCATAGCAGAAGGTCCGTGACATTGCAATATAGTTTTTAAATGTTTTAAAGCGTGTTCATTAAAATTCATCTCAAAAATTTTCATCTTCAATTTTAGCTTAGACAGTTCTCAAGAAGCGCTATTGAAAAAATCGGTTCTTTTGGGTATATGCTGTGCAATAAGTTGTGAAATTCAACGCTTTCTCTTAACGGTTTGTGGTTAGTGCGAGGCTGATTCTGTCGTATAATGCATGAGTACGTAAATGGAAGCAACATGGTTATTACATGCGAGCTGGTCATGTTTTAATACTCATACGCATTTGAAGAAAACTGTCCTGTCTATGCAGGTGGATTTGCTCTGGTGTTTCTGGCCCGCACTCCCTCAGGGCAGAAGGGGGCACTAAAGCGGATGTTTGTGAACAATGAGGCTGACCTAGCAGTTGCCAAGAGGGAACTAACCATTCTCGTAAGACAGTTAGCTTAACCGATTCTTTTTTCTGCTACTACTTTACTTGTTTGGGTTGTCTCTCAAATGATGTGCTCCTAAACAAATTACAAAACAGCAATAGGCGCATAGTTTCCAACAAACAGGGGGATGCCAATCAGATAAATAAGTTCTACCGAAGGACCAACGAAGCGTGCGCTTAACTTACCGCACGACATTGATAGAAGATGGTATCAGATGTTTTCGATGAGTCAATTTTGTAATAAAATTCATCGATGAAATGTAGTTATTCCGCCTTTATTTCTTGCGGTGTCTTGTTGATCTGTCAATAAACTGTATGGTAAGATTAAGGATGAATGAACTCAGGAAAGATATTGCTAAAATGTTTGTTGCAGAAGACGCTGTCCGGGCACAAGAACATAGTGACTCATCTGGACTCCCACATCAGAGTGGCCCCTGGAAAGGGAGATTCGGGTGTGCACGAGGTGCTACTCCTCACAGAGTTTTGTCCAGGTAAAAATGGATCATATATAGTCTCTTACAAAAATAGACTAAAGTTTAAGCACTTGGATCATATATATTGTCTATTTCAAAAATGACTAAAATTTAAGCAAAACAAAATCAATTAAAAAAAGAAAATAATAGGCTTGTTGCTGTGTAAAATAAAACCTAATGTTTCACAATGAATTTGTGATGTTATCTGAACGGCGTTGTATAAACGGCTACGCCCTGATTTTTGTAAAAACATGTTATGGCTATGTAAGTTTTTGATGAAAAAAGTTATCGCCTTAGAGGTTTTGAGGAAAAAATTTTTTCGCCTTAGAGAAAGTGAAATTTCAATTTAGGTTACTCTCTCTTTTTTCTTGAAAAGCAATAATGGACTTCGTACAAGTCTATTTTTTAAAATTTTGCTCGTTATTAGAATTTTTTGATTTTTCACTACAGTTTCAAATCTGAGATTAAGGGGTCAATCGAAAGAACTGCTGTAGGGGTATCCTCTGCTTAGCAGATTTTTTTAATTTTGGGAAGAAATCCGCTATGGATTAAAGAATTATTTGACCTTTCGAATCATTTTTGGACATGTTAAATTTCCCAAAAATGACTGAACCAAATGAAGAAATTCAATAAACGGAGATGTTTTAATCTCCACTGCAATAGCATTTTTTCTGTACTTTTGATAAGAATCATCTATGGATTTGATAAATCTACCTTTTTGATATTTTGAAACATTTTGAAAAATACGCATTACCTTTCACATCAGTGCATTTTCTAGAAATATATATCAAATAGGTACCTTCAGGTTTAGCTGGGCCCCTAGTGTTTAACTGTTTTAAGCTTCAGCAGATTTTTTAATAGTTGAACCTTTTGTTTTCATTTTTTGACCTTTTCTATAAACTGTTTTGCCAACTGTTTTCTATAAGGCTGTTGGAAGTTTTTTTATTTACAGTTTTTCTACAGTGAAATTAGGCTCTATTAAAACTTCTCGTGCTGTAGTAGAGCCCAAAAATCTGAAAGTCACATTTAAAGTTTTTTGATATAGAATTTGTGAAACTTTTTTTTGAGACAACTTTGAGATAAATTGAGATAAAATTAATGGTTGTCTATGAATTTCCGATTAAACCTTATAACTGCTTTTTAAGGTTTTCATTTCAATTTAATTTTTGTTCGTTGAATAGCCGGGAACAGCTGGAGTTAAGTTTTATTTGACATGAAATTTTTCTTGAGCTTATTTTTAAATTTGATTATTTTGAATAGTTATTCTGGATTTCTTATTTGAGTTAAGATAAATTGGTAAAGATTGGTAAAGATAAATCGATTTATTGTAGTGTGTCTTCTTTCGAGTTCAGATTTTTGTTCTATAGATTTTTAATTGAAAGGTTATAAAGATTCTTAATTCTTCCAGCTTTTTTCACTTCTAGAGTCGATGATTTTTTTTCTTGTTTTTTCGGGGAAAAAGTCTTTAAATTTGTTCTGGCTCAAATTTATTATTTCGCGATTTCATTTTGATTTAAAAGGAAGACAAACTCCACTATCGAACAGCGAAAGTTAAAAGGTAACGAAAAACGTAATCGACTTCTAGTTTCGAAAATGGAGTTTTTTCAGATTTCCCAGCGTACTAAAAAAAAATTACATGCGGATCCATTTTTCTCAAATTGGGTTTATTTTATCGAAAAATTGCCAATCGTAAATTGGCTATGTTTTTTTAGGGTTCGCAAATGAAGGGAAGCTTCTCTTCGCCTCTGTGTAAATAATTGCTTTTCTAAGGAAGCTTTGTAACATTGAATGCGCAGCTTCTCGGAGAGCTATTGCGAAAAAAATGTTACTCATGGCATTTGTAGTCCCAATATACTTACAATTTAAATGAGAAGAATTGAATGACCGTTTCAAATCAATGAAACGCGATGTCTTTCCGTGTAAAATTAGCGTGAAAGTGTTGCTTTTTGTATGAATTCATTCGACTTTACGAACAATTAATCGACAGCATGTATTTGCAGTTCAGTTTTTGGAAAATCAATTTAAAATTTGAAATCAATTTATGTTTGAAATTTTAATCTGTAATAGGTAGTGTAATTGAGGACATGAACAGACTGGCGGGCTCACATGGACACTTCTCGCAGACGGAAGTGCTGCGTGTATTGTGTGACACATGCGAAGCACTGAGTAGACTACACCACTGCAAGACACCCATAATCCATCGTGATGTCAAAGTAAGAAACCGAAATTAGGTAAACAGACTAAGATAGCCACAGGCAATTTTTTTGGAAAAAAAACATAACACAAACGATTGCATTAAATTCGGAAACTTAGCATAGGAAAGCTCAATCACGAAAGATAGCATTTAAACGCTATTTTTTGGGATGAGCTGTAGCTTGAAGTTTATCTGTCAGTTGAAATTTCGGTCTTAATTTTTGGGAAAAAAACCGTTAGCTGCCCATCTTCTTTGAGAAATCAAAGAACAGGCGATCCATGCGTTTTCTTTCTGGGTGTTATCAAACTGCTTCGGATCAATTGAGCAATCTCTCCCCTATTCTGACTTGGGGGAGATAGCTCAATGGGTACTTGAGACCTGTTTATAGCCACTTGAACTACTTTTAATTATGTAAAACTATACGCTATATTCTCCAATAAACGCGGAGAACCAAAAATCACTTGAAAACCCAAAAACTAGATTCAGAGTGAAAAAATGGCCAAATTAGTCGCATTTTAAACACAATTTTTCCTGTTTTGCTTGAACAAAAATGTGCGATTGATTACGTACATTATTAGGATGCAGTAGGTTTTTACATAAATAAAGGTCATAGAACTGACTCTGGTAACTTGCTTACCTCGAAGCAATAATCGCCCAAACCAAAAAAGAAGAAAAAATTGAAGAAAAAAATTCAAAAATATATTTCTCGACACAAATTCAGTCGACCAAGTGATTGCGACCTATATGCACTTCAACCACGTGTTCGTGTTTGAAAACCTCTTTTTATAGTGTTTTGCCGTATATGCTTAGCGGCGATATAGTTCAATTGATCATAACGGGGGGGGGAGAGATTGCTCAATTGATCCACTGCTTCCGATGTTAATGTACTTCGTATTGTCAAGGACTTCTTATTACCTTTAATGCGTTGAAGACTTCTCTAAAACACCGGAGGAGCGTAACACATTGATCAAAGAAGATTTGCACCTTTAAAAATTGATACTGCTTTTCTTCATAAGAACATGAACAACCCCTGGGTTAAAGCTTCAAAAAAGCCAATAGGAAACATAATGAAAGATAGATTTCAATTTCATGGCTTCGATTTGACCTACAGGTTGAGAATGTGCTGTTCAATGGGCGTCACTACGTGCTGTGTGACTTTGGCAGTGCCACCAACAGAGTAATGGACCCCTCCGCCCCAGGAGCAAACATACCAGACATGGAGGAGGAAATCAAAAAGTATGTGTCAATTACTGAACTATGTTGTTAGAACTATTCGCAGTTTGAAAATGATACAATAAAAGTTGAGGTGAAAAATATGTCAAGCAAAAAATAACCGTGTTTTTTTTCCGAAAGTTGCGATGGCATTCGAACTGCAATCCTGCAATAGCTTTGTTTTCAATAAGCTTGATAATCTCCATGATTTCAGTTTTGATTTTCAAAGAAATATATTTTTTCGTTTTCAACTACTATCTCTGCTTCTCCGAATTAAAGGCTTTTTCGCCTGCTTGCAGATTTTTTCCGTGAATTCAATTTGAGCGTTTTAAGATGTCATTGAACGAAGCATTACGAGGCCAAACTGTGCCTTCTCTGCATTGTATGCGGAATCCGCAACAGGCCAAAATCAGATTTGTCGCGGAATCCGCAACATTGCTACTTTTCTTTGATCTTCTATGCTGTTTTGGATTCCACAAACAAATACCTAAATCATTGTACCGCTCAAAATCGCTCGAAAAATAGGCGAATTTGAGGAATACGCAACTTTATTTGCGGAATCCAGAACAGTTTGTGGAATCCACAAACAAATGATAAAACGTTTGTATCGTTAAATTGAGCTCTTGTGAAATCCGCAACTGTAAGTGAAATCCGAAAATTGTAAGTGGAATCCGCATTTTGTTTGCGGACTCCCTTTACATATATTTATATGTGTAGTAGCCTTTAAAATTATACATGATTTGATTTCACTAGAATAGAAATTTACAAGAATAGAAATTTACTAGAATAGATCACTGTTTGGGATTGATGCAATCCCAATTACTGGCCAGTATTTGGGATCAATGCAATCCCAAATACTGAATTAATTCGACGATTTGCTATGCGTTGGGTTTCTAATCACTCTCAACCTAATGACTTCAAATAATGGATATATTCCATATGTATTCCACATTATTCCAGTTTTTGGGATTCCATCAATCTCAAATACTGACCAGTATTTGGGATCGATTGAATCCCAAATACTGAACTAATTTGACGATTTGCTATGCGTTGGGTTTCTAATCACTCTCAACCTAATGACTCCAAATAATGGATATATTCTATATTTATTCCACATTATTCCAGTTTTTGGGATTTCATCAATCCCAATTACTGACCAGTATTTGGGATCGATGGAATCCAAAATACTGATCTAAATTGGCGATATGCTGTGTGTTGTGTTTCCATACACTCTCAACCCAATGACTACAATTACTGCATTTATTCGGCGTTGTGCTTCCAAAATCAGTATTTGGGATTGACGCAATCCCAAATACTGACCTAATATGTCGATATGCTGTGTGTTCTATACACTCTCAACTCAATGACTCCAAATATTGAAATTGTTTGGTGTTGAGTTTCCAAAATACTAAAAGATTACATCCACCGATTTAGGTAACCAATGTTTTAAGACTTGTTCGTGGATTCCGCTGACAATGGTTAAGTCTTTGCTTTTAAATTCCGCATTGCTAGAGATAATAATTCCAGCTCAGCTTTTAATTGTTCATATGCAATTTCAGTATCGAACAAAATTCGGAATCTACTTACAGTTTGCGGAATCCACTTACATTTGCGGATTCCGCTTTCATTTTGCGGAATCCACTTACAGTTGAGGAATCCAGAACAACTAGCTATATTTGCTTGTTGCGGAATCCGCAACAAAACAAATGTGCCGACAAAATTTACGTTACTGGTATATGTATGCGGAATCCACTGAAATTTAGTTTGGAATCCACTTAATTTTGGAATCCAGGAACATACAGACACAAAATTGTGCTCCTATCCAGTGCACAGTTTGGCCTCGTAATGAGTAAAGATAGTTATTTTGGACAATTATAATCGTTTCTTTTAGGAAAATTAGTTCGTTCAGAATATTCTATAGGTCGCGATGATCTTTTTCATGGAAGTTTTAATATTTGTTCATGCTGAAATTGACTTTTTCGCGTTTTGAGTTTTGACTTCTTTTAAGTTCAGCTCATTTTATTTGTTAATCCCAAATACTGAACTAATTTGACGATGTGCTATGCGTTGGGTTTCTAATCACTCTCAACCTAATGACTCCAAATAATGGATATATTCTATATTTATTCCACATTATTCCAGTTTTTGGGATTTCATCAATCCCAATTACTGACCAGTATTTGGGATCGATGGAATCCAAAATACTGATCTAAATTGGCGATATGCTGTGTGTTGTGTTTCCATACACTCTCAACCCAATGACTACAATTACTGCATTTATTCGGCGTTGTGCTTCCAAAATCAGTATTTGGGATTGACGCAATCCCAAATACTGACCTAATATGTCGATATGCTGTGTGTTCTATACACTCTCAACTCAATGACTCCAAATATTGAAATTGTTTGGTGTTGAGTTTCCAAAATACTAAAAGATTACATCCACCGATTTAGGTAACCAATGTTTTAAGACTTGTTCGTGGATTCCGCTGACAATGGTTAAGTCTTTGCTTTTAAATTCCGCATTGCTAGAGATAATAATTCCAGCTCAGCTTTTAATTGTTCATATGCAATTTCAGTATCGAACAAAATTCGGAATCTACTTACAGTTTGCGGAATCCACTTACATTTGCGGATTCCGCTTTCATTTTGCGGAATCCACTTACAGTTGAGGAATCCAGAACAACTAGCTATATTTGCTTGTTGCGGAATCCGCAACAAAACAAATGTGCCGACAAAATTTACGTTACTGGTATATGTATGCGGAATCCACTGAAATTTAGTTTGTGGAATCCACTTAATTTTGGAATCCAGGAACATACAGACACAAAATTGTGCTCCTATCCAGTGCACAGTTTGGCCTCGTAATGAGTAAAGATAGTTATTTTGGACAATTATAATCGTTTCTTTTAGGAAAAGTAGTTCGTTCAGAATATTCTATAGGTCGCGATGATCTTTTTCATGAAAGTTTTAATATTTGTTCATGCTGAAATTGACTTTTTCGCGTTTTGAGTTTTGACTTCTTTTAAGTTCAGCTCATTTTATTTGTTAAAAGGGAGGCAAACTCCACTATCGAACAGCAAAAGTGTAAAGGTCATGAAAAACATGATCGACTTCTAGTTTCGAGTGTGGATTTTAATTTTCAGGTTTGCCAGTTTTATTTATTAATCCAGTTTTCTCACATTGGGTTAATTTTTATCAAAAAAGCGCCAATGATAAATTGTTCTAGAAACTGAAAGGGTTTCAATGGCTTTAACTGAAAGGTCAAAATCGATCAAGTTCAAAAGTCATTAAAAATTGAGTTGAGGCGAGCTAATTGGTGCGAATGACATGGCGCTAGATCAGAAACAGATAATTATGTACCTGAAGTTTAGTGTTGGTAGATTTCCAAAAAATGTTTGTCTTGAAAATTTTTCACGCGAAAACTGGTGTTTCGCAGTTTGACTTCTGATTTCTGCATGTTCGTTTAGCTTCTATTGTTGAAAGGAAGGCAACTGCCACTATCGAAAATAGTGATTGAATGACTCAAAACAACTACAAAAACGTGATCGACTTCAGTTTCGAAGAAAGATTTAAGTTTTCAATCTCCCAGCGGAATAAAATGGATCTAGTTTTACCTATTGATCTAGTTTTCTCTAGATTATTCTTATCAAGAAAGTGCCTATGATAATGTTTTCTTGATCTTCAAAGATCTTTTACGTGATATGTTTTTTCCTTCGGAGTTCGAAAGAAATTTTGCAATCAAGTATTTTTGTCCTTGTTCTCGTAAGTTTGTCCAACCATCTATTGGCTATGTTTTGAATTCAACCCTTTTGAATCAAAAACTAGATATGACAGGAAAATAAGTCCAGTTAGGAAAGACTGAACTTTCGAAGCTGGCTTCGACGTGCTGGTAGTGGACCAGGCGACAATCTATATCTTTTCCATTTTGATTAGAAGTAGTTTATTGAATGAAGCATTTTTCTCATATAGAGACGCATTCATCTAGATACTTTGTAGAGTTGGAAAAAGACCGCGATGTCACGCATCTGGTTTAGTGAAATAAACAGGTACATTTCTGATAGCCTTGCTTAGTTGATATGTCATCTTCTGATGTTTTGTTTCAGGTATACTACGTTGTCCTATAGGGCTCCCGAAATGACAGATTTGTATGCTGGGAAGAGTATCTCTATCAAAGCCGACATTTGGGTCAGTATAAATAACGATCCCTTCAAGCTAAATATAATTAAATCATTACTGATCTGTTTTCATAATTGATGGTTTAAACGTGGTCGTATGTAAGATGGCCGATAAATCCATTTGCCGAAATTGATAATATTCGATTTGATCAATTATTTTTCTGAAACAGCTTATTAACAACAGAAAAAATGTCGCAAGAAGCACCTTCATATTATTGTTAGATTCAAACATGTTTGTTGCATTAATACACTTGTTTTACACTTTTTCATTTCGTTTAACCCTTCGCATCGATTACATGAGATTTACCAGTTTCAATGTTGTCGAGCGATTCTGATCCGATGATTTCTCACTAACTATTAAATGGAGTAATGTTATTCTTTGATAGGCGTTGGGATGTTTGCTGTACAAGCTATGCTTCTTCACTCTCCCATTCGGAGAATCCATTCTGGCCATTCAATCTTCGAACGTCATTTTTCCACCTGATTCGAAATATTCGCCTAGAGTTCACCAACTCATCAGTAAGTTCACAGTAGAAATGTAGATTATTATGAATATGCATTCATTGATTCCTTAAAATTTTCACAGACTTTCCTACCTTTTCCCAGCTCCCTCTGACAAAACATTTTTCCAGCTCCCAGGAAATTTTTTTTTAAATGGCTTTGGAGGCTTACTTCATTTCTGTTTCCCTGATATTTGCTCTGCAACCTCGGTGTTTAATTTAACTTTTGATTGAAAATTGTGTATCCATGGTTTGTAGAACTTCTTCATCAGTTGATAAGAATGGAAGTTAAAGCTTAAATATTGCGAGTGAAAATGAGTTTTAGAAGCTTCAGTGTTGTTTTAGAGTACATGTTGACCGTGGATCCCTCGCAGCGTCCGGACATCTTCCAGGTGTCACACGTGGCATTCGAGATGGCTAGAAAACCTAATCCAGTCCAAAATATAGAGGTTAGAGCTGCATGATTAGACATGGTCCCTTCATGTTTTGAGATAAATTTTTTAGTCAAACTGACTGGAGGCCTAACCCGGAGGTTAATTATTTAAGTAGCAAGAGCGCATGTAACCAGCGCGCATAAAGTTATGACTCAACTTACAAGATCTCACACTGGAAAATGATGCCCACCCGCGATTTGAACCCGCAATCATTTGATTCCACATTTCTTAAGCTTTAATAAATTTCTACGTTCGTCTTTTTCGGATCAATTATTTTTGTGGAGGGTTTGTCCATCCTGGCTGAACGAATAAAACAACTTTTCTCTACGATGACAAATTTGTGCGATCAAATTAATGTTTTAGAAGTCGTCTCTACCGAAATTGGGAGATGAGGTGGCTTCAATGTCAAATATGAGAGAAACGTAAGAAATATAGTTGCTATAACAAAAATATACTATTGACAATCTCTTGCTGATTTTTTTTATTTAGAAACATGAAATCACCAGCAGTTCAGGAAAGGAAAACATTGACCGAAAAAGCCCGAGATGTTTCTCACGATTCTCCAAATTTTCAAGGTTATTCAACTTGCTTTGGTTTAAATAAAATAATCTTTTATTCAATGGTAGTTATCTCATTGTTTTCCTTTCAATCCTTAGAAAACGCAACTGTATCTAAACCGTCTCTTGTGAACGTGACTGCAACTCCCAGTCTTACTCAAGACCAGACAAGTATAGACAGGCCAAGGTCAAAAGGCCAGTCTTTAGTTTCCACTTCAAACAATAATCCTCTACTGGAACTGACTTCACAACAGCCTAATTCAGCCCCTCACGTAGCTATTACCGAACAGGCACCGAATGATGAAGAGAGAGATTCCTCTGATTTGATGAATTTCTCGGAATCGGCTAAATCAGCAGCGCATCAACACGTGGCAAATTTACTCCAAGCATGCAACCTACAACAACCTATTTCTCAGGCTAGCTGAAAATAATTCTATTCATGCGAACTGAGTTTATTCAGGCCCTGATGTAATTTGATGTGATCTTATCAGGAAATGTGACCTATCTCGTTTTCTAGCATTGATATCCCTAATTAGAAGTTGATTATGCTAATTTTTTCACTTATTCCAACAACGCGTGAAATTAAGTTTGTTTGAGCGGATATTGAAATCGGTAGATTTGACAACGTGACAAGATAGCGATGTGAATGAGAGGGTTTGTGCTGTTTTGTAATCCAGGAAAAGACAGGCAAATTATATTGGGTTTTTTAAGTAACCCAAGTTAATAGGACAATATCAAAATATGCATCGTTAAATGCAGATCTAACAGGAGACATGGTTTTTGATTATGCGGTCAATAGTTCGTACCGCGCACGAGGTTGACCTTATGCAAAAATGCCGGAACTTCGTGTCAAAATGGCTTGCGTTAAGTACTTTGGCCTTACATTCCTGGAACCTTTCTCAAAGATTGAAGCTGTCCAAAAAGGCCCCGATTATGGCCTTTTTCACATTTTTGCAAAATGCTGTAGGCGCCAAACATTCGACAATTTCTGGTTTCTTAGTGTTTTAGGAGAACCTATAATTTCAATTTGGGAAATTAAAATTATTAATTAAAATTTCGATAGTTTTTTTGAATACTCGCACAGCTCGAAAACTCTAGATGCATTCCTGAATACGCCTTTCGCTTCTGAAAGTCAATGAATTTTTTCAATTCAATTTTTGTTGAATATTAAAGTTGACGTAACATTTTTGTGGCAGAAAATTAGTTGTTTTGGCGTAGAAAACACCTACTTTTTGAAATTTTAACGTATTTCAAAAATTGCTGTTGAAAACTACCCTACTAGAGCCCTATTTTTTAGTTTCCAACTGGAACTGTTAACATGGCAGCAGCTGGGAATTCGCATAGACGCAATGTCAGTGTAGGAACACCATCCGAGATGAGGTTCTTCTCCAACCTCTCCAGACCTGATTTAAACAGGAATGTTGTTCATCCACCTCACGCTCAGGTAAGAAGATTGTCTCACCCGGAGCACTGGTACTACATGACTTTTTTCATATGTAACATGTAAGCGATGAGCTGTTTGATATCGTTCATCGCTCGGAGATTTCATGCTTTTAGATGCTGAACCCCTTCGAGGACCATGGAGACTTTGGACAGGCCAAACCGATTGACAAAGGTGAGGCATTTTTAAACACCTAATTGTCAAAGAGTGTTTTCATAACGAGCTTCCGAGCGTAGACTTACAAGCTTCCGAGAGTAGAGTTGGATAAAAAGTCAAGCATTTTAGAGCAAATTTGATCGGTAATTAAAGATCTTAATCTAGAAATATCCCGTAATTATATTGCGGTAATTAAACATTGCGGCTTACGTGTTTGATTAGTTCATCGCATTTTATAGGAGCTGGAACCCAGGAAGATGTTTTTGGATCTGCGCCCTTTTCTCTGGATCCCACTTCAAACCCCAGTAGGCAGTTTGATTGTTTCCACAGCCATTTATTTAAGCTCGGAAAATGTTTTGAAACAGTAAATCAATAGTAACTCAAAGCTTGAACAGAATGCAATTTTGTTTAAATTATTTGCCAGATTAAGTCGAAATGCCCAGTTCACGACATAAACCTAGCGAGTTTCATGGTTGCCAACATTTTTTATAGAAAGTTTTGATGCTAGGAAATGAAGGGGGCGTGGTCGTTTTTAAGGCGTCCGAAAAGAGGACACTTGAATTTGTGAATTATCTCGAAAAAGCGTTAATGAAAATAAAATGGTTGGTTTTTTTTAGATTTCAAACCAGCCTTCGATTTTCCTTCGACGAGTGGACTATTGGGATCTAATGCAGCTCAACCAAGGCAAGGTATTTTATATTTTGTACATTTCCCTTCTTTGCATGTAAAGTCTGTCCTGAAAATATGGTTAGAATTCAGACGTATGCTGATAAGTGAGAAGTTTCAATGAACTGTGTTCCATTGCATTAGCAATTGAACGTGCAATCATAAATGAACGACATGAGTTCAGGTCACTTTCTAAGCTCGTCTCTTTTGTTTTTTTTTCTGATTGTTTTTCAAGAGGTCTGGTTGATTTTGTTTTGTTCAGGAAAAATTATGTTTTTTTTTGTTAACTTCGCTGTCATATAGGTCTGGTTGATTATTTTTTCGTTCAGAAAAGATTTTGGTTTTTTTTTCATTTATTTCACTGACTTTTTTCCAACTGTCTGTTGGCTATGTTTAGGATATGGATGTTTTAAGAGAAAGCTTCATGAACTTCTTAACACAACGTTTTCCCCAAATCTTCCGGGTTCTCAATTTTTTTATGGAATAGTTTTCGCGGTTTGACTTTTGTTTTTTTTTCTTTTGCTTACATAAGTGGAGCGTTGTCTGATACTACAGGACCACTTTTCCCCCCAAGTTAAGTCGCAAATATTAGTGCTACTTAGTGTGGCACCATTGTTTTCAAAAAAGTGGCGGAAAGAGCAGCTACTCCCCTGTATTTTGCTTATTGCGCAAGTCTCCTTTTTTACCGTACCCGAGAGCCTTCGAAACTTTCGGGTAGGGGAATTTTTTGACCCATTTTAGGTTGTTTCCCCAAAAATGAAGACTTCAATCAACAGAACGTGAAATTTTAGAAACTACCCTGCCTTAAGTCTGAGATCAGGGACTCAATAGCAAGAGGCCTTGTTTGGATTCTTTCCTGAATAAACGGCTACAACCTAATTTTCGTGGGAAAAGCTATACTCATAGAAATTGTCTCTTTTTGACCTTTTTTTGAAACTTTCTTCTTAAACTACGCTGCCATATTTGAGAAAAAGGGTTCAATAGAAAAGAGGAAGCAAAATTTTTAACAGCATTAGCAGCTACACGCTTATTTTTGTAGAAAAAGTTTTTGTCACAGAAATTTTTTTTGTAATTTTGACCGTTATTCGAGATCTTTCCGACGCATGTATGCCTGCTAAATCTAAGAGTAAGGTTTCAATTGAAAAAACGTGCTTGAAATGTTTTTCTGCGTAGCGGATATGCCTTTCGTTTGAAAAAAAATCAAACGCAATAAAGAAGAAAAATCCGCGTTTTGAAATGACCGTTCGTTGGAAACGTTTTGTTTTTCTCGAGAAATATGTTGCCAAATCTGAGTTTGAAGGATGAAATTTAAGATTAAGTTGTATGGGTTTTCTTTGCTTTAAAGATTTCTCCCAATTGTGTTAAGCAATCAGCTATGGACTTAAGAATTTTCATTTTGAACTTCATTAAACAGCTTTGGGGGCAAATTTCCAAATTGAAGTTTTCAGTTTTTTTTAAAAAGTTTTTCGAGTTTTCACAATAAACAGCCAGATTTAGAGTTTTAGAATCCTTCAGAAAATTCTATGTTAAGATTAATCTTTAGTTAGCTGCTACGTCTGAATTTTTGTAGAAAATCAAGGTTGGACTTCATTTTTTAAATTTTTGTTGGTTTCCGATTTTGCTCGAATCTGATGACATATTATGAGATAGAGGTTTTAATCTATAAACAACGTAGGGTTAATCTTACTTCAACGAATTTTTCAAATTATGCTGCGGAATCCGTTTTGGGTCTGGAAAAAATTGACCTAAGACTCATTATTGGGCTTCGTTCAATTACTCAAAAACGAATGTGCCACTTCTGAATACAGGGAAACAATCGGCTCGAATTGTTTTCAGGATCTCACCTGCACAAGACTTTTATCCGTAGTTTTGATTGATTATTAGCAAGAAACTTGGTAAGTGTCCGTTTTTTTTTAAGAACCCAGTAACGTAGATCAGACTCTTATAAAGGTTCTGATGATTTTTTTCAGGAATATTCTTATTTGTTCAGGCTCAAATTTAGTTTTTCCGCTCGTTGGAAACTTAATTTTCCGTTCGTTGGAAATTAAGTTCGTGGGAAAAGCTATACTCATAGAAATTGTCTCATTTTGACCATTTTTTTGAAACTTTCGACTTTCTTAAACTACGCTGCCAAATTTTGTTTTTCGTAGGGATTAAGTTTCCGTAAGTTTCCAATTTACGGTTTGACTTAATTTCTTGTTAATTTCAATTCATTTTTTTTTAAGTTCGAAGGTTGAAGTTTTTCAAAAATGACTTTTTTTCCTGTTTATTTGCGTTCATTGACTCTTTCCCAACTGTCTGCTGGCTATTTTTAACATTTCGTTACTTTTCCCAAAATTACGCATTACTGTAAACACTTGATGCTAGGTTAGTAAATGTAAACACTTGCTGCTAAGTTAGTAAATGGTTGTATCAGAAACCGAAAACGGGAAGATCATATCAGTAAACCGAAATTGAAGTATTTATTCGAGCGAAATTTTCTTTATATGATATTAAGATGGATTTGTTTAATGTGTTAATTTTTTATCACAAACCGAGAGTTAAAACTAAAAATTGAGAAGAAAAACTTTTGCCATGAACCCAAAGTTTAAAATTTATTGTTCCAAACCAGGAAAAATGGCTGCTATAAAACTTTGATTCCACAATTGATTAATTATCACGTCTTCTGGCATACTGATCTGGTGATTACGCTTGCGATAGCAAGGGTATTGCAATCGGGTACTAGACTTTTTTCCCGTAAATAACTTTGTCCACAGTAATCACATCTGAAATCTTTCACATCTTCGTCCTGCTTGAAAATTCTACTCCTCTCGGTTGCAAATATTAAGCATGGTTGAGTTTTTGTTATTTTAAATATCCGTCCTTTTCAAAATTTGCTTTTTGTTGGTTGCGATTTTTCCAACTCGATTTTTTTATTTTTTGTTGTCGTTTTTTCGGCTTAACAGGCTCCGATCTATATAAAATCGGCTTAATGGCCTAACTGTGAGTGGTTTCAAGCTAAACATAATTTTTAAGTTCACCTGATCGCATAAAATGCTAATAATCTTAATAGAAATTACAGTTCAAGTTTTTCATGACAACGTTTTTTTTCCGCTTGATAAGGTTCGTCGTATATTACATCGGTTTAATGGCCGCAAAAAGTTTTTGTGTGCTTGTTTTTGCTTTGAAGGTGTGTGTGCTTGTCTGTGTTTTGAGAGTGAGGGGGGACTTAATTAAAAAAATCAAGCCAAAAAAAATAAGACTAATAAAAATTCCTTTTTTGTCCGTTTAATAGGTTTCGGCCAATATGATATCGGCATAGTGGCCGCATATTGTTTCACTCGACGCGTGAATAAAGTTTGTGTTTGTTTGTTTGAGGGTGTGGGGACTTGATAATTTAAAAAAGTCGGCCTTAGCATTTCTGCTTAGGTATTTCCGGCTTGTTTATCGCGTGATAACTTATGTTTTGATTTCCCATTCTATTGTCTTGGCTCAATGTTCTTTCAAAACTAGCTCATTGATATCGCTGTGTTTTGTATATGTTTTGTATCGCAAGTGGTGCGAAGCTCAGCTTCGCCTCTGTGTTAACTAAAACTTCGATTCACTGAACGCACTCCGAACTTTTTCTTTAATTTTATCAAACTGATACGTCCAGCCTTATTTGGGCATCTATATTTTTCATGCGACATAACCGCAGACTCCTCATCTACAGGATCGAGAGCAATTTTGTTGAATAGCTTTGGCAATGTAATAGCAACTAGCTGCTTCAGTTAAAGGAAAGCTGGTGTTGGAAAACTTCTAGGGCACCTTACAACTTTTTCATAGCATGTGCTCCGACATTCGAATAGCAATAATTTATCACAGTTGATGCATTTTTAATTCATCAAATGAACCGAAAAAAGTGATTTACTTCAACAAACATAGCAATAATGAAATTTGGATTTTAGGTATTTTGTAACTCAATATATATCGCAATTTTTTGAATTGCATAATTTATACTTAATGTGGCTTTATGCTTTGGGATTTGTTTCATGCAAAGTTAGTGGGGATGCCTCCTTCAGTTTGTTATATTCCAATTTACTTTGACAATATTCCAATTTACTTAGTGGCAAAATTGAATCTATTTCTCTTTGGTGCCACTTTTGCTGAATGACATTGCAATTCATTAGCTTATGTAGCTGCTTTGTTCGTTAGTAGTGTGTGTCGGTCGTTAAGCGTGCGTGGCTGATTGAATAGTCCGAGAGACTCAAAATCTCTCGATTGCACAGTAGGTCGCAGATTCGAATCCTACACGTAGCCGAGTTTTTGCTAATTCGAGGCTTATTTCTACTTTTTCTTATTTCATTTGGTTGAGCTGTTTTTTTTTGTGTCGTGTTCTCGCAAGTGTTTGCAAAGCACAGCTTCGCCTATTTTTCGATTTTCCAAGCGATTTTTTTTTTTGAAAAACTGTAATTGTTATTGGAAAATTATTTCGTTTTTAAAAAACTGTAATTGTCGGAATATCGATTGTCTGCTTATTTTTTGTCGGTTTACGGTCCAACGCTTGAAATTTTCTCCAATTTTCTTTGTTAAAATATGTTCATGCAATTTTATTTGAAAGTAGGACTGTAGTTTGTAACACTACCAGCTTTGATTTGTCTTTTTTTTTCACTTGATTGAGTTTGAATTTATACTATAGCGACATCTTTAACTCATTTTGCATTGTTTAAACTTCTAAAATTGATTGTTTTGCTTTTCTATGCTTCACAGAGTGCGGTGTAAAAGTTGTAGCTCAAATTTTCTTATGACCAATTTATTTTCGGCTCAACTGGTGTCTACCTAAGTATTGTCGGCCAAGTTGTCACTCGGCAAACCATTTTGAATGATGATTTAACGGCGGTGGCGGTGTTTCTTGGCAAATTTTCATATTAAAAGTATTAAATATCATTTTTCAATTATGTTATTTTTATATTTATTTACTAAGGATAATGGTTGTAGTGAAGACTCTTATGTAGGTCTTGCTGATGTAGGTCCTTAATAACTACAGATGTGCATTCATACATATTGATGCATTCATAAAGCACTTTTTGAGTTCAATTGAATTCCATCTACTGAAAGTGACGTAAATTGTACTCTTCAAATACAAACGTGGAAATGGCGCGAAAAAACGTGAACGATTTCTAGTTTCGAAAGTGCAATTAAATTTTTAGTTTTCCAGCTGAATAAAAACTTTATTTATTGATCAAGTTTTCTCTATTTGGGTTCATGTTATCAAAAAAAGCTCCAATGGTAATTTGTTCTAGAAGTTCATAGAACTTAGAGGGCATCTATTTTTTTCTCTGAAACTCGAAAGTTGCGATTTTTTCAAGAAAGTCAGTTTTTTTTAATGTACATTGCGTTCATTACTCATTTCCAATTTTCGATTGACTATGTTATGAATTGATATAAATTCTAAATTTGAAACCGCATTGATGCTGATTCAAAGGGCTACAAAAGCGTTTCTATAGGGTACCCTTTCAATCGGTCCAGCACAATCGAATGTTCGCTCCCACAACAGCAGCTGCACAAGGTGGACTCGGATACGCCCCCGGCCAAATGTGCTACTACAACCAAATGGGCAGAGGAGGGGGAGTGCGGCCTTATACGTGCACAGCACCAGTCATGGGAAGACAACAGTCGCCCTTCAGACATCCCTCAGTGTCAACCATTTTCCCATCACAGCCGGTGAGTTACTAGTGTGAGATTTATATCACGTTCTTGTGATATCAGCTGTTGCGAGCATAGTGTTACATGGGCAATCCACATCTTCGAAACAAGTTTGCACATTTTAGTGCAAAGATTTTGTGCCAGGTTCATAGACTATAGAGGGTTATCTTTGATAGTTTTAAGGAGCTTTTTGTACCCTCTTAGAGATATTGACGTTCTGAGCTCAAATGAAAAGGTTCTTAAAATCAGAGTATTGCCATCGGTTTTAACAATAGCGAGCATTAGTGTATTAGTACGAACCTTCATTTTTGCTAAGCTAACAAGCAAATAAAACTGTCCATTATAAATGTCGATTTCTTTGGTGGCGTTCTGCTATAATCACGATCTGTAGCATTGAAAATTTTTTGGCACTGGTGTACTTCGCCACTGATGAATGTCCCTCTAGGGGTAGTGCAACAGTGCCAACAAATCAAATGTTGTACAGCAGTTTCGTAAGTCATCAACAAAACTGTTGAACACTTCAGTTTCGGCACTGTTGAACGACGCCCTCGGACCGAGTGCGCGAAAGTTCTCAGCCAACCAACGCCCTTTAAACTGTCCAAAAGTATCTCTTTCGAGTTTTTGAATACCGAGCTTTGTTTGGTTGACAAAGTTTTTGCGCTTTCGGTCCTTTGCTCATGATGGTTTTCCTCATGCTTGTACCATGTTTGTCTGCTCCAGATATTGGGACTCCAAGCAAGGCCACGCGGGGGAGTTATGGATAATGGAAGCAGCAGCCGGAAGACAGACGTCACTCGGTTCTGATCACACCTTCCGCTCTCACAATCAATCAGCAGACACCTTTATCCTAGATAATAAAGGTGATTCAGTGTTTGCATTCATAATCAAGAAAGTGTCTTCAACTTATAGAAATAGTCTTGAGGAGAAAGTTAAAAACATTTCGAAGCTTCGAAATCTGTGAACTCAGTTAAGGAGTCTTAGTATTTGAGAATTAATCAAAATGTCATTTCTATGTCTTGCTAGATTTTTCCCCTTGCGATAAGCAAGGGTATTGCAATCGGGTGTTAGACTTTTTCCCGTAAATAACTTAGTTCACAGAATGGTCAAAATTAGAAATCAGTTCTTATTGAATTCACATTTGTTTACGTCTCCGGCACACTTGGACTGGAGGTAACGAATAGGACTGGGACGGCAATGGTCTTGGCTTCGAAACTGATAAAACCTGTTTTTTTTTCAAACGGGAAACATTCCGTTTCAAAAAAAAATTGTATGCTTATTATTTGTCTACTTATGTTTTCTCGGCGTAGTTGCAACATCGCATAATTATTATTTTTGACTGTACGCTTTTTACATTGTAGTTGCTTTTAGTGTTTTGATTTACTTCTGCTGTTTGTAATTTCTTAACTTCGTATGTTTTTCTTTGTTTTTTTTTTCGCTTAAAAACGTTATTCAGCCCAAATGATTTCGGCTTGTATTTTATCGGCTTAGTGACCGAATTTTGAGTCATTTCAAGACAACTTTTTGCTTTTTTCAATTTTTTTCCTGGATTGATAGGTTTCGGCTGCAAATTATATCGGTTTAATGGCCTCATTGCGTCTTTCGACGAGCGAAAAAATTTTTTCTTTTTTTTGACTTGTTAACTTCAACTTAAGTTTTTAGTCTTGTTGACTTTTTTGGGATTAAAGGGTGTATGCTTCAAACTTTTCGGCTTTGTTATCGCTTGGTAAAATTTTTTCCGATTCGAATTTCACATTCGATTGTCCTGGCATGTTCTTTTTTTCAAAACTAGCCTGATTCATTTTGCTAGACGTAGTTTTCTTGACGTTTTTGAATTTGTTTCCGAATAGCGGTTTCTGGTATTATATCGCAAGTAGGTGCGAAGCGCAATTTCACCTCTGTAAAAGAATTTTGTTTCTCCTGGATTCTGAGGGTCAATTGTCTAGTTTTTGATTGACATTGCTATTGGTCCGGTTGCATATACGCTTCTGATTGTTTAGATTACTTTCCTGTAGCTCCTGGTGATGGCACTGGTAGTATACTAGACGCTTCTTCTTCCCTAATAACACAACCTCTGCACCAACAGACAACCCCTCTTTTCGAAGCTGATTTTTCCTCCCATTTCGCCGGTCGAAATGACGAAGATTTAAACGATGACGATTATGATGGCAAATTCAATGAGATGGATTCGGTGGATGTATTTGCAGACTTCAAACAAGCAATGGCAGCAAGGACTAAAGACGAAGGCGACGAGAGTAGTTTCTACTCGACGAGCGAAAATGAAGGCGAAAGTGATAACAGTTCGCGTGGAATGATATCGGGAGATGGGGAGGAGGGAGGTAGTTCGCCTGACAGAATGAGAGGAGGGTCGAATGAAGGGTAACACTGAATAAATCCTTTTTTCATTTTAATCAAATAATTTGAAAAAAGGAAGGCTAGATTCTATTTCGAAAGAAAATAAATTTTCTATAAAACGTTGTTATATAAAAATACCTTTTTAAAATTAATTACCTTATCAATGGTGATATATAATTACAAGAAAAAGCGGAGATTGATTTTGGAAGAAAATAGTCGTTCTACAAAATATATGGCTACATTAAAAATGCATTAGTAAATGAAAACCGATAGCTGGTTCAGTATCATGTTTACGCTTTTTAGTATTATCAATTCGAAATATAGACTTTTTTGGCTAACACATTACGAGGAAACTTGTTTAACAAAATCACTTGAAAGATTGATTCATAACAAGTTCAAAATTCTTGGATTCTGTAACCCATTTGGCCTAGAGAGATCGACTACGTTCGGGATGGCATTGGTAACAGATAAGAATCCGACTAGGTCCTGTTTTGTTTGAAATTGTTTCGGCCTATCGTTTGTTTGATTATTGTCGTCCTATCTGTTTTGTCGGCTTCGTTGCCAAAATCTGATAGCAATTTTATTGTAATTTCAAGTAGTGTTGATTTACTCGTGATCTTTGTATTTTCTTTTTTTTCGCTCTTGGCTTTCTGTTTATTTGTGTCTTCTAGATGGTAATGCTATGTTTCTGTGTTTCGCTTCGCCTCTATATCTAAAATTTTGGGTCTATCAGTTAAAGGGCAATACGTAAAATCATGAAAACGGCTGCAACCTTGACTGACATGAAAACAGTGAATTGCCTTCTGCCAGTGACGTTAGAATTTGCGACAGACACATTACGCCTGTTCGTTTTTAATTGAACGCTTCAAAAGCTTCAATTTTTCTTTTTATGGTTAGTTTCTGAACGTCGTTGAAGCTAATTATATTTTAAGAACCCATTAATCCTTACTCGAGAAAGCAAAGGTTGACCGAAACTTAGTGCAATTTGAAATCCATTACTTCTTGTCTGACGTCGATAATTTTGAGAAAGGCTTTTTGTAAAGAGTCAAGCATTTAAGGAGCTCTGAGATGGAAATAATTAATTGGCAAAAATTAGTCACGAAGCTGCAATAAGTTTGTGGGAAAATTGTCGAAACAAACTTCAATTTCAAGGGTTTCTTTAACACATACGCTCAAGTAATTACGGGACTTGTCCGAATGACTTTGAAAAATTGTTTCTTGCATGGCATATATTTATGTCTGCTTTATAAGAATACTGTGTGAAAGTATGGGTAAATGTTAAATTGGTTAAGTGGTAGTCAATAGAGCAGATGCTCACAATCCCACAGTGATCAGATGATCAATCACAGATGATCAATCCCACAGTGAACAAAACTTCTTTAAAGTTTCTTTTTTTTTGCCAGGACGTTTGTTTTCGAAGTGTGTCTGAGTATATTTACGAGGTTTTTTTTACTTTGTTGCTGGCTGAATGCAACATTGGTTGCTGCTTTCCCATTTCTCTGAATAAAATCAGCCAACGTTGGCTCATGTTACCAAATTTTCTCTCAAAATCGATGTGGCATTTAACAGCTTGATTTAGATTCAGTTCAATCTAAGGTTAGTTTCTGCTCATTTTGCGCAAAGCTAACGTACAGGAAATGGACGACGAAAGTCGAGTCTGGCATTTTTATAGCAGGAAGCGCAAAGCTGCGTCTCGCCTCTGGATTTAGAATATTAATTTTCTGATTCGCAACATCTAATTAAACTTGCAAGAGCAAGAGTCTTGTAATTGGGACTAGAATTTCCTCGTAAATAACTTGTCTTACAAATCTGAAAGAAATTGAACTTCCTTTTTTATTAAACCTTAACAACTGCCAGACTTATTTGTCTTTAGTCTAAAGTTAAAGAGGCTGCCTTTGCATCCTTCTACGAGGGGTTCTCATCCAGGACGGAATTAGCATGCATGACATCGAAATTTTTTTCCGGGAATAATGCACTGTCGGTTTTTTTTTTAGCATGCATGACATCGAAATTTTTTTCCGGGAATAATGCACTGTCGGTTTTTCGTTTCTGCCTAAATTTTGGCTGCTTAGTTACAAAGCATGGAGTTTTTCATTTGAATATTTTTGCTATAATTGATTGTCGTCTTATTAATTAATCAATTTACTAATTAGGATTTTGATTTTTTTCGTTTTTTTTTGGAATAAAAAATGGTTTTATTTTGTTTTATCGGATAAATGGTGATGATCGTGGTGATTTTTATTCAGGAAAATTTCAAAAAGTTCTAATAGCCACAGATGTGTATTCATACATATTAATGCTTTTATGAGTGCACTTGGGTATATATGCACTTTTCGAGCTCAATTTGAATTAATCTACTGAAAGTTAGGTAATTTGCTTTCTCTAAATATGAACGTGGAAATGGCGGGAAAAAATGTGAACGACTTCTCTTTCGAAATTGGTATTTAATTGTAAGATTTTTTAGCGGAATTTATTCCTATTAACCCAGTTTTCTCAAATTGATTCAGTGTTATGGCCATTTACTTTTTTTGAAGTTCGATAGTTGACGTTTTTTTTCAAAGTCTGTTTTCTTGCGTTCATTGACTCTTTTCCAACTGCCTGTTCGAGATGGTTGTGTTGAAATTATTTCTAACTTTAAAAGTTAAACACTTAAAAATTTTTACATTTAATTAAAAATTTGTTAAGGCATACTTGGTTTTCGACTCAATGGTCGTATACGAAAGTATTTTGGGCACACTTACTGCTCATTAAAGGATACGAAAAGCTTATTCAATGCTTAGTGTTCATCTTTCACTATTGTTTTTCTGAAATTTAATTTTTCCTTTCGAAAAAAAAACAATTGCGTCGAACTTTTTCAAGCATGATTTAAAAAGAACAAAAACTACAACGTGATATACTTTTTTCTTTGCGTCTCGGAAGATTTAAAAAGCACTCAGTTATTTTTGTCTTTATATACGTTGTTCAGACGCTTAGGTTGTGATGATTCTCAATTGTATTTATTCGAAAAGCTGTCGTTGAAGAAACATTCATCAGAAAATCCTCAAAAATCTGCAAATCAATCGTTGTAATTGATGCGAGGCAGAACAGAACTCCTTGGAATATTCACTTGTAATTAAACTATTTTTATAAAGGGTCATCGAATTGTTTTTAATACGTACGTATCACAGAACTGCTCGTATCAGGGAGAAGCGCTGGATTTTCTGACTTCTTTAAGGTCTAATGAAGTCATTTTAAAAAAAGTTTTTCATGAATTTAAATATTGATGATATCTCCCATCTAGTAATCAGCTTCTAGTAACGTATTGAAGATACCAAATTAGTTGCCTCGAGTCAGTTTACAGCATTTTTGCAGCAGATAAAACTGCAGCTTATGACTTAATTGTACAATAAGCATGCCACAATTCAATTGTCCCAAATGCCAATTTTCAGACCCCATAAATTTATGAAAAACGACTACAAGAGAGATATTTATATAAATTCGAGCTCAAGATATCAATGCCTTTCAGATGGTAGAAAAACTTTGCTCAAAGTGGTTAATTAAAAACTGAAAAGCACAAAGAAGAAGAAAACTACTACGATTATATGCGCAGATAATGATCCTATTTTGTTATCTTCATCGTTTTTTTTACAAAACTAGATTTCGAATTATATATATTTTTTGAATTTGATGTAAATTGCGATTTTCTAATGGTTTTTTGATGTTTGAATGGGAGGATCTTGTTACCTATCCCCCTCCCCCCCCCCCCAATTTTCAGAAATTCAACTTTGGCGGCCACATTTTCAATAGCTTAAAACAATTTTCGGAAAATATATATAGTTAAAACTTTTTACGTGGGTATTATATAAATAGTGAGTAATACAAATACGAACGCGGAAAAATGAAAACCCACTTAATTGTTGACATTTTTGAAATGCATATTTTATACAGAAATGGTTGTCAAAAATAATGCATGCATAGGGGGGGGGGGGGATAGTTAACAAGGTCCAAAAGAGGGGGGAAATAGTTAACAAGATCCGAATTGGAAAAACAGTCAAAAACTAGTTTTAGTATGTGGTTAAATTTTGTTTAGAATGGGTGAAGGCGGCGTGAAAAACTCAGATATTGACAGCGATTCTTCTGCCGAGTTTTTTGCATCTTCTGGATATCATAAACTGGAGAAAAAACTACCAAAAATCAAACAGAAATCTATTGATGCATCAGGCAATGTTGTTAAAGAAGAAAACAGATCTGATAGCGACCCTGAGTATGATTCAAACGATGACAGTGAAGATGATCTCACTCATCAAGCGCCGCTCATTACGTCATTCAACGATGACTCGCACTCTAATTCTGATCAATCCGATCAAGGACCACCCCATTTTACGGCGTCGGTAGCAGGCTCTAATCGTTACCCAATTGTAGTTGTACACAGAGATACTTTCAACAATCCTTTTCGCACTAAAAGCTATATGAATCGGGACGAAAGTTTGGATATTTTCGGGGATGCCGCTTTCAAGAATGCTCCGTTCCCGAGAATAAACTGGGAATGTGTTTTTAATCGATCTAATTGTAGTGAGTCTTTTGTGAGTTGTTATGATGGACAATTATCTGAAGCTGTTGATGCGATGAGAGATCAGGACGTCTTTGCCAATGCCCCTTGGACTTTCGAAGTTGTACCCAAATTGGATTCGATCGAAATGGACTTGCAGGGGGAAGAGATATTCGAGAAAGCCCCTCTCGGAGCTTTGTCGTTGATTATTCCTCTGATATCAGAATTTTAGCCAAATCAATGTCACAATTTTAGTCTACATATCGGCGGCACGTTTGGAAGAAGTGATGTAATATATCGGTTTCTACTCTTTTCATACCTAATAAATTCACACTGTTACAAATTGTACCCATTCATATCCGTATGATAAGCTTCAAAATTAAATTAAAAGCATGCATCTAAAATCAACAATAGTTTGAGATATCAACAATAGTTTCAGCAATAGTTTTGTTAACAATAGTTTGAGATGATCGAAGCATGTGAACTGACGTGGGAAAAGAATGTAAGAAACCGAAATATGAAATGATTCATTTAATTTATCAATAAGTTAGTGTTCTATTCATTTGCAAAAAAAACATAGAAAATTTTATAAACTGTTTTCTTTTCAATCAGTAGCAAATTTAGGGAGGGGGAGGGGGGTGAAACACCTTTTGCCCTAGTAGTGTTTCAGTCCTCTAAAAATTTATTTTGAGCCGAAGGGGATCTCAAATGGTTTCAAGGGCTGAAATAAATTCTTGATATCTTTGATGGAGAGTGCAAACCAAAAGGGCGATTGCTGCTGTTCAAATATCTAAATTCCCAAAAAGGCCACGGCATTTTGAACTTTATTATTGAAACGCAGGAAGTGTTTAAAAGCAAGAATGAGCGTCTGCAGATGCTCCCGTCATAGTAAATAGGTTAAAGTACTACCATATAAAAATAATGTTGTTTAAAGAAATGGTAGTAATATTAAATTGTTTGCAATGTAGATTCCATTCACTGTAAAATTTACTACATGTGAAACCAATTAAAATCTCATTGCGAAAACGCCGTGGAACTATGCAGCCCGTTTTCAGGCGCCTCTGATCTTGCTATGACTTCTGTTATTTTTTAATATCGATAGTTAATCAAGAAATCAAAAAAAAAGTTTTAATGATTTAAAGAGGAAAAAATTTTTGAACCAGAAAAAAGGAAAATTTCTGCAGTATACCTACCCTTGACAGCAAAATTCTTTTTAAATATTATTTCTACTCAAAAGTTAGTTAAACCAGTTGTGATTTCCTTGAATAAAATTGTCCAAAAACTCATGATTGAAGATTTGTTATTGATATTCTGTGCAGCTCTGAACCCAGGTTACAAAATCTGGGTAGTATTTAGAACAAAGTTGAAAAGTTTTCTAACATTTATCGAAGTTGTTTTATTACCCTTTCAATGCACAGGTATCTGCCTAGCTGAAACTCTTATTCAAAATTGTATTCAACATTTTTCTCAGTTACAGTTTTCTGGATTATGGCAGATCTGCACTCTTTTCTCACAACCTTACATAGTAACTTTAATAATTCATAGATATTTTATTCCTTTAGGAAGTATATTTTTCGTTTTTGTCTCATTTTTTTACGCTCTCATTTCTTCTCTTAAAACAAATAATTTTCAAAAGGCGTTTGATTTTGAGATCAATTGTTTCTACTTTAGTTTTGTCTGTTGACGCATGAGCCAAAACCCTGTACTGTAAAATGGGTTTCACATAAGCGTTATATGCTTTCAGTAGTTGATCTTTTTCTAAAACTTTTCTCAACCTGTAATACATACCTCAAAACCTCGACAAATTATTTTCCATTTTTGTAATATGATCAATAAAGGAAAGCTTAGAGTTAATATAAACATTTAAATAACGGAATGATTATTTCTCTTCAACAGTTATTTCATTATTTTTTACTTATGATTTTCTGCTGCTCTTCTTTTATAGTATCATTGTTTTTGTTTTATCTTCATTTAAGGTCAGCTTGTTTTTTTTTCTAACCTACTTGATGTTTTGTCCAACGCTTCCTAGTGTTTGCCGGTTAACTCACTGTTTCTCGCTGTTGTTTTTATTACAGTATCGTCTGCATATAAAATCATGTTACTTTCACTATTTTCAATTAGTTCAATATCAATTATATAAATGATGAAAAGAAGCGGGCCTAGTATGGATCCGTGGTACTCAATAATTCACATTTTATTTTGAGAGCGTTAGGTTTTACGGGCAACGTATTGTTGTCGGTTTTTATTAATCGGATTTCAGAAGGTGTAAAACAGGTCTTCGAAAGCGATATGCGTCATATTTCTCAAGTAAATGCATGTGGTCAACTGTATCAAAGGCCTTTTAAGATCAATGAATGTGCACTGTGTCTTCGTGGTCTTAGAGTTCCAATCTTGACGCACTTCTTCTATTATGGTTATCGGAGAATCAATTTCACTCCTTTTTGATCTGAATCCAAACTAACAATTTTGTATTAATTGATACTTAGTCAGACATTGTTTCATTCTGTTATAAATGAACCGCTCCAAAATTTTACCAAAAACTGGTAAAAGAGAAATTGGCCTGTAGTTTGATGTGTTTAGATCATTGCCTTCTTTGAAGAGAGGTTTAATTTTATCAATTTTGAAACTATCTGGAAAAAACTTGTCTCTCCAAAAATTTTTGAAAAAGTTTTGTCAAAACTGGACACATTTTTTTCAAGTAATTTTAATTAAGTCCATTTGTATCTAAACTAAACTTGGTTTTTATCGATTCGATTATACTTGTTGTTTCACTGCGTTATGTCTGCTAACGACATTGAGTTAATTTGCTTTCTGACTCTTAATTATTTTAAAGAATTAAATTTCCTGGCCAATTTCTCTCCAACATTTGTAAAAAAAAAGTCGTTAAATTCATCAACAATTGTTTTTTTTTCTTCCTTGTCGTTGTCTTTGGTAGCACATGTTGGATCGTTATACAGACGGAGAAGTCTCTGCTGTTGTTATTGGATTCCGAATGTAATTTGTTTTTGATGAAATGCTGTTTTTGTCTCACTCAGCATTTTACGAACTAATTTGCTTTGAGATTCAAGTTTACTTCTGGCCTGTGGTTCCAATTTCTAAAAAAGTTTTCCTAAACCGATGTTATTTTGATGCTGCATTTTCCATTTCATTACCTACCCAGTGCTTGGAGGTTTTTCTAATTGATTGTTTTTCTGGTAAAAATGATTCAATGTTAATTCTGGGCTTCGTTCAACAATAAAAAAAAGTTCATCGCAATTCATTGATTAATTTTTGTTTCAACATCGAATAAATTGTCGTATAGAGATTCTTTTAGTTCTTTCAGAAAAGATTCAGATTCAAGTTTGTACCATGGTCGGGTTTCGGAAATAAAAGGTTCATTTATGCATGTTTTTGATGTTGCGTTTAAAATCACCCCAAAATGATCAGGTACAAATGTTTTCGAAGATGGTTGCTGATTTTTTTTACATTGAAAAAAAAACATCTTACACGTTTACTGCTGTTAGTTTCTCTGGTTGCTTGTTTTACATTTTGTTGGAATAGATTGTTTCCATATATAACCAACTTTTATATATAAGCATACTCCTCCTCCCCCACGCTTGCGAGAACTTTCAATGAGAGGTTGATACTCATCTCATCACTTTCTTAAAATTTTGAAGTTTTGGTTTGGTTAAAGCCAGGTTTCGGTGCAACATAAAGCGCAATAATTTATTTGAGTTAGGCTAACTTGAAATTCGTCTGTTTTTCAATAACGATCTAATTTTTTGCGAAAGAATTTGCTCAGTGGTATTCATGATATACTGCTTTGTATGTCTCTCTTGATCTGAGATAGAAAAAAAAACTAAAGAAAGATGATCAAAAAATCACGAACTCCCTCAGTTGGCCTGAAAGTTTTCCTTCTATTTCCCTTTGTTTTATTCGCTCATTTTGTATGTAAACATTAATCCTAATTTTGATGTTTATGAAAAAAAGAAAAATCATGATTTGCCGTGTTTTCAATTGCACTACTTTGCTGTAGAGACTCAAGGTTATCTCATTTATCTCCAAGTATAAAAAAATTGAAATTTAGGTAAACATTAATTTCAAGATAAAAAACAAAACTTATTTTTAGTGTTAACTCCGCGTTATCACAGAGCACACAAAATTTTATTCGAATATCCAGGCCATAAGCACCTTTTCAGGCTTAGAGGTTGCGTTATCACATCCAACCTGGAGCTCTTGCGTTATCACAAACAGGGCAAAGGGAACTGACAATCTGAGTTCAATCTGAAACTTTTTTGGTATGTAATTGCAATATTAGGTCCAATTGCACCACTGTATTGACTTTTCAGATTGAACTATGGGTGAGAACATAGTCACCTCTCAAATAATTGACAATGCGTTAACAGAAGAGGAAGATTTTGTTCATCTGGACTCGAATATAATGGGGATGGACAACCTGCAACTGACAGCCGTGGAGCGCATCTGTCTCGCTGCTGTTCTTGAGGACTCCGTGGACCAACTGGCCATTTTGGGTCGGATCATGCCTACATCACTAGGCGGAAATGCGGGAGCACCCAAGGTTCAAACCTGATATCCAAAGATAGTTTCTAACGATAGAGCACCAACGTTTACCTTCTTGTAGTATTAATCGTATTTACTTTATTTGCATTTAACGGAAACAATTTTTGCTGCCTAATTTTGAGAGTCGATGAAGATATTTCAAACTCGTATCTTATAATTCTCTAATAACTACAGAAAGTGCATTCATGCATACTAATGCAGTTATGAATACCTTTAGGTATATGTTAACTTTTGAATTCAATTTAATTGATTTGCTTTAAGGTAGGCAAATTGCGCTCTCCAACTACAAAAGAGGAAATGACGCAAAAAACGTGACCGATTTCCAGTACCTAAAATGGACCTTAATTTTTTTTCGCGGTTTGACCTTTGATTTGTTTTTAAGTTCACTTCATTTCGTTTGTTAAAAGGAAGGCAATATTTACTATTGAACAGCAAAAGTGTAAAGGTTTCGAAAACTGAGATAGACTCCTAATTTCGAAAATGGAATTTTATTATCAGACTTCCTATCAAAATAATAATTTTACCTGTTGGTTCAGTTTTCTCAAATTGGGTTAATTTTATCATAAATTACTCGTGAAACTCGAAGAGCTTTGAGGGCATACTTTTTTCTTCAATTTTCGAAAGTTGAAATTTTTGTTCTGTTTCTTGCGTTCATTACTCTTTTCCAACTATCAGTTGGCTATATTTTTAAGGCTATATCAATGTTTTGAACTCATTTGCCGGTTGATGAATGATATGAAAGGCTGTTGAACTTATGCGAAGTTGAATCATTTTCTAGCGTGGATAAATTGTGGTAAATAATAGTGGTTTTGTCAGGTGGTGGAGGACGAAATCTCAGAGATTGTGGAGTCACAAAAGAGACTGGAGAACCAGTTCGAGGTGCTCAACATGCAACTGGCAGAACTCAGAGGTCAGTTTTTTTTTCCATAACTGAACAAGCATTTTTACCTTTGATTCCAAGTCGATGAACGTAGTTAAGACTCTTAGTAGGTCGTGATGATTTTTTTCATTTTTTTTTCAGGAAAAAATGCAAACTTCACTATCGCAATGCGAAAGTGTAAGTTAACGAAAAACTTGATCGGCATCTATTGTTAATATGCTTTTTGATTATTTCCCTTGCGAGAAGCAAGAGTGCTGCAGCCGGGTATTAGAATTTTTTCCCCTAAACATATTTTTTTTACAAGATTTCGCATATTTTTTCATCTTGCATCTTTTTAATTTCAAAGTCAATCATCCACCCGGTGAATCTGGAGCTGTAGCCACCTACTTGAGTCGGCAAAGTGTTGAATTTCGTTTTGATTTTGGCGAAGTTGTTGATCCAGTTTTCTCAAATTGGGTTACTTTTATCCAAAAGTGCCATGCATAAAATGTTCTAGAAACTCAAAGAGCTTTAAGGGCATCTATTTTGTTCTTTCAAATTCGAAAGTGAGTTTTTTCTTGCATTCATGACTCTTTTGATGTTTAAATGAATACACAAGGAAGTATCGCTTTTGTTTTGAAGCCAACTCGCCAGATAAGTTTTATGGTGGGTTGGTCAAAATTCTGTGTCGTAAAATAAGGCCAAAGGCCTGACCCTTTTGGTGCTGAGATGGGGGAGCATGCTCAACTAAATCTCTAAATCTGCCCCTGTTTATTCTAAACCTGTACTCTGCTGGCTATTTTGCTGGACTTAAATGAGTCTCTGCGCAAACCAAGGCTGCATTAATTTGGTTTTTGACATTTTTTCCTAGCATCAATAATGAGCATGATTTGATTTTTCTATTAGATCTGTAATTATCATACGTTTTTTTGAATGAAGTGACTAGTAATTGATTTTATGCCTGGTCACAGTTAGTCTCCTCTCTTTTCTCCCTGGGCTGAATCCATTTGTATAATTTACAAAAAATGACGCTGGAAAATTGTTCTTCTCACTTTATGTCTCCAGTGTGGAGGGAGACTACTGTCTGGTGAAAATCTGCTTAGGCACATAATTTGATACCACTTTTATCGCTACAATAAATGGAAGGTTTCGAAAAGCGCCGATTTGTGACGCGTTTGAAAAAGAGGGATTGTTAAAAAAGTTGGAATGATTTGTTTTGTTTTCATATGTGGCCGTAAAATGTTATTGTCAACTTCCATTAGGCGGTAGTGAAAACGTCTTTTCAGTAGTACGGCTCAGTAAAGTACCCAGAATTACATCTGCTTTTGGACTAGAGGTACTAAATCCTAACAAGAAAATTGATGAATATTCGTCAAGGTGTTAATAACTTTACGAAAATGGGCGCACGTGAGGTAATTTTGTGAATTGGAGCGCAAGACATCTTAAGCTTTCAGATAGTTTCAAAATTCAGTTAAAAGGGTTAATTGTAGAGTCGAAATTGATCTGAATGAAAAACATGATTGCTCGTATCAGGGCGAATCCCTGAATGTTCCGACTGCCCTTAAAGATATTTTAAGTAGTTTTTTTTGAAGAAAAACATCCATATAAAGTTCAAACTTTATTCTTTTATCGCTTTAATTTTGCGATAAGCAAGGGTATTCAAACCGGGTGCTAGAATTTTTTTTGTGATTAACTTCCGTCAACTAACTGACAAATTTTGGCTCTTTTTCCTCCCCCCCCCCCCCCCCCCCCCCACCTACAAATTTTTATATTTGAAGTTACTGTTCACTTGAACCGATTGTCATGCATGAATTGACATGCAGACTAATTAGGCCATGACAAACATATTTGGTCTTCATAATTAACCTTGTAAAACCACTCGTTAGACCATAAAATTCATGTTTGAGTGAGGTGGGGGGAAAAGGAAAAAGAGCCCAAATTTTGAGCATGCCTGCAACTTAAGTGGGTTGAGATTCATTGATGGAAACAATTTTAGAGCTTCATTGATGAAAACCTTACCAATGAAACTTATGTACAAATCAATATATGTTCGTCGAAAATGTTCAAAAGCGTGTCGGAAAATTTTTGGCGAACCGTGTTGAGTAATCAAAGAGTTTATAAATTTCGTATCCTTTTTAACGCACAGTTTGAATTTAATAAACAGCTTTTCAAAAAAGAAATACAAAACTTTTTGTCTTAAAATTGAAACGAAACCCTAAATAAATTTTCGCTGCTTTTAACGAATTTTCCGCTAACAAGAAAAAAAAATACTCTCAATGCTCTTAGCTGATGACTTCAACTGTTTTTTTTTTCGTTAATGTAGGAAAAAGATTATCAAAAAATATTGCGGCAAGCAACACAGCATGTCTTTGTGGATAACCCACATTGATTCTATCTCTATCCGACTTCTAAAATAGAAATATCTGATATTATAAATGAACTCAAAAGTAAATCTTCCTATGGTCATGATGGCATCTCTAATCAAATGATTAAAATTTGTGCACCGTTAGTCATTCTTTTTCTGGTACAACTGTTCAATTTTCTCAAGATCTTTCAAGGTGGCTAAGTTAATTTATTTTCACAAAATTGGGCCAATGGACAACCCCTGTAACTTTCGACCAATAAGTCTAATTCCCACTTGAGCGAAACTTCTGAAGAAAAAATTGTGCAGAAGTTTTGTTGCTTTTATAGATAAGCACAGAATTTTTTCTCCACAATAATTTGGTTTCGAAAAAAATCATTCTTGTGTTCATACTATTGTATCAATAACGGAGTTGATGAGAGAGTGTATTGTTAGACATTGGGTTGGACTTGCATGTTTTGTTGATTTGAAAAAGCATTTGACACAATCGATCACACCATTTAAGTACAGAAACTTGAGAAATATGGGACTTTTTGGGTATATATATTTATTTTTTAAAACCATACTCAATTCAAGAGTACAGTTTGTCTATCATGATTCAAAGTTTCTGAAAAACTTGATATGACATGTGTACCACAAGGCTCTGTATAAGTGCCTTTGTTGTTACGCTTTTATATTAATAACTTTACAGAACTATGACTTAACATAACTGGTTCCTGGCAGCATTGTTTGTCTATTTGCCAATGGTACTACTAAATGACAACAGGATAAACTAGTAAGACCTTGAATTGCTTCACGCTCAAATTGTTTTACTATCTGAGGTAAGTGCAAGATTGGTGCATAAATAATTATTTGACAAGTAACTGTTCATAGAATCAAATAATTACTTTTGGCAGAAAGATACCCGACTACAAAGGCGAAGTTTACGCTCAAATTTTGATTTTGGCACTTTAATTTTTTTTCAGCTTACCTCGAATTCATCTAGTAAATGGCTGACTCATTGCTCTGTCATGTTAAAAAAGAGCTCAGGGTGTGATAGTGGAGCTTAATTCAAATGATAATTCAGTGCAGTTTAGAAAAACACGTTTGATCCAGTGCGTTCAAATTGGGTTATCAAAAACATCTCTAAAAATGTGCATCATTTTTTGGGTCTCTATTTCACCTAAATTTTCCATATCCATAAGTGCCTTTTGGCTACCTGCGTAGTTTTCATGTTATTTTTTGTAGAATTTTTGGAGTTCGATTGACCTGATTGGGGACCGGAAAGGTATCTATCATAGTTGAATGATTGAAACGCCCTTCAGGCGGCAAAACGTAAGATTGAATGTGATTTTTCCCCATAAATGGGCCATCAAATTATGAAACTATTAGTCCGGTAGGTTTCGCTACAATCAATTCTACAAAAGTTCTCAATTCTTTGTTTTCGTTGTTTTCATCTTATTTTTTTCCGAATTTTTGTTGGTCTGATCGGGGACCGGAAAGATATCTATCATAGTCGAATAGCCTTTCAGACGGCAAAATCTAAGATTGAATGTCATTGTTTTCCCCCTAAATGGTCGATCGAATTGTGAAAGAATTGGTCTGGTAGGTTTCTTTACAATCAATGCTACCTTTACCTTCCCAATATAGAAATTGGAACATGAGGCTAAAAGTAAATTAAATGCCAAAAACCACAGAACAATCAGGTCAGAAAGATGAAGTTTAGTAGTTATACTGTTCCTTTCTCGTGTCACCTGAGTTGAAAGGAAATTCAAGTCGTTAAATAGTCATTTGATTCCCGCCCACAGCCTATTGTCTGTCTACTTGTAAAGTTGGTTTAATTGAACATCTAATTTTAGCTCTAGGAGAAATCAATGTGGACTCAATTGAACTCGAAATAAAAAAAGTTGCTTGTCAATATGAAAACGGTTGTCTTTGATAATTGCGATTCAGCTATATAACATTCTAAGGTTTCTTTGAATTGAAACCTTATTGAAAGATTGATTGTACAAATTGTTTAGAATCTACAAAAAAGTTGAATCTTACACACAATTGACCATGCTGATTGGTTATATCGATGTGAGGCCTGTGAATTCTGACTCTTTTCCAGTTTCGCATCCAATAAAGTTTCGCAGTCTTCAAATTGTTTATACGGCAGTTCGAACCTAATAGTTCAATTCAAATATTTTCATTTGTTCACATTGACACAAATGTTTTTTAACAACGAGAGTTACTTTAGTAGAATAAATCACTGTTTCAGCAGAATTGGGGAGCTGGAAAAGGAACTAACTAACTCTTACCTCACAAATTTATCTTCAAATTACGGCATCTATCTATCTATTTTCACTTGCGAGTGTAGTCTATTAGTTCTTACTTTCTTTTTTTTTCTATCCTAACTCCCAAATAAAAGTGTTCATTAAAAGTGTGCACTTATTTGGAGGCACTTTTGCTGTAATCACAATCTGTAGCATTGGAAATTTCATAGCATCTGTTCTCTGCTTATTTGTGGCTAGTGTTTCCGGCTTATTAAGGGTCCCTGGCTGAGTTTTTAGTGCGTGAGGCTCATAATATCTAGGTCGCAGATAGAATCCGAGACGAAGCCGAATTTTTTTTTTACTAATTCGAGGCTTATTTCTATTTTTTCTCTTTGCGTTTTATACAGCTGTTCCTCATCGTGTTCTATTTAATGTTTGCGAAGCCCAGCTTCGTCTCTGTGTATATTTTTAAAATTTGTCTTCACTATCTCGTCATGTTTAAGTTTTTTCAATTTTTTGTTTTCGCATTTTTTTTCTGTTTAACAAAATCATATATATATTACAACGTTTCAGATTTTTTTCAATTTTAGTGTTTATTTCACCAAGTTTTTGTATTACTAACATAATAGTAGGATGCTGTCAGGTTTTCCCCAGGGGTTGCAAATTTAGCCTCCAACAATGAGCACGCAAATCATAATATTTTACCAGGTACGACGATTCTGTGATTTTTTCAAAAATTTGCAGAAAACTTGAATGTAAAATTTTTACAAAATTTCAAGTTCTCAATTCTGTAATTGGGTACTGGCAGGGGTTTCTTGGCGGTTACGAACTCTGGCTCCAAGTTTGACTGCTCAAATCCTTGTAGTTTTCGAAATAATGACGTTTCTCATGGTTTTTGAATTTTCGGAAAACTCAAATTTAAAAAAAGTTGAAAATCTAAACTCTGTAGTTGTTTTTTAGGGTACTACCAGGAGTTGCAAATCTTCTGAATTTTAAGTTAAATCAATCAGACATCTTCAGTGAATTGCTGCGTTTAATTTATTCCATGATAGTTTTTGAGTTGTTCTGGAGAACTTCGCAACTATCAAAAATAAAATGCCCAAATTTAGGCTTGCAGGATCAATTTAAAAAAGCAATTAGCTAGACAAATAAGCTTTACACTGCCTGGAAAATTGTTAAAAACAATTTTAAAAATGAAACGATCTACAAACGTTTTTGAGTGAAAAAAAGGCGAAGAGTTTGATAAAAACTTGACAAAGCTTGATTCTTGAAAAAAATTAGGCAATATATCGGAGACTAGGAGCAGATTTTTAAAAATTTTTGAACGAATGAAGAAAAAATTATTCACAAAGCATGAAAGTTTCACTTCTTTGGACCAATAATCTTGAGGTAAAGGATGATAAAGCCATTGCGAACTGCTTCAATGAACCTTAAACATCCATAGCGTCGCAACTAGTTGAGATAATTGGGGATGAACCAGAGTTTGAAATCAATTACTCCTTAGAGTCTATTTTTGTCTACAATACATTGTTTAATGTTGTATAATTTTTTGAATTGCTACAACCGAAGCAGTCATCATTTGTGGATGAAATTAGCAACCAAGTCATTAAAAGCATTTCCACTGTTTTTGCCACATATCTTATCCATCTTTCATTCAAAACTTGCTGTTAAGCTGACCGTCTAAATTGGGCTGAAGGTTCACATTTATGTAGCAAGGGTCGAATAAGGATTGAAATGTTTATGGACTGATATCACTTCTTATTTGCTTGTTAAAGATCTATGGATGGGTTATGCAAAACGATTATACACATTTCTTGCCATCTGTTAGGCTTTCTATTCAAGGCAGTTTGGTTTTCGAAAAAATACATAACACTGTCGATGCACTGGTAGAGCTGACTAAAAAATGATATTCGAGAAAAATATTATTAAATGAAGCATTTCTTTTTGACCTGAAGAAAGCTTTTGATAAGGTAAATCATGATATTCTTTAACAAAGTGGAAGCCTATGGAAGAAGAGGGGTTGTACCTGATTGGTTTCTCAACTACTTGACTAGCAGAGAGCAAGCTATTTTTACATTAATTAGTCATTTGAACGGGCTGCTAGTAATTACTAGTTTGTGTCAAAGATCTGTCCTAAGCCCCTGTTGTTGGTTGTGTATATAAACGATATGCCAGTCAGAGTCAATCATCCAGAAGCTTATGTTTTTGCTGATGATGCAAATGTTGCTTTTGAAATCCAAGATTTTTAAATATTCAATAAAATATTAGCAGAATGGTTGACTGCAAATTAGCTCAATTTTAGCGCAGTTAAGTGTTTTTGTAATTTTTAACTACATTCATTGCTTATGGAAAGTATTTCCCTCAATAGTAATTCAAAGATGTCTTCAGGACTCATGTATTAAAGCGTCAACAAAATTAAATAGACACTCTGGGATTGTTACCATTATGCTGCGTTTTGTTCACATTGAAAGTTTTAATTTTCTTTCAATAATATTCAACTTTTTTTTCAATATGGTTAGCTTTTGTTGTGGCACTGGCCACACAAATTTGATTTCAATTTTCATAAGGCTGAAAAAATAGTCAGAGTGGTTTACTACAAATGGAATTTCGACAGCTTTAGGAAGTTTTTATTTTCAGGCAAAATACTGACTGTGCATGAGCTCTTTGTTAATGATCTCTCGAAATTCTGTCTGAGATCTTTGAATAATATCAATGCTACTGAGTGTTTCTTTTTTTTCCTCATAAAAGCCCAAAGTTTTTAACGAGAAGTGCAGCATGGGTCAATTTCAAAAATCCATTATGCAACTAAAAGTTTTTGCGAAATTAAATTACAAATAGAGGATACAAGTTGCTAAATTTATGGAGCGAAAACCGTGTCTGGCCTGAAATTTATTTACAAATGAGCAAGGATTCGATTTTTGCTTCTCGCATTGAATAAGAACCATATATGTTCTTTAAAATTATAGTGCAAACTTTGTTTTCTTCTAAGGTGGCCAATACTTTTGTTTCAATAAGGATCAAAGGTAAATGATTTTTTGTATGTATGTATGACTTGATAAATATATATAGTATTATCAAAGTTACGAAACTTCGATTTTGTAAAAAAATAAATGCGTTGCTTTTTTGTTAGTTTTTATCTGCGCTGCAGCTCCATGGTATAAGGTCAAAAGATTTTCAATATTTTTTCTGTCCTTATTTCATTACTATCACGTTAACATTTTAAATATATATTGTGATTCTATTTAATTCTGCTTATTTCTGTTTTTTAATTTTACTATGAATAATTTGAAATCTAACTATTTAATGTAAAGGCGTGGTTGTTTTTCAGGGGCAGACTCATAGTGGGCATTACTGATGCCCTTTCGTGTGTCCTTTCTATATTTGCTAGAAATTCAATAACTTTTTTTCAATTGTGGGAAAAGAAATTGTTTGCAATTCAGGCACCCTTAACTCTTTGTTACTGAAAATAGTAGTTAAACACTGAAATTAGGATGATTTCTAAGACTCCCAGTTGGCAACTACTTTAGCAAGCGTTATCAAATCGGAATGCATACTTTTTGGGTGAACAACTTGCATATTAAAATCATTTGAAATTTTTGTGGTGCTGATAATTCAATTTTAACAATCGGATTCTAGTGTTAGTTATTACAGGCGAATGCTATTCTTAGAAATATAACCACTGCATGTATAATTATAAAGATACGAAATTACGGTATTGTATTTTAAGATGTTTGGACTTCATGGTTATCGTCTTAAGCTGTCGGTTGAGTTTCTGAATTGTGTAAACCGCCTTGCATACACTGCATATTTAACACTCGTGAAATTTTGTGGAATGTTTGGTCAAACAAATCAAGCCAAAAGTCAACCAACCATTTTGTGAGCAAAGTTTGCAAAATATTTAGCAACACTAATTCGGTGAAATTTCCAGGGAAATCATTGCTTTTTGTCGACTCAATCCTTTTTGAGAAAAACACTTTCAGCATTTTCAATTTTGTTCGTTTTGTCTGGTTAATATAAATCAGCACTGTAGTTGCGAGGACATGATGATAAGTCCCGCCTCCTCATTTTAAACGTTTGTAATACATTCAAAATGGGTCCGTGGTTTAGCGTCTGTCAAATTCAATGTTTCAGCTGCCGGCCCGAAGTCACGTGAGAAAGTTGGTGCTACCCAGAATGAGTTGCAGGACATTCTGGATGAGCTGAAGGGAAGTCACGTGGCCTTGGCCAAGTCCATGCGCCAGTCTCCGCTCACTCCAGAGAGTCTACAAAAGATACAGCAGGACAGGTCAGTCGTCATTCCAGCCAAGTGCAAGCAGAGTTTATGTGTCGTCACCCTATAGAATGGACTTAAAATCCAGATTTATGTAATCTAAAACCAATGCTTTGATAGATTCCTTATGAAAACATCTCGGGCGCATACTTTGGGCGAAGAAACCAACTAGTTTGAAGAAACCATGTCTTAAAAAGAGCGATTGGTTGTTCTAAATATTCCAAAATGCGGTCAAACACATCTGTTTCAAGCAAAATTGCACCTGGCTGGCAGATTTTTTCAATCAAGTAGTGTCGCTTCGAATGCTCGGAGAACGGAGAATACATCTGGTTGATCAAAAATGGATCGATCAAATTGTTTGAAGATGTACCTTCATGCTTCTTGCCCTGCTATAAAATGTTCAAATTGTAATTGATCTAGAAAACGAATTTATTCAGCTATTTCTCAATGATTTTCCAGGAAATTTCAATTATTTGCAGGTCCTTCATGGAGGATGTGCTGCAGCAGTCCTTAGCTGAGCTGCTCAACAGTGGCACCTTCTCTCAACTGGCATCATCAGTCGCAGAGGAACGCAACAAGCGCAATGCACTGCAGAAAATGGTCAAGAGGTGAGAAGCTATCATTCTTTTATTGAGGATTATTGTAGTGTAAATACCGTCCTAAACTATCGTAATAAATCAATGTAACGGTTTCGTCTCATTGACCGAAAAATTTGACAATTTTGGTTATTTGAAATAAAAATTATTACGCCTTTAATGTAAGAAGTGAGTCTATCTACTATATATTTAAATGTGAGCATCACTATCTCGGCATGTTTAAATTTTTTCACCATTTTATTTTTGCACGTTTAAGCTATATCGTATAATGCAATGGTTAAGATTTTTTTCGATTTTAGTTAAAAGTGTTCATTAAAAGTGTTCACTTATTTGGAAGTTTCACTGTAGCATTGGAAATTGCATAGATCTGTTCTCTTCTTTATTTTTGGCTATTGTTTGGTGCCTATTAAGTGTCCGTTGCTGAGTGGCTAGTGTGTGAGATTCGTAATCTCAAGGTCGCAGGATCGAATCTCATCTCAGACCTAGCCGATTTTTTACTAATTCGAGGCTTATTTCTTATTTTTTTTTTGCACTTTATAGAGCTGCTCTTTATCTTGCTTCGCCTCTGTAGAATGATCAAATGAACCAAAGTATGCTTTTTGTTTCAAACAATTGTATGATAATACTCAATGATATAAACTTCATTTGAGAAATTTAATGACTCATTATGTCTGGCAATCTATACATTATTTAATTGGCGTATCACTTGACACACGTTTAAGATGTCCCAATGTCAACATGTCCATCAAAATTCTAAATAGTTTCTACGTTAAGTATGGAAAATCGAATTGGAAAACTATTAAAAATCTGATAATTTTCTAAATCCTTGTTCATAAACTCTTTCAGCTGTCTGGCGATGTTTGTTTTTTACTTATGTCTAGGATCTAGATTATAAAGTGAAAAATAAAAATGTATAGCTCTGTTTTTGTTAGATTCGATGAACGTAGTTCAGTTTCTCACATAGGTCGGGATGACTTTTATCAGGGAATCTTAAATTTGTTCAGGCTCAAATATACTTTTTCGAAGTTTGACTTTTGATTTCTTTTCAAGTTTAGTTCATTTTTTGTAAAAAGAAGGCAAACTCCACTATCAAACAGCAAAAGTGTAAAATTCATGAAAAACGTGATTGACTTCAAGTTTCGGAAGAGGATATTCTTTTCAGATTTCCCAGTGAAATGAAAAATTTACTTATTGATCCAGTTTTCTCAATTTAGGTTAATTTTATCAAAAAAAGTCATTCATGAATTGTACTTATAATTCAGAAAGCTTTGAGGCCATCTTTTTTTCTTGAAATTCGAAATGTCTTATGATCCTGATGTTTTTTGTGTTCGATTTTTTTTTCAGGAATTGCTTTCATAAAAATCCTTTAATAGCTTCGAAGTGCATTCATACATATTAATGCAAATATGATTGCTTCTAGGTATATATTTGCATTATTTTTATAAGTATGGCACGTACCTTGTGATTCTTTTTTTTTTTCAAATTGAGTTGTTTTTATCAAAAGATCTCGATCATAAATTGTTCTAGAAATTCAAAGAACTTTAAGGCAATCTGTTTTTTTTTGTTTACTTGCGTTAATTGACTCTTTTCCAACTCTCTGTTGGCTGTTTTTTTTGAATTGCCGTTTTGACAGGGTTGTATTTTGGTTTAAAACGATGAAAATTTTTTTCATACAAAGATTCGTGTTTTTGAATGGAGTGCATTTTTGACAGGAGCGCTTTTTTTGATTTGTGAAGATGAAAACATTTTTCATGTAAAAATTTGTGATTTTTTAAAATTTCCTCCCTTCCCTTCTTCCTAACTATCGTGGGCTCTGGTCCTTACTATTTTTGCTTCTCTGGTTTGATTTCAACCTGTTTGCCATAGCCAGTCCACGTTGAGGAAGCGGACAACACTGGGACCCCTCCAACTTGTTTAAGGACGCGGGTCTTACCCACTGGGCCACGGCCGCTAGAATTTTTTCTCTAGCCTGCTACCGAGGTGCCTACGAATTCAAAACAATGTTTTCTTTGATCTATGAAAGAGTCATAAACGATCTTGTAGTCAGTAACACGCAAACGCTTGTGTAATAATACGAGTTCGCTCTTTCTCGGCTGTTTTTGTTCTCAATTTTTAGGTTCAATTTTACTGACGTGTTTTTATCTGCTTTATTTGAGCGAATTTTTTTAAAATTAGATGCGTAAACTCTATTAGACAGTTAGGACAGTTGGCTCAGTGCTGAAGATGAATGATTCAGAATCCGGAGTCTGGCTAATTTTTTTTCTTCCTACGACAAAGCTCCATTTTTTCCTTTTTGCTTGCATTCGCGAAGCTCAATTTCGCATCCAAAAGTTTTTTTACGAAAATAGGATTTTGCAGTTTTGCAGAAAATGCTTAAATTTCATGAACAGTTGTTTATTTGATTGGAGAATATGGTGGCTTTTTTCTTCACGCTTTTCCTTTTTTTTTCTAGAGACGAGATGGGGCGTCGTGAGATTCGTCAGCTGCAAGACCAGATCAGAAATGTGAAGCGCGAGAAGGAGGATGAAATACAGGTTGGGAGTCACTGTCAGTATGGATAGTAACACTTTGTATAAAACTTTTCAAATTGACTTATACATTTTTCTGAAGTTATGGCTGTTTTAAACTAGTGGTATCAATGAGCGCAGTGAAGACACTTATGAAGGTCGTGTTAATATATATTTTTTAAGTAAAAATATTTAAAATTTGTTCACACTCAAATATGCTTTTTCGCAGTTTGAATTTTGATTTGTTTTTCAGTTTTTTTATTATCATTTGATGAAATTAAGGCAAATTTCAAAATTGGTTGTCTGTTTTCAGAATTTTCATGATTAATGTGAAGTACCAATGAATGGAATGATGAAGTATGGTTTTCGATTGCTTGATCCGATTTGTGGTTTGGATGAAATTTCGTATGGTTTTTCTTTTATTAAGGAATTCTTGTAAGGAAAAAGTATTGAAACTGTTTTCACTCTAACTCAACGCTAATTTGAAAATACAAATTATCTATTGATCCAATTCTCTATAATTGGGTTAGTTTCAGGGGCGGATTCAGGTGTGGGGAGGCCCACCCGCAGGAATTCGACTATTTTAAGACATTTTTGTACCATTTTAAGACATCCATTTTTGGCTGACCGGCCCTAATCTTCTTTAAAGGCGCCTTCGCGACAATATACACCAATTTTGAGTGAGTAGCGCGCGCCGAAAAACGAAATTTTTGTTAGAAAACAAAAAGAAAAACCAGACGACCTACATAAATTTTATCATCCCGTTTTTCGGCAGACCAAATTGATTTTATGAGCTCTCCCAAATCAATTTAAAAAAAGAGTAACTAAAACTCTGTTTGTTGCCTGTTTTTCAAAAATTGCATGTGGCGTAGAAAATTTTGTCAAATTGCTTTTTTAAATTGATCTGGGAGAGCTCATAAAATCAATTTGGTCTACCGAAAAACGGGATGATGAAATTTATGTAGCTATTCTGGTTTTTCGTTTTGTTTTGAGAAAAAGTCTTAACTGTTTTCACACTCATTTGAAAATAAAAATCATCTATTGGCCTAAAAAAAATTTTTGTAAAGGCGACAATATATCCTAATTTTGAGGGGGAGCGCGCGCCGAAAAACGCAGTTTTTAATCAAATCTTTCCATCCAATAAGTTCCCAAAAATGCATTTTTTGGCCTGTTTTTTTTCAAAAATTTGCCTGCGGTGGAGAACATTTTGTCAAAGTGCGGTCTTTTTAGTGGTTTGGGAGTGCTCATAGAATCAATTTGATTGGCCGAAAAAAAGGGCGACTAATTTTTTTTGAAACCCTCCCTCGAAAAAATACTAGATCCGCCCTGGTTATTTTTGCCTAAAAAAGAACGAACCTCAAACATTCTGCAAATTCAAATTGCTTAAACGTAATATTTATTTTCTTAGAACTCTAAAATTGAAAATGCTCCGGTTTTTTTGGTTTCTGTGAGTGCATTAACCTTATCACAACTCTGATGTCTATGTTCAGATTATCTTCAAATAATTTTACTAAATAGAAGTCACAGTACACTTTCCTTTTGCAAAAAGAAAACAAATTGTGCAACAAAACAACGTGAATTGCTTGTCGTTTCAAAAAATGTATATCAATTTTTGATTTCATAGCGAAAGAAAACTTTGCTTTCTCATCCTTTCTTCTCGAGATATGTTAATTTTATCAAAAAAAAAATCAAATTTAAAATGCCCTGAAATTCAGAGAGCTTAAAACGTATTTTTTCCCCGAAAGGGCTTCAAATATTATCAATCTTTTTTGAGTTTATCATCTTTTTTTAACTTAAATTTGTTGTTAACTTAATTTTATTGCTATTCATTTTGTTTTGTTCAGAAGCGTAATGAGATGATTGCGCACTTGAAGGACCAGTTGCAGGAGATGAAGGCGAAGACGGCAATGGAGAGAAAGTACGTGCACAAAAGCAGCCTGGTATCTGTCCAGCAGACCAAGAAAAAATGCGATTCGGGAATCGCTCAGCTACAAGAGGAAACTAAGGTACAATTAAGTGGCAATCAAAATGGAAAGAGGTTTTGTTTTCTGTCGATCAGTCAAATGTTCGGTGGCTCCAGGCATACCATGATACGTTTTGAGGCAAAACTTCTCTGCCAGAAAGATTGCATGTAGCTTTTAATTAGGGCTGACAACAGTGCTTCGCTGTTGCAAGTAGATATTGTTAACTTGAAAACAAAACCTTTTTTCCTTTTCAAGATTAAGTTCGACTACCTCGACATTTTCTGATTCGCAATTTGTTTTGAGTTTTTCATTAATACAATTAGTTTGTTTCTTGAGTCTTGAAAGATATTAATGGGACCGATTTGCATGTCACAACTTAATTTGTGCACGGACTGATTCGCCGCTTTCTGGCTTCGCAAAAGTTACTAGACTTTTTGTTTAAGAGCGTGCTCCTGTGTTTTTCGACTGACGTTTAACGTATATGCAATAGCTTTTTACAAAATAAAGGATAAAATTAAAAAAAAAACATCCTCATGCAGGCACAAAATGATGAACTTTTATCTATGATCGCATATTTGGATCAGTTGTTTAGCCTCAACTGAATTTTATTAGCTATTAAGTGTTTTTTTTCCTCTGAAATTCGAAAGTTGATAATTGCTTTGATTTTGTTTAAAAAAGTGTCGAGTATTCCCTAGTTTCTTTGATTTCCAACGCTTTCCCGATTTGCCTTTTTTTATTAAGATGTTGGCTGTTATTTGTTTTCATTTTTAGAACGTTAATGAGAAGATCAACGAGGAGATCCGAGTAAATCAGGACATCGAGTCTTTTCTACACCAGAAACAGCAGGTCAGTCTTTTCTCTTTCTCGTCAGATCTTAATCAAGAGTATAGTGTGCTTTTGCATTAATAATGTCTAATGTCGCTTCAATCATTTATTCACAAGTATTGATGGTTAGAGACTAGCTGTTCACTAAAGGCTACTGTTTGTTATGTATAGTCGAATTCTTTGATTTCCTAGATATTCACTGCCTGACAGCCGAAAAACTTACTCTTTGACCTCGAAGTAATCCCCGTGTTCTCGGTTTTTTCGAGAACGCATATAATATGGCCAGACACATTACAAAGCCTCTCATCTCCTGACTCTGATATGCGGAAAATTAATGATTAGAGCATGATAATGAGCATTACGTTCGCGCTTCATGCAGGGATTCTTTTTCGTAAATTGAAGCAACTTCTAATCTAGATCATGATGCATCTATTTTTTCGTTGGTGTTAAATCTAGTTCACACCAGTTCAGATGTGTTCATATAAAAATTAATATAAGCTCATTGTGATCAAACCGGTGAAATGATTTTGAACGTGAGCATTGATTTTACAAGTATTTGAAGTTTGCTTTGTAGCAAAAGAAAAAACCACTTTTATATCTAGAAGGTCTACTGAGATTCCAAATTGGTATCTTTGAAGTACTTCTTTTGCTCTTGATTCAAACAAAAAGTACAGATGAGGGTTATTTCTCTCCTCTCATCTCGGACTAAGGAGTTCATTTGTAAAATTAAACCATCAACATCAATAAACAGTACTTCAAACTACTATTTTTTTGACTACATCTGAAGGTCTGATGAAATATTTAAGATTTCTAATTACTCTTTCATTCAATAAAATGCACTCGATGCCTAATGTTTGATCCATTTTAAATAATGAATCGCAGCTTCAGATCTAAAGAAAGACATTCACCCGTCAATTTTGTCTGTTTGAGATGTAGAGCGGAATGGGATATTTTCGAGGGCAGTAAAGGAGCTCATTTCCTTTTCTTTCTGTCAGGAAATGTCGAAAGCTGTGTGAAAGTTTCGACCGATAATGAGATAAGCCTTTTTTCAGTTGCCTTGTCAGAATAAAATTGTACTGATTTGAGCAATCAATCAAAGTCTGATTTCAGGCTGAAAATGTTAACTGTTATCTATTTCCGCTGTTTTTTGTGTCGATTTGGGTGATCATAAAAATAAATTGAATTTTTTTCAAGCTGACTAGAATGATATTGTTGTGAGCGCAGTTTTAGCTTAATCTAATTTCTGAATGTTCAGGGCGGATCTAAGATTTTCTCGAGAGGGGGGGGGGGGGGGGTTCAAAAAATTTTGTCGACCTTTTATTTTAGGTCGACTTTATTTATTTTCCGAGCTCTCCCAAAGCACTGAAAATACCCTGTTTTGCCAAGTTTTCGCGCGCTCCCCCTCAAAATAGAAACTTTTCGGGTCCGGCACCAAACATGGATATCTCAAAAAGTACATAGGAACCCTTTGCCTTTGGGTCGGCAGAAGGTCGAACTACCCGTCCCCCTAAATCCGCCCCTGGTCAGAATTCTACAACTTTTTTTGCGCCAATAGAAAACAGAAACCCTATTTGCAAAGTGAAACAAATCACAAATTGATATGAAGCATTTTTCTATCTTCATAACTCCTTGTTTTTTTTCTGGCAAGTCGACTCTACAATAACCCTTTGCTTTAATACAAATTCTCCTAATTAGCGATTTACCAAGAGTCCTGTACATGGTTGCCTAAATACGCCCCTGTGAATAGTCACTTGAAATTTGATTAATTAATTTCATGTATACTCAAAATCAATGTCCTTCAGCGAAATTGAAAAGTAGCGCAACTTGGTTTCAGAAGAGGATCTGGTTTTCGGGATAACCGCCGGAAAATGGAAATTGCTTAGTGATACATTTTTCTCAATTTAAGATAGTTCCTTAAAACAGTTCTTTCGAGTGCAAAAACGACCATGAAGTTGAAAGAGCTCACGGTTTCGTGAAACTTGGTCAATATTGTTAATTATCACTTTTCAAGTAATTGTCTGTAGGAAATTGCTAGACGTTTTTTGTTGCTTGCAGGAGCTGTCGGCGAAGCAAGAGTACTGGAGTCAGAAGTACGAGACTGACTACGAAGCCAAGAAGAAGGAGCTGGAGATCCTGAAACTCTCAAAAGCACAGGACTTCCAGAATCTACAAGACCTTACCAAGAAGGTAATGAGTTGCTGCATTTATTAAGATACCAGATTTATAACCGGTTTCTGAGCCAGTGGCACCGAGAATTTCATACTTCATCATTTATCTTATAGGAAGAAAAACTTAAAAGTGTCTATGTTTGTAATTTGGTAGGGTTTGCTATTTTTAGGGTGCATTGTTAAAGGAAATCAGTCGAAATGGGACTTCAAATTCCCGTAAAACTTGTTTTCTGCGATAAGCGTAAATGAGTTGACTCGAATTGTTTCCTTTGTGCATATTCATTTTCGATAGGAAACTAACGGAATATTTGTGCTCGGGGTTTTTTTTCCTCAGACAAATTTCGACTTTTTAACTAGCCATTTTTGACAGGATTTTTTAAATATCATTCGAAAGCTATTGTTGTCCTGAGCTCAAATTTGAAAAGATATTTCACCTGTGATCATTTTTCGTAAAGTTAGTGGGTTTAAAGATTGCCATTTGGGACAATTAAAGCGCAATATATTTCGCGCTATTAACGCGTAAACGGAGAGTTAATCCGGCTTAAAATCGTTCCAAATTGGTTGAAAGAAGCTTATTTGCCAGAATTGATTTGTTACAAGGAGCGAAATCTATCCTTTTTTACTTTATATGGCGTGTGGGGGATGATTTTTATTTAAAAAATTTCAAATTTTAGAAAAAGTTTTTTTTTTTTTTTTTCATTTTATTACATTTAATTTTTTGAAGTTATTACTGCTCTATAAAACCATAAAAGGCAGTGGGAACATTTAGGGCTTTTCCCTGATACGAGCAGTCTTTTTTTAGTCTATAATTACTTATTGAATGAGTTAAGGGTGATCTAAAGGATGTGCTGAGCAGATTGAGCTTTCAAATATTTCCGACAGGGTTGAAATTATTTCCTGAATGCGTAGTTCATTGACTCTTCTGTGAATGATCCTAGACGAGTGATCGATAACTTCGCATCACTGACGGTGTCAAAAAATGATAAAAACTAGGCGCTAGGATGGATGAATGATTGCATCGACAGCTTGCTGGGTTTTATATTTTTGGTAATGTTTTTGTCTTCTATGAATTGACCTTGAGTTCATTGAATAATACTTCAAATTCGCATGAAGTTTTAAGGTCAGAAATTGAGCGCAACGTTTAAGGAATGTATCAGCAAGCTTGGAAAGATTATTCTAGAACTAAATTTCTTGAATCTGAAATGTTGTAGATGATTTTTGTAGGGCAGCGCTTCATACGAAACTTAGACTCGTTTAAGGTCCGTATGAAACTTCATCTCGTTTTATGTCTGAGGGATTTCGTGAACATTTCATTCATTCATAGTGCTGATTGAATTTATTTGGACAAAACGCTTTGAACTTGAAATTTAAACGTTTTTTTTTTCTCAAATTGAGTTGTCTTGAGATAGAAAATGACGTTGTCAGAACTTGCTAAGAATTTCTGCTTAGTTAATATAATGCATTTTTTTTCGAAATTGAGGCCCAAAATTTTACCCCAAAAGTTTTACCTTTTTCAGTCAATCTAAAATTACGCCAAAACTACCGAGTTGATCACCGACATAATTATATTGAAATGATTCTAAGCATGTTCCGTCTTCATCATTTTTTGTCAATGCAATTTGAGAAAAACTCGTTTTAAATTTCAGGTTATATGCGTTTTTTCCGGATAATTTAAATTGCCATGAAAAAAGCCAAAACCTATCTTGTGAGCTTAGTGTTTTTTCAGACGTGCTGTTCTAATGAGATGGAGACTGAACTTGACTAACTCGCTCAGAAATGCGCTATGAAATATCTTAACTCAAAGGACATAGTAGTTGCTCTGAAATAACTAAAACATTTCACGTTTCATTGCTTCAGGAGCTAGCTTGGCAAAATTTAAAAGCTTATTACACAAGCAAAGCTCTCTTTTTTCCAACCTAAGTCGCAAACATTGTTGCGACGCAAATATTGTTGCGACAAAATGTGTTCATTTTGATCAATAACCAGCTATTAAGTACAGCCAATGCTAAGGATATCACAGACTATTATATTACAAATAAGGTATCATGAATCTGTAGCGTAGAGGTAGGGAAGGAGCGCAAATTACATTGTCTCCCCTCTGGGATTGGACCCCCTGTCGACCCAAAGGGCCGCTCCTCTGGACTATTTTTGAGATATCGATTTTTGGCTGACGGATCCTAAAACTTTTTTTGAGGAAGCGCGCGCCAAAAAATTGTGCCTGTTGTCAAAAAATTGGCCGCAATAAGGTCTTTTTAGTGCTTTGAGAGTGATTAAATTATTTTGGTGGACCTAAAACAAGTTCGACAAAATTTTCGTATTTTTTTGCCCCCTCGAGAAAATCTTAGATCCACCCCTGGTTGCGAGATTTTTCTTACAGCAAGAACACCTCTGAAATTAGTTTGATATACTGTCAACTTTACACCTTCAAAACGAGGTTTTTCAAATTTTGACCCTGCTTAGTCTTTTCCATTTTTTTCATCTTTCAGCCCTATATTTTAAATAGATGCACAAAAATGTGAAAAAACTATAGTTCATTTGCTCGTTGAATTCAGAAAGCTACAATATCTTTTTCCCATTACTGTTCTTATGCACGCGGCATTGAATTTTATTTATGAAGGTATGCTCACATTTTTTGTTCCGACGAAAGTGACGGAATGAATATTTGTGCTCGGGTGCGTTTTTTTTCTTTAGACAAATTTCGACTTTTTAACTAGCCATTTTTGACGGAATTTTTTTGTCATTCAAAAGGTACTGTTGTCCTGAGCTTAAATATGAAAAGATATTCCACCTGTGATCATTTTCCGTAATGTTATGGGGGTTTAAAGATTGCCATTTTGGCCATTCAGGGACAATTAACGGGCGATATAATTCGCACTATTAACGCGTAAGCGGAGATTTGATCCGTCTTAGAAATCGCTCCAAATTGGTTGAAAGAAGCTTATTTGCCATAATTGATTTGTTACAAGGAGCGAAATTTATTGTTTTGTACTTTATATGGCGTGTGGGATGATTTTCATAGATGGTTTTCATAGAAAGGAAATTCAAATTTTAGAAAAAAAAATTTCGTTTTATTTTAATTAATTTAATTTTTTTTTTGTTGTTTATGATATTACTGCTCCATAAACCTTAAAGGCAGTCGGAACATTCAGAGCTTCGCCCCGATACCAGCAGTCTTGTTCCATTTTAAGACACAGATAAAACATTTGGGAAAAGTTCAGAAGGAAAAGTTTTGCGTATATTGTTAATTCAGTTTGGAACGGTTTCTTAGCCGGGTTAATTCGTTTTCTGCGCCAAGTTTTAATAGTAAACAGGAAGTTCTGTGCGTTTAAGTCATTCCAAACTTGCAATTACCAAATCTACAACTTCACGAACAAGATCGTAGGTAATTTTGAGCGCAGGGAATTAACATCTTTCAGATGGTATAAAACGTTTCAACAACTGCTAATTAAAAAGAAGAAACAAACTTAAGTTGATTCGTCTGGTGTAAAAAGCACACAATGCGCTAGTATCCCCCAACCTTGCGAAAGTGGAAACAGCTATCAATAATTTATAATTTTAAGTGCAGCTGCATGGTAATGTTGATGTTGGTTGTTATTTCTGTAGTATAAAGAATATGAGGCAGTGGTGGTGGATGACAGATACGAGAAGGAGATGGCCAAACGCAGGGCAGAGCAGATGGCCGAGGAGTACAAGGCTTGCAATGCTGTGAGTACACCACACCTCTTTGACTAAGAGTCGATGAACGTAACCGAAGAATTGCACTGTTTTAGTTCAATTCAATTTCATCTGCTAAAAGTTAAGTAAGTTGCGCTCTCCAATTACGAAAGTAAAAAGGTGACGGAGAACGTGATCGATTTCTAGTTTCGAAAGTGGAATTTAATTTTAGATTTCGCAGCCAAATAATACGTTTGCCTATTGGTCCAATTATCTCAAATTGAGTTAGTTTTTATCAAAAAGTGTCAATGAAATTTTTATACTTAGGGGCCATATATTTTTTACTTTGAACTTCGAAAGTTCAATTTTTCTGTTTCATTGCGTTCACTGACTCGCTTCCAACGGTCTGTTGGCTATTTTCTCGAAGAAAGCTTGTCCGCGGAACTGAAAACTTGGAGCAAAGCTGGTTAATTTAAGTGATTTTGGAAGAACTTGGAAAATCAAAATGATCGACAGAAGCCAACTTGGTGAAATTTCAGATCCGAATCTAGTTACATTCGACCAATGTTCATTTTTATTGGTGGATTCATTTTTGGCTGTCAGTTTTTGAAGCTCAAAGAGTTTTTACTGTGAACCATTTGCGAATGCAATTCTTCATAATTCAACACAATGCTGCGTGCATTACTTCATGGTTTGTAACGTTTCAAAGCTGTGATAATTCGCGGCCATTGTTCCTAAGGATAACGTCTCAAATGGCATAATTCCCAAATGGCATGAAAATGAAAAATTTCCCAAATGGCATAATTTTCATGCAACAGTTGCATTGAAAAAAAATCGAGAACAACTTTTTCGTGAACAATGTGAGAAAATAACAGTTGATTGACATTTTATCTTATTTTTTTAAACAATTTTGCATCAAAAGCGAAAAGCATAAGCTTGCGGTTATTGATAAGGTTCTTGTGGTCAGTTTTTCCTACAAATTTGTCACTTAACATTTGTTTGTAAGCTATTAATTCCAAATCGTGATCACATGTTTTCATTCCTGGCAAAACGTTTAAATTACAATGATAACTTGAAATTTATGCCATTTGGGAAAAGTTTTACTTTTATACCATTTGGGAAGTTACCGTTTCTAAGGAGAGTTCTCGTACTTGAGTGATTGAGTGGCCAATTTACAACTCTATTTTTAACGGAATATATTTTTAGATTTTGCTGCGGAAGTGATGCTGTGATGTTTAGGTTATTATAATTATTTTGAAATTAAGCGGAAATTCAACTTAAAAAGGGTTGCATAAATTATTTAATGCGAACATAGAAGTCCAAAAGCATGCGGCTATTTAAGGAATCTAAGTCGTCCTGACGTGTGTGCTGGTGTATTTGAGGCTGTATAGTTATTGAATATCATCTATTGTTAATATAAATGGCATGCAAATATCAAGTGCATCTGCCTAAATGTTGAGAAAGAAAAGGTAGCGCCAATTAGCTATCATGGTGGATGTGCGATGATTGTCACTTGGATTTAATTGGTCTTGACGTTTGAGGGTGTTTCAGATACAAGCGTGGTGGAGGGGATGCATGGTGCGCAACCAAATTGGCCCCTACGGGAAAAAGAAGGGCAAGAAAGGGGGTAAAAAGGGATCGAAGAAGAGCGGTGGGGGAAAGAAGAAGTCAGGCAAAAAGAAGTAGGCTCCTACCTACTCCAATTGAATAGCAGCACAGTAATCACTACTAATACGAGATTGCAACAACTTTCACCGACTTTATTGGAAATTTTTAAGATATCCTTCTCTAGTTGATCAGTCAAATTTAACTCCTATCCAAAATACGGTTTGTGCAATGATTAGACGTATCATGGAATAGTTTTGCTACCAGAGAGTTAATTCTACCACACAAATTGGAGTAGAAATTGTTTTTATTTTGATCAGCAAATTGTTTGAATGGTCTAACAAAGATCATAAAATTAGTTATTCTATTCTGAACTGTAAATAAATTTGAAAGGTATGTAGATTCAGTGAACATAAACATGTACATGAATGTGTTGAGAAATGTGTATAATTGTAAATTTAGTTTCTCAGTTTTCCAGTGATTCTTGACTGGAGGAGACTAGGATTCAACTTTGTTGTACTTGAAAAATCCCTTGTTATGTCGAAAAGGACGATTGACGCAGATACTTTGAGTTTTGAATCCCACTTAATTAACAACTGATGGCTCATGTTATTGTTATTGGCTCGTCTGGTTTCAGCGCGTCGGTTATCTCGGTCGTGATAAAACGTCTTGATTGGGCTGATCCGGTGGTTTAGCGGTCGGGTCAAATCTTTTGAGGTAAGAGTGTATTAATGGAGAATAACCGAAGCGTAGTTGAGCTTGGTGTGAGTGTGAGCTCAGTAGGGATTTTTGGTGAAGAAAATGATTCGAAATTCATTAGTTGATGGAACGTGGTAGATTGAGGTTGACGTTGCTCGAATTTCTGGTTCCTCCCTATAGTTGCGTGTATAGTATGTAAGGGTCGAGGAGTAAATCCCTCAGGATATAATCCCCCAGAATAAAACCCCCAAAAGAAAAAAATTCCCCTATGAAAACCCAAAAAAAAATTTATCAGGTTGCCACGAAAACTTCTATCAGGTCCGAGGGCGGATCTAGGATATTCTCTATAGTGGTGTGCGGATTTTCAAAATAATGTACTCTGTTTTGACAAAATTTTTAGCACCGCAGGCAAAATTTTGAATTAACAGGCCAAGCACGGCGTTTTTGGGCACTTTTTGGAAAGTTTTGAGCAAAAAACTGTTCGGCGTGTGCTCCCTTTCAAGTTAGTATTTATTTGCGCGAAAGGCGCCTTTGGAAACCCTTTAGAAACAAATTGGATTTCATGAATTGATGCCGAAGGAGGGACCCTTTGATTGGCGAGGGGGTCGAATCCCTGAGGGAGAGGGGGCGGCCGCCCAACACCCTAAATCTACCACTGATCAGGACTATACAATGCATTGTTTTGTTGACGGCACAATTTTCTCCTGCATATACTCACTTCTTCCGGGTAAGCGACAGGTCACATACGGTGCACTGTGGTCTAATCTGAAATCAGACGTAAAAGCTCCAGTTTTTATTTGATAAACTCCGTGGGGGACAACTTCCCAGAAACCGAAATAAAGGATGTGTCTTTCATTTTTCTCCGGCTATTCACAGAAAGATACTTGATTTCGGTTTTGCCGTTCAATATCTAGAGGAAAAAGACGTCAGCTAGACCATACGCCTCTTAGCTCCGCTTGCTTTAGTACCGCTACTGCATGTAGAGCAGTGGTACAAAATCGTGAGCCATAGCTAACAGATCCCAGAGGACATCACAAGCTACTTCGAGGATACTTCTATAGGATGGGAAAACCAAAAAGCTTCACTCACCAAGGCAAGCCAGACTCCACGAAAACATGTGGAAAGTCTGTTTTCGTACAATTGACGACCTTCCAAGAACAAACAACGCTCTTGAAGGATTTCACCGCGGAATTGCGTCCATTTTACAGATGTCAAATCCAGACATCTGGAAATTTATTAAAACCACCCAAAAACAACAATTATTGCATGTTTTTACTTTGGCGCAATTGCTTTAAAGAAAAAATTCACGCGAGGTAGGAAGTTGTTTTGGGCGTATAGAACTTTCGGCGAGATTGAATATTTAAAAGCTCTCGCTGTTGATTTGTCTTTATAAATTTCAATTTATGGTTAAGTTCTGTTTATGCTTCTACCTTAATCTTAATTCTATTTATGGTGACCAAGTGTAATTTAGTTTTCCGAGTTGCCTTTTTGCCTAATGCTATTTTGGGGGGATATTAAAACAAACACGGGGGGATTTTGTCTTAGGGGAATTTGGTACTTGGGGGTATTTTGTCCGAATGGGATTTGGTCCTATGCGGGATTTAGTAGACCCGAGCGGGAACGTATTAAGTGCTTTCTGGCGCATTTACCAACAATTGCATTTGTTCTGGTTTAATGAGGCTTTTGCTCATCTGAGGGTAAACTTGCTTTCAAGATTTTTTCGTCCTAGGTGGTTGTCTTAATGACAGCTCACGCAGTAGTACTGCAAGAAGATGAGATTTGCGAGATATTGGTAGTACCAGGGTTGGGAAGTTGTTTAACATAGTTATTTACCATGCAATTTAACTTAAAATGTTATTAATAATTTCTAACAGTGATGTAAGTAATTTCTTAGAAATAAGGGTAAACACTCCGCTTACAACCGTTTTTCAGATTAAGTATCTTTCTGCTGTGGAGAGGGGGGATAATACGAGTTCTTATGAGAGCTGTGTTTTTACAGTTCGGGATTTTTGGTTTGTTTTTGTAACCCTTTAATGAAATGTATTCACGTACGGGAAGCTCAGATCCCAACTTTTTGTCGATAAAGTACTAAGTAAGTAAGCGTAAAATGTAACGGAGGCTTAAAGTAAATCGGAGGCTTAACGCGTCAGCAGATATTTAATTCGCCTTAGAAATTGTTCTATTTTCAATTTTGGCATTCTATTTTGTCTATTTAATACTTTGTTATATGCGAATCACATTGTACTTAACATAGCTTGTCGGGTGATGATTTTCAAAAATAATCCTTAAAAAATTGTAGTTTTTTCTCCTTCAAAAATTTCATCATATTTTTTGAAGCAACCACTTCTCTATAGGCCTTAAAATGCAGTTGGAAGATTCAAGGATGCGCCCTGATACCAGCAGTCTTGTCCAAATTCAGGGTTGGTAGTTGCAAAATGTATCTTTTAAATCTACATAGGATGGGAAATTTTTAAAAAATCAATTTCCATTTGAAATTGGTCGAAGAAAATTTATTCGAGCAGTATATCTCGCCCTGATACAAGCAGTGTTCAATTTTGTATCCGAATTTTGTTTCATAGTCAGAACAATTTTTGGTTACACATATAAATTTCAGTACTGCGGTAAATTTTTGAAGTATCTTCTCCGCTTTTTGATTTGTTCAAATTTTTCAGTAGTTACTCGGCTCAAGTTTCTGTTTAAGTCTACTTGTGTTTAAGGAGTAACTTCAGTTTGTGAAAACTGTTTGACGAAAAAATATTTCCCAATTTTTTGCTCCCCAAAAGCGTTAATCGAAAAAAATTTGCGTTTCTGAATCTTAGGATGTTAGCATAAAAATTGATCTGTTTGACCGAGTAGCTTGGTTGAAAAATATGGAGACAACAATTAATTTGAGCAGCAAGTCTTACAAAAATTGGAGAAGGACATTAGACATTCATTATATATTTAAACCTAATGCAATTTAGTTTTAAAATAATAAATTTGTTTGGTTTAATTCTGAAACATGGATTTATAAATTGATCAGCAGTTCTACAGCTCTGAACATACATAAATTTCACCTTTGCTATACAAATCAAAGTTTTGAAGCTGATATGTCTGGTAAATTGCAAATAAATTATCTTTCATCTGAGTTTTTTACTGTCGCCCAAATTAAACTTAACAAAAACCAAAGAACACCAATCAATTACTTTAAAATATATTTTTATTTATTGCTAAACTTAAGTGACTTTGACCTGAACGAATATTTTGACAAGTTGTCATTAAGTATTTTGTTTTTTAACTAATTTCGCCCCCATACCTGTTTATTAATATTTCAGCCCGCTAAGTTCATGCCATTTAATAAATTCAGGTAGGCAAGTTATTTATTAGTTCAGGCCCCTAATTATGAGTTGAAACTTGAGCATGTTAAAAGATGTATTGGGAGAGAACACAAGAAAATTCTTTTCATGCGAAGTTCAAACGGAGCTGCAACAGGAACTGCGTGTATCGTCTGGTAAAACCGAAAGTCTCTTCGTGGATTGCGGTTCAACTTCCATTTTTTCCGGCTCTGCTAATTTAAGTTGAACATCATTCAACTTCTTCGATGTCACACTTTCATCGACATGTTCACTTCGGTGTATACTTTTGCGCACTTCAAGTCGTGTCGGTGACTTTTTTGGAGGAAATAGGTTCACATCTCGGTGTCCGGCAGGTGGAGCCTGACTATAGTCGGGTTTCTGGGTGTGGTCGGTGACTGTTTCTCCAGTTCTGTTGCCTTTGAAGATGGCGGATGGGGGAGTGCTGCTGAATTGCCGAAGGCTCCTGCCTCTGCTTGATCTTCGGCTGCAATCCGAAGAATCATCCTTGCATGTTTTCATGTTATTCTAAATAAAGTATTCAGATAATACTAGCTTTGTTTTATGCTAACTAAAAACAATGCATGAATTCCCCATTTAGACGTTTTCTGTGCTTTTTCGGCCCTCATTGCTATTAAAGCTGGTTAACTCAATCTATGTTCAGTTGTCCTTAAGTATTCAGTAATCCATTCAAGTCAGTAATTCACCGAATGGAGATTATTACCCTTGTGATAAGCAAGTGTATTGCAACCGGGCGCAAGATTTCTTTCCCGTTGGAAATTTTTTGCAAGTGCAGGTGAACTTTGAATTGAATGCGGTGTGGTATGTATTTCCTACCGACGTGATTTTTAATATAGTTTATAGTTAAATAGTAGTCAACATTTTTGCAAAAAGAACAATTCGGAGGATTCATTTTTTCAATTTAACTTTCGGCCTAAGTTTCAAATAAGTATAACAGTCTTTAGCAGAAGGCTATTCATTCTAGCAGAAGGATATGCAGGATATTCTTTAGCAGAAGGCTATTCATTCTAGCAGAAGGATATGAAGGATATTCTTGTGTTTTTTGTTATCTCGTGGTTTCAAAGTTGCTTTTTCAGAGTTTTATCTGCCGCTTTGTGGTATTCTCTTTCGGGTTTCTGTCCAACAGAAGCTTGTGTCTAGATTTGAAATGCGTTCAAATTTCATTGAATCTTAAGTTCCTTCCCTTGCCAAGGTGTTAATGAACGAAGTAATTTGTCACTTCTTTAGTTCGTTTAGTTGTTTCTAGTTTTTTTTTGCAATAATCAATTTTGAAATTTGATTTTTATTAGTTAGTTAAGTTAGAACGTAGTTCAAGCTCAGTTCAAATCCATTTGCCAAAGTGAAGGCATATTACGCTCTTCAGTAACAGAATTTCGAATAGCGCGAAACAAGAAAAAAACTTTAAGTTCCAAAAGTGGATTTCCCTGCGGATTTTCCTTCTTGATTCGAAGTTTGAAGCACGCAAAACATTGAAAAAAAATATTCAGATTTATTAGACGTTTTCAACTGTCCGTTTGCTATATTCTGAACATCATAATCAATTAATCAATTTTTACAGCAAAACAAAAGCGGATTTTTTTATCTGAATTGTTAAACGTGTAAACTAATTGAAAATTTGCAATAATACCCAGTAAGACAATTTGCAGTTTCTTTTCCGGCAAACTCTGAGATGTTATACAACTTAAAAATCTGTTTAGGAGATCGAAGAAACCTTAAAATGGAGTTTCAAGAAACCGCTGCAAAATGACAAATTGCAGAGGCAATGAACCTGACCATAGTTTTTATGGAAGTAAGTATTGAGGGTAGAAATTAATACGGCGGTCATATAAACGACATATTTTTATTGGGCACACTAAGAATGTTAAGGAATAGATGGTATTTGCAGTTAAAAAGTCCAGTTCTCTGTTAACCCTTGCTATAAGCAAGGGCATTGCAATCTGGTACTAGACATTTTTCCGTAGATAACAAATGAACAGCTACCGATATATTTTGCGTCTTATTCGAAATTATCTCTCCGATTGGAAATTATCTTTTCCATGGATTGTAATTTTACCAACTCGATTTGTAAAAATTTCATTTTTTTTTATATTTGATAGGTTTCGGCCTATATTACATCAGCTTTGTGGCCTCATTTTGCCTTATATCGTTCGACGAGCAAAAAACTTTTTTTTTCGTGAGCATGTGTTTTGAGGGTGAGGGTGAACTAATAGTTTCTTATTAGTCTGAAACTTTTTTTGGTTTTTTTGTTAATTTATTTACTTTTTTTGGCGTTATAGGTTTCAGCCTACTTTATATTGGCTTAGTGACGAGCGCAAAAGTATTGTGTGCTTGTGTTGTTTAGGGTGAGGGGGACTTAAAAACGTTTTATTAGTCTTAATTATTTTGAATTTTTTCCCGCTTTTTATTGCTAATTGCCTTTTTTCGACTTAACTGGTTTCGGGTTATATTATATCGGCTCAGTGGCCTCATACTGCTTCATTTGATGAGCTGTGTGTGTGTTGAGGTTGAGGGGGACTAAAAAACTTTTTGTTAGTCTCAAATGTTTGTGAATTTTTTTGGCTTTATGTTTTTTCTGGCTTAATAGGTTTCGGCCAATAGTATATTTTCTTTCGATGCTTATTTACGTTTTCTGTCGAGGCACGTTTTGTTTTGAACTAGCCTGATTCATTTTGATAGATCTAGTTTTTTTAAACATTTTATGCAATCAGGTCCTAGACTTTTTTTCCCATAAACAACTTTGTTCATAGGTTGATGTCCAATTTTGAAAACTCCTTTTTCAGCACGTTGCACGTTTAACAGTGTCTTGGATTAATGCCTAGAGTTAGTGTTCCTAGAGTTAATGCGTTACTAGATGTAGTGGTAAAACATTTATTTTCAGATGTAAAAGGGTTTTTTTTGTAGCACAATTTTTTCCAAGTTTCAGCTTTCGTCCAAGTTGCAATAACATCGTTGCTTGAGATGACAACGTCCAGGAGTTTGATTCCAGTTGGAATTTGTTTTCTTTCAAATTGAAAATTTTTGGCTTTTGTAGACTTTTGTTTGTTTCGCAAGTGATGCGAAGCTCAGCTTCGCGTCTGCGTTAAGCTTATGCTTAACAGCTTCAATCATAGCTCAGATTTGCCACAGTGTTGATTTGCCACTGTGCGGCTTTCTTCTTTTGTGTCGCAAGTGGTGCGAAGCTCAGCTTCGCGTCTGTGTTAAGCTTATGGAAAAAATCAAAGTAGAGTTTCAATAACAAACGTATCCATTTGCTGTACTCCTTGTGAATGGTTATAACATAAAATAATAGGTAAATAGCAAAATCTGTCACCAAGAATACCCAATTTCAACTCTTCCAAAATAGTTTGGGTACCTTCCACCTTGTATTATTTTCAATTTTACTGTTCATCCTTTTGAAGAACTCAAGGGTTCATGCGATTCTCCTGCTTCATTTTAGTCATATAATTTTCAGAATCAATTATCTGTCTTAATTTAATCACGCTTCTTCCTTATTTCACAAGTGGCAGTCCATCAAAGTGTTTATTGATGATGCAGAATTATTGATGATCTAGGCACTCGGTTAAAACATGCTATCAAGAGTCTCAAAAGTAGTTGCAATCCAAATGGTGCCCAATTGCAAACACACCAGTGCACATGAAGTAATACAGACCTGGAACAGTGTGACGCTTTCTTCAGCAATAGTCTAAACCAAGCTTGAAATATATAAAGATACGTTATTCTGGTTCTCTCTTGTTTCTATGTGCACAGAACGTAACTATCGTAGACTATTTCGTTTTTTTCTTTTTTTTGGATATAGTCCAAGCCTAGAAACCAACTTTGAATTTTCGGTGTCTGTACAAAACAGTCTCATTCAAAACAGCCAATACAAAACACTCCGGAAAATTATGAAAATGAAAGAAAAAACAGTCCGATACTAAACAGTTCGACAATTTTTGAATGACAGTCAATTTCTACTGACAATTTAAATGATTTACTTTGAGATGTGCTTTGGCTTTTTAAATCAATCCCTGCTGACTAAGTATACAACGTAAACTAATAAAAAAAACTTTTAACGGCATTTCTCTGAACTGCATATTTTTAATGTTTTCCTTTCAGTCAGTGCCAGCGGGCATTTTTCATAATTTACGACTTGAAATTATCTTGATAAATTTGTGACTGAAGTTTTATTAGGGTTATAAATTAAGCCCTTTCTTCGACATGAAGAACACACTGTTAATTTTAGTGCCACTCTTAATTAGTTGCTTTCTGTGAAGTTACCTGATTTATGGCTATGGGAACGACAAGTGTTACCGGCGAATCGAGGTTTTGCAACACCTGAGAAGAAAACATCGTCAGATAAAGCTGACAAAAAGTTATATTGCTTCGCAGAACAGGATCTAGAATATTGTCTCTAAGGAGGGGGGTCGGATTTGCAAAAAAAAAATCAAGATTTTAGGTTGACCAAATTGATTTTCCGAGCTCTCCCAAATCACTATAAAAACTCTATCTTGACCAATTTTTATGCGCCATTTTAGGCAATTTTTTGAAAAATCAAATGGGCTAAAAAAGCGTTTATAGGCTGTTTTTTGAATGTTTTGAGCAAAAATACCCTCAAAATTAATTTATATTGGCGCCCAAGGCGCCTTTAGAAAAATTAGGATCGGTATGGCAGAAAGGGATATCTTAAAACAGTACCAAATGGAGGACCCTTTTGTTTGCCTGGGGTTCGAATCCCTGATGGGGTGGGGCATCTGCTTCCCCTCTCTCGTATGATTTAGCCATAGAAAAGCTGAACACTTTCTCATTGTAGCATTTGAAGAAATCCAGTTATCCGAGGAAATTATTGTTCCGACTTTCGATACGAAAGTTACGGAATCTTTGTGCTCGGGGTGGGTTTTTTTTTCAGACAAATTTCGACTTTTTAACTAGCCATTTTTGACGGAATTTTTTTATATCATTGTAAAGGTATTGTTGTCCTGAGTTCAAATTTGAAAAGATATTTCACCTGTGATCATTTTTCGTAAAGTTATTGGGTTTTAAAGATTGCCATTTGGACCAATTTGGGACAATTAACGAACGATTTTTTCGCGCTATTAACGCGTAAGCGGAGAGTTAATCCGTCTTAGATATCGTTCCAAATTGGTTTAACGAAGCTTATTTGCCAAAATTGATGTGTTACAAGTAGCGAAATCTCTCCTTTTGTACTTTATATGGCGTGTGGGGGGATGATTTTCATAAAAAATTTCAAATTTTAGAAAAAAAAATTTTTCATTTTGTTTTACTACTTTTAATTTTTTAATGCTATTACTGCTCCATAAACCTTAATAGGCAATCGGAACATTCAGAGCTTCGCCCTGATACGAGCAGTCTTGTTTTTTTAAAATTTGACTCCAAGAAAATTCAGAACTTTGTGTTCCTAATTAAATGTCAATGAACGAACTGAAGACACTCGTTTAGGTCGTGTTTATTTTTTCAGGAAATCTTCATGTGAATCACTCTTAAAATATATTTTTTTGAGTTTGACTATTGATATCTTTTTCAACCTCAATTATGACATCAGAAGAATTATAAGGGCTTCAAATTTGAACTTAGGGGATACAATCTTTGAACAAGACAAAGCCGGACTTCTGGGAACGCTGGACCTCGAGGGGTCCCTACCTTTGTAGAAATCTCTATTGTGGGGTCAGAGCATACCTTATTGCCCCCACTATCTCTTGCTCGTCCCATGTACGTTGATGCCCAGAACATGGAGGAATTGTAGACACAAGACAGCTTAGCAGCAGCATTGGCAACGAACACGAAGTTCAGTCCTGAAGCATAACCATGGGTAATTATGTAACACTAATTTTTACTGATAAAACGTTATCATTACTGACTCTCCTACGAAAGGCTGGATGCCCTTTCTTAAAAATTCTGACCTTTCGATTGACAATATTGCTCTACCCAAACACTAAGACCCTATTTTGACATAAATTTCTATGCAATTGGTAAATTTTTTGCGCCTCAGGTAAATGTTTTGCGCCAGTGGTTAATTTTTTGAGCCATAGATAAATTTTTGCGCATCTGGTAAATTGTCTGGCCACAGGTACATTTTCTTTTCGACAGGTAAATTTTCTGCGCCGCAAGTTAATAATCTGCGCGGCAAGTAATTTTTCGGTGCCAGAGGTTATTTTTCTGTGTGATTGGTTACTGTTCTGCGCCACTGATAGATTTCCTGTGCCACTGATAAATTGCCTGGGCCACAAACACATTATTTGTCCCACAGGTAAATTTTCTACGCCACAAATCACAAAGCTTCGACTCAAGTAAATTTTCTGTGCCACAGGTTTTGTTTGTGATTGGTAATTTTCTGCGCCACAGATAAATTTTCGTTGCTCTTGGGAAAATTGCCTGGTTACAGGAACATTTTCTGTCCAAAAGGTAAATGTTCTACGCAACAGGTTACTAATTTTTGCCACAAGTAATTTTTCTGTGCCAGAGGTTAATTTACTGCGTAATTGGTATTTTTTCTGCGCCACAGGTAAACTGTCTGCGTCATAGGTACATTTTTTGTACAACAGCTAATTTTTCTACGCCTCAGATTAATAATCTGCGTCTCAAGTTAATTTTCAGTGCCACAGGTTAGTTTTCTGCGCAATTTATAACTTTTCTGCGCCTCAGGGAAATTTCCTGTGCCACTGGTATTTTTTCTGCGCCATTGGGCAATTTTCGTACCACCAATTAGGGGAGGTTGTCGAAGTTTTTTTATTTTCTGAATTTAATCAATTTAATTTAACGTTTCAAATCATAAATATGTAGATACATTAAAAACCATTCAAACGCTTCAGATTTCCGCCCTTATTAAAGCAGTTTTGCTCTTTAGTATCACTCAATTTAGGGAGTTAGTGTATGAACCCTTTTAGTCTATCTGTCAAACGATCGACCATATTCATTGCGGTTCGACCTAATTTTGTATCTACTGAGGCACATGGTCAATCCGTAAATTGCCCTAACTCGTGTTTTACGGCCTGCGGATTCTCCTTCGTTTGAAATTAATAACAGTTTGTCCAAACAAAACTTAGTGCTTTTTATCTTTTTGAATCTGTTTCTGGAGAGATTGAGCAGTGAATAATGAAGCATATGCATTACTTGATTGTTTGAAAAAAACACAAACATAAACTTGATTAATGCTTTCAAGTGTTCGAAACGCTGGCAAAATTTACACACGCGTAGTGTAGTGTCATTTTAAAAAGCACAATTTTTTCCAATCCAAGACGCAAGTAAGAAGTTTCGTTAAGAGTTTCACTTATCCTTTTGCTATGGTAAAAGTACGTGTTCAAAGCGGGTGCCGGACATCAAGCCGACGGGACTTCAAGCCAAATTGTAAAATATGGAACTTCAAGTTGAACATTTTCTCAAAAAGTCATGAATTATGATTAATTAGAAGACTGTTTTCAATAAATTTACAGTTTCATGATCTTTTTATAACACATTCTGGAGTTTTCACAGGTGAAAAAATAGTGTTTTGAGGTGCCTGTAAAATTTCAAGTTGGGCCTGAAGTCTCTTCGGCTCACAATCCTGTCGGCTTGTTGTCCTAGATCCGTTCGAAGCATCTGTATTACCTGATTGCTGATAAAAATCCGAACACAAGCATAAACATGATTAATAATTTCAAACATTCGGAATTTTGGAAAAACTTCCACAACCGGTGCGTAGTGTCATATTACGAAGTGCACTTTTTTCCAACCCATAGAGAAGTTCGTGAAAAGTGTTCTCTTATTCTGTTGCTATATAGCATTTGTTCAATAGCATTTTAAAAGCAGATGCGATATCCGCTTAGTTACTGTCAAGTGTTTCACTATCACTCAATGGATAGAATGTTGCAAAAGGGCGCATGGCGCATATTTCAACTGTTTAGATTATTTGTTAAAGATTGCTTATAAGGCCAATTTGGGACATTTAACGCGCGATATATCTCGCACTATTAATGCGTAAGCCGAGATTTAAGCCATCTTAGAAACCGTTCGAAGTGTTGGTTGAAGCAAGCTAGTTGTCATACTTGCTACGGTACGTTATTAGGAGCGATATTTAGCACTTTGGACTGAATGCGGCGTGCGATGATTTTTAAACAAATCTTTTCAAAAAATTTAAAATGCTTTTGAAAACTTCATCAATTTTTAGAAAACTTTAGACCTTTATAGGCAGTCGCGTTTTTCAGGGCTTTGCCCTGATACAAGCAGTCTTGCTCTTTTTTATTGTTCTGACTTTCGATACGAAAGTAACGGAATATTTGTGCTCGGGGTGGTTTTTTTGTCTTCAGACAAAATTCGACTTTTTAACTAGACATTTTACTTTTTCCATCTTATTTTTTTAACTACGAGGGCTTGAAAAGGGCTAATTTGGCAACATTTTTGAGCCATTTTTTGAACTGTTCGTCCATTTGTTTGGTCGAAGTTCTGTGATCAGGATGTTAAAAACTAGTTTAGCGCTTTGAATTGATTTGATCAGTCACGTAGTCATTCAAGCTATATTCACTTTTTGATTCAGAAAATAATTCCACTAAAAATTTACTTTTGATTTTAGCGGCATAGTTTTAAACGTTCTCGGCACTTTTCATTACTTTGATAAACTTCAAGAAAAAATTTCGGGACGTTAGGCATTTCAATGTAGGCGTTTACAATTCAATAAGAAATATTGAGACCAATCGTTTCCTTTTTGATTTTCAGCGCCATCACCTTTAATATTTTCGGCTTTTTTCTTGCTTCAAACACGTTCATTCAATTATTATTGTTCCGACCTTCGATACGAAAGTAACGGAATATTTGTGCTCGGGGTGGGTTTTTTTTTTCTTCAGACAAATTTCGACTTTTTAACTAGCCATTTTCGACGGAATTTTTTTATGTCATTCGAAAACTATTGTTGTCTTGAGCTTAAATTTGAAAAGATATTTCACCTGTGATTATTTTTCGTAAAGTTATGAGGGTTTAAAGATTGCCATTTTGGCCATTTTGACCAATTTGGGACAATTAACGCGCGATATAATTCGCGCTATTAACGCGTAAGCGGACATTTAATCCGTCTTATAAATCGTTCCAAATTGGTTGAACGAAGCTTATTTGCCATAATTGATTTGTTACAAGGAACGAAATCTATCTTTTTGTACTTTATATGGCGTGTGGGGGGATAATTTTCATAAAAAGTTTCAAATTAAATTTTTTTTTTCATTTTATTTTATTTCATTTAATTTTTTATGTTATTACTGCTGCTCCATAAACCTTAAAAGGCAGTCGGAACATTCAGGGCTTCGCCCTGATACGAGCAGTCTTGTTTGTTTTTGCCGTTTTTTTCTGGAGTTTGAACAGTGTAGTTGACAAGTCAGAGCCGTTGACAAGTCTTCCTATAAGTTTAAATATAGTTCATTGATAGTAGTTGCTATTTATGCGCTATTACATCGCTGATTTTCTATGGAATATCAATCCTAGGAGTTCATTCTTTGCTCCATGCTTCATCAACTTCATAGATAGAATGTTGCACTAGGTCATCGTCAGTAAGGCAGTGACTCACCTGGGGTGTAGCCGAAGAATGAGATGATAGTGAGGAGAGCATAGGGAGTCCAGCCTGCTATGAAAGCTCCAGTGGACAGAGCACAGACAATAGTGATCTTGCGAGTCCTATAAACAAGCATCCGCAAATTTGATCAAGTATATTTCTGTTACAGACTTCGCAAATCAAGGGGAAGAGGGCAAAGGGGAGAAGTAATGCTAGAGATTGTTTCAATATAATCTTAGCTTTGATTGGTAGAGAGACCAGCATCGTATATTTCTGGTATATTGAGGCACAAAAATGTATTATAATAATTTTTGTTTCAATTTTTTTCGAAGAAAATGACGGATTATGAGCTCGGGTGGTCAATTTTTGGCGATCTTAATAGTTGTTTACGCTTGCGATTACCAAGTGTTATCAAATCGGAATTCAGAATCTGGGTTCGACTGTGACCCAGGTTTGTTTTATAATCTGGGTTCGAATCTGAACGGGCCATTTTTTTTCAAACGAGAAATATTCCGTTGCCAAAAAACTGGCGGCTTATTATGTGTATGCTCATATTTTGTCGGCTTAGTTGCTACATCTTAGAATTTTTTGCTGTATATAGTTTGCATTGTAGTTGTTTTCTACCCTTGCGACAAGCAAGGGCATTGCAATTGGGTACTTGTCTTTTTCCCGTAAATAACTTTGTCAAAATTAAATGGTAAATGGTCAAACAAATGGTAATTTTAGGTTCAGTTCATGAATTCAAATTTCTTCGCGTCTCGGGCAAACTTAGCGAGGAGGCAACGAATACGCTGGGGACGGCAAAAACCCTGGGTTTGAAATAGCACAAGTTGCTTGAAAATCTTATAGAATTAATAGCTCAAAATTTTTATGGCGACATTTTTTTCGGCTTTTTTTGGCTTGATAAGTTCCGGGCCCTAATTAAATTGGTATAGTGGTCTCCAATTGGTCTTCCGGTGAGTGAAAAAAATTAGCATTTGTGTGGTTTAAGAGGGCGGACACTTGTTAACTTTTCATTAGTCCTAAGTTTTGTTGATTTTTTTTCGGCTTAGAGGCTTTCTGGTAAGATATTTTTGGCTTTGTTACATATGAGTACATTATCTTCCAATCTTTATTCAATTTCTATTGTCTTGGCTTGTTTTTGTTTCAAAACTAGCCTTATTAATTTTGATAGATATAGTATTTTCCACCTATCTTTTTGCATGCTTTTAATCGCCAGTTTTTTCATCGTCTGTGTGTAAAAACTTTTTAAAACCCTATTAAAAATACTGACTTCTTCAAATCAAATGTAAAAGGGTATTTTTACTTCGATCATTTTTTGCAAATTTCTGGAAGTTTGAAAATTGCTAATTTGCCATGCTTTGGACTAATTTATGCGTGCTTTGAAGATTTTTTTCACAATGCTGAAAACGTAGCGTGAATCATTTAAGCGTGGCGAAATACCCCGTTCAAACGATCGTTCCAAGTTGAATTGCGGCTAGCTAATTGGTCGTTGTATGTTAGTACGACTCATTTCATTCACACTGAATTTTTTATATTCTCCAAAATTTTAAGTTAAAACGTTTTCAGTGACTTTTCGCTATGGATTAAGATTGTTGATATACTTGATATTGTAGAAAGACTTAATAGCGACGATAAGTTTTAATATTGTAAAAACACTCGTTTTATCAGGTTGGGAGCTCAATTTTATTCATCTACTGCAAAAAAAAAGTCAAAAAATTGCGGAAGCTATGAAGTGGCTAAGTCTCCGCTTGTTGATTGAAAGTTTAGGGTTCAAGGCCCTTTGTGCTCTGTGTTCGTAGCCTGAGAGTGGCAACCTTCGTAGTCTGAGAGTGACAAAAATTGAAATTCTAAACTCTCTATTGTGAGATTCTACCAGGGTACTCTCATTCGTTGCACATAAAACTTAAATAAAATTTAACTGTTAAAAAATTTTTATGTTTTGAGATGTGGAACTATTGAAATCTAAATTTTCTCAAATTTTCTGAAAAAATCATAAAAACGTCATATCTCAAACATTTTATTTAAGTTTTATGTGCAACGACTGAGAGTACCGTGGTAGAATCTCACAATAGAGAGTTAAGAATTTCAATTTTTGTCACTCTCAGGCTACGAAGGTTGCCACTCACAGGCTACGAACACAGAGAACAAAGGGCCTTGAACCCTAAACTTTCAATCAACAAGCGGAGACTTAGCCACTTCATAGCTTCCGCAAAATTTGATTTTGCCAAACCTGTAGTCAGGTGCCATCGAAGTACTCTCAGGGTTGTAAATTTTGCCTCCAAAGGTTACTGCTCAAATCATCTTTTTTTCTAGGACAGGCCGTTTCTTATGCTTTTTCAAAATTTTTCAAAAAAACTTAAGATTTAAATTAACTCATTATCCAAGTTCAAAATACTCAACACTATGGCGAAGTTTTCTGAAGAATTACTCTCAGGATGTTTGTCTAGGCCCCAATTAATACTTTTCAATGTCTTTTGCTTTTTTAGATATGACGTTTTTATCTTTTTTGGAAATTTTCAAAAGTGTTGTTTTTCAAATAAATACTTCTTAAATTTTGGAACTACCGAATCTTTGGCGGAGTGATGTCAGGTTACTACCAGTGGCCTCCCATTCTAGTTTTTCAGCTAACATTTTTTTCTTTAAACTCACAATTAAATGAAGAGAAAAGGGTCTGAGTTTTTAAAATGAATTATGCTTGATTATGAATCTGTTTATGAATTAGATGATTTTGCAATTCAAATTGTTTCATTTTTTTTAAATTTTAGTGTTTTGCCTACGAAGATCTGTAGTTTTAAGAGATTTGACCGTTTTAGTTTATACAAATTCAAGTCAAAATTATTTTTATCGTTCAAAATTTGAAATCAAAAGCGTTGTTCGGTTCCCCGTTTTTTGTTACGATTGCATTTTGCAGTTTTTTTAAATAATTTATGTATAAGCAGCTTTCATGTTCACTAGTCCGTTTAAAGTACCGGAGTTGCGTTACACGCTAGTTTCTCTGAAAAGAGCTGAACAGCTCGTTTGTTCCATCATGGATAAATGATCGTAGTCTGAAAACTGAAAAATAAAAAGACTATTGGTAATGGTCGGAGCAGTGATACTGTATTGAAAAAGTATATTTTTCAGCTACCTCATTTTACAATCTATAAAGTTTAAACTAAATGAGTGATTTTTTGGAGTTTATCATTCCATTTGCGAACGACTCAAATCCGTTAGTGCATAACACTTAAATTATTGTTATATCTGATAATGTTGATAATAGTTAAATCTTCGAAGAGACCAGCTGAAAGATTTTGTCTTTTGTGTTTTCTCTTAGAAACATGGTAGAAATTCGGTCAGTCGGAACTATCTGGGCTCTTTTTGAATTTTAACTTAGGTTCGTTAAAGCACACTCATTATCATATTTTGGAAGCATCAAATGAAGCAAGTTGCATTATGAAAGAAAATTACATTAAGCAGAGACTTGAATGCAAATTAGACTAGCCCAACAGATTGTAGACGGACGACTGCGGTCTGAAAATAGACTGTGATAATCTCACGCAATACTAAACTATTCATATTCTTGGAATATTCAATTTGGCAAATTCGACTGATTAGCATAAATGTCCACCTTTGAGTGTTAAACTGACAATCCTTGAAATTTTAACATCAAAATCTTTGCTAGATCAGATAGCAGACAAAGCAGACAAAGATCAAGTTAGAATCTGTAGAAAAAGGAAAAATAACCTGATTCAAAAATACATCAGTTACTGCTTCCTATGTCCCGCAAAAAAATTGAACTTTCGCAAAAAAAAAATTCAATTCGCAGTTTTTTTGCTTTAAATATCCCACAACAGAAACATGGTAAAAGTATCACCCTTTAATTGTGATGATGGATGCTACTTTCATTCCAAATTCAAAAATCTAATTGAAGAAACTAGTTAAGTATACTCTTTATGGAAACGATTTTAAATGGATTTTGACTGCGCGTTTCACAGTTGGTTCACGAATATCTTTAAGCTTTAATCTCAAGATAATACAAGGAGGTGCAAATGAGGTTCTCATCTTTATTTACATAAAAAGGTTTCTTGACTGCATTCGAAAGGATAATTTTTAACTAGATTGTCAGAATAAAGCAGCAAAATACCTCGAATGCGGAAAGTACGGCGACAATTTTTAGAAATCAAGGCGCCCTTTGAAATGAGCAACGAAGGAATTATATCGGCGCTTTCAACTTCCAGAAACTATGGAAATGACGTCTTTGAAACTTAAATTAGGGATTAAAAATATAAACATTTATTCCTTTCGAAGTTGGATTTAAATATTGATTAACATTTAAAACTGCAATTTTAACTTCAAAAAAACCGAAAACAATGAGTTCGAAAAGTTTCCATCCAAATTTCGTAGGCATTTAGGGATCATAAACAAGACTGCTCGTGCATCAGGGAAAAACCTTGAATGTTCCGACTGCCCTTTATTTGGTCTCGAAAGGTTTTGATAAGAAACTTTTGGAAAACTATAAATTTTGGACAATATCGAAGATCAAGTGTGAAAGTATTAGTACGAAATTCATATGACCGATTAGTTCAGCCCAATTCAATTTGGAACGATTTTGTTATGTGAGATAATTCTCCACGCATCAATAATTCGCGTTAGGCTTTCAAAATTATGAACTGAATTTTCAGAGCGCGCATAAATTAGCCTAGAGCATGCCCAAATTGGCTATTTTCAAACTCCCAGAACTTTGAGTTGATATGTTTAATGCGGTATAATTTTATTGTTACAAACTGTCATTTCAAGCGCTGAAAAGCGACTGAATAGAAAGAACCACACCGAGCATAAATACTCTGTTTTCTTCGGAAGTCGTAATAAAAAAATACTCTCGGAAAGAACCATATGAATATTCGTTGGTCCAGCCAAATGTTTGATTTAAAAAGACTGCTCGTATATCCAGGCAATGATCTGTATGTTCCGACTACTTTTTAAAGGCCAATATAAAAGCTTTTTGGTTGAAAAGTTGACGAAATAATTGAATTTAAAAAAAAAACAATTTCAATTTACCCCCTCACACACACTAATGTAAGCTACAAAAGGGTGCTTCTAGCGTCTTGTATTTTGAAAATATGATCGAATGATTTGCCTCAATTCAACTTGCATTGCATTGATCCGACGCTTATGCATGTTAGAAGAACGTAATACATCTCGGGGTCTAAGGCAACAAGCCGACGGGACTTCAAGCCGAAGGGACTTCAGACCGAATTTTAAACTTTACCTCAAATCACTTTTTTTTTTCATCTGTAAAACGTTGCTTTTCAAAAATTTGGGCAAATCCAGTCCATAATAAGCGTTATTCGTGACAATGAATCACTTAGGATTGGCATCCGTTAATAATATCAACCGGTTTTTGAAATAAATTATAAACAACAAAATTCACTTCAACCGTGTTTTATTTTTTAAACATCATTTGGAGGCTTAACATTTATGAAAACGTCAATAACTACTGAAAAAAGATCATGAAATAGAGAAATTCTTCAAAAAAGTTTTCAAATAATCATATTTTATTACTTAATGAGACAAATTTCGGCGTGAAGTCCCTCATTTTACGACTCATGAAGTCCCGTCGGCTTGATGTCCGGCACCCTATATCGCCGTAATTTTCCCACATAAGCAATTTATAAAACCCTATAACTTTACATGTAATGATCACAGAAAAAAAAACATCTTTCCAATTTTGAGCTCAGGAAAACAATATTTTTCGGATAGTGTAAAAAATTTGTTCAAAATGGTTAAAAAGTCAAAAATTGACTGAATAAAAACCACCCTAAGCATAATTATTCTGCGCTTTCTTCGAAAGTCGGAACAAATATACAGGCTAATATCAAGCATTTGTTCAATCAGCGTCGGTCAAATTGACCAAATGAATCAATGCAAAATATCGGAAAATGTGCCTAGGACTTGCGCCAATTCTGAGCTAATGCTTAAACAAAAACAGCTGGGCCAATTTGAGAAAAAATCTACGGAGCCATAGTTGAGGGGTTTTAGTGAGGCTTACTTGAGAAGCGAGGCAGTCTGGCGGCTCTGTCTGATCATGCGGTGGAGGATGGCCACGTAGATGCCGACTATGGCGAGCAGCGGAACCAAGTATTCGAAAATCAGCAGCAGGATGATATAGGCTCGTCCTAAAACTCTTCAAAATCAAACATTCTTCAAATAGTCATAGAAAACTCAAAAGAAATCCTAAAATGGTTCCATTCCCCGGTACGAGGTCCGCGGCTTAGGTCTAGACCAAAAACTATTGCGCTAACGATGTTACTCAGTCGTGCCGAGGTTGGACGCAGTTCACGCTGCATGCAGAAGAGTCAATCAAAGTCCCGATTTACGACTATCGCCCAAGGTCGGGAAACTTGATGCCACTTTTATAGTTTTGCTGTAGGACGAAGTTTTTATCGTAGATATAGCGGTTTTGCTGTTTTTCATATAGATTTCAAAACTGTTGCAAATCACTTATCTTTCCGATGGTAGATCATAACTCTCGATCTAGAAAACAAACGCTAATCTCGCAATTTTGGCCAACCCATTAGATTAATCGAAAGTAAAACTATAGTTTGTGCTCATCAGGTGATATTTTGTGATATGTTTGACCCGAACAAAACTACAAGATTAACTGGAATGCGAACAGAATGTAACAAAGTTGAATGATTTGCGGTAAACAACTGTCCTTAAGTTATAAGTAGAATATAGGCGCCATATAATTACGCGCACAGCTGCTGAAACGCAAGTCGGGCAAATTGGCAACAAAGTCACACATTTTTCAAATTAATTCAATTTTGTTTTTGCTCAAAGTTTAAACTCAAAAATGTCTACTCAGGACACATACGTTCGAGTAGAGCATACTTTTGGAAATATTTTTTGAAGAAATAAAATTTTGTTACTATCTTCCAGCGATTTTTATACCTTTGTTCTGATCAAACTTTACGAAATATTAGCTTAAAAGAAAACTTATAGTTTTAATTTCGGTTAATTCTAATGGGTTGGTCGAAATTGCGACATTTGTTTTTCTAAAAAACAAAAGAATCACTATATGTACGGCTGCTCTTCAAATTACCCATCTGGAGTCTAAAATTTTGTACAAATGGATTGCGGGGATTAGAAAACAAAATTACTTGTATCAGGGCAAAACCTTTAATGTTTTGAATGCCTTTTAAAGTCCGTGAAAAAGTTTTTTTTTACATTATAATCGAGAAACAGTGAAAAAATTTTGACATTTGAATCTTTTTTCTTAAGCCCGATAAGCTATAGAAAGTTTGAAATGATACTTTTTGCGTCTGGTAATGCGTATTTTCAACGCATGAAAAATGGCACAGGCAAATTATTGTTGGCTTATTAGTTTCAGTTCTAAGTTGGATAGTCAAAAATGGTTAGTTAAAGAACCGAAAGTTGTCTGCACAAAAACCAAATCTACGTTTTTTGTGGGAAGTTTTTCAAAGTGATTCAACGCTGTTTTTCTCAATAGCATCGAATTTAAGCTCTATTGAAATCGAAAACTGCTTTTAATTTTTGAGATGTAATTGGAATGATCAAAAAAAATTTTGAAAAAAGGATTTTTGGAAAGTTTTTGCGGTCATCCAAATATTGCAGTTTCTTAGCTCAGAGTGATCAAAATTGGCAAAAATGATTCGATGCACCGCAAGCAATTATAAGAAAAACTTTTTTGGAACCGTTTTTGAAGGTAATATGTTTTCAAAACTGCTTTTAAAATATGAGCGCCCTTCCTGTTCAAAAAATGTTATGGCTGCTTAGCCAGAAATAGCTATCGTGGTTGTAAAAAAAACAACAGTAGAACTCTTTGGTAAGCAAAACTGAGAATAGGTTACACTCCAGAATGTCGTAATACCATAAATCGCAACAAAAGTCACTCACAATAAAAGACATCTCTCATTATAGCTTTTAACAAATTTATCGGGCAACACCTTAATTTTTTAAACAATTCTGACCTTAAGACAGTGGAATGGCTTTAAAATGCAAGCAAACTTTCAAAACTGCTTTTGAACTGTCAATCGAGAAATGCAATGCTTTTTCGGAGAATTTCATTTTGCCTTTTTCAAGAGCACAATTAACAAAACATTTTCATGCAACAACTATCTGTCATGTGATTTTTCAGAGCTAAAAACACATTAAGCGCCGACAAAAGTAGAGTGCTGATTTAAATAATCCGAACAAAACGAACAAAACTTGAATTTTAAAACGCATTTATCTCAATTTGGGTTAAGATTAAACAAAAAGTGAAGAGAATAAAAATTGCGTAGAATTTCATCAAAAATTTTGGTTGAAAATTTCGGAACAAAAATTGCACCATATAAATTTTGATGAAATTTTAAGCAATTTTGGTTCTCCTCTTTTTTTGTTTAATCTTAACCCAAATTGAGAGAAACTTGTGTGAAAATTCAAATTTAGTTCATTTTGTCCGGATAAATTAAATCAGCACTGTATTTTGATTTAGTTATTATTCAAAATTATTTCAGAAATTTAATACGTTGTCTGATAATTTTGTTAAGAGCTATAAAAGGCAACTCGCAATAAACTCAGCGCCGCAGTCGTGCCAACATATTGCGAGCTTACCAACAGAGAAGAGAGTAGGCCTTAATACAAAATTCAGAGCCGTTGCCTGTGACCTTAAGCCGAAATTCTTACGTTATAAAGTAATTTTCAAACTTTGGAAGCGTTCCTGAAAATTTGAGAGTTGTTTTTTGCTGCGAGTTCTCTTTTGATGCGAATTGTCTTTTGTTTCGAGTTGTCTTTTATAGCGAGGAGTATTTTGTTGCAGGTGGTTAAAAGTTCGCAGAAAGTGGGCTGTGGCCTACCGAGTCGGTGTTTGTCCGCGAAGTCCATGGACCAGAAGTAGCCATTGAACTCCATCTGGTACTTGGGGTGTCCCATTACGAAGGGAGACACAGTCCAGCCGAGAGACAGCAGCACTGATACCACAATTGAACCCACCAAATAAGGAAGGTTCATCAAAGACCGGTTCCTGTTTGAATCTAAACCAAAAATAAGCCCTGAATGCTCCGATCGCCCTTTAAATTGTCTCGAACAGTTTTTTAAATGAAATATTCACAAACTATCAATAATAAATCGAGCAGTTTAGCAACACTTGGTTTAATTTGACCAGACAGTCAAGTTAATATAGTGGTGAGCGCCGCAGCCGGTGTCCACGTAGCCCGAAGATCTAGCACCCAAGTTTACAAATAACCTTTTAAAATATATTTTTTTAAAATCCCAAGCACCAACATCCCAAGTTTCTTTTGAGCTTGGATCCTTAAGGCCAATTAACTTGCATCAATTTAATTTAAAACTAAAGCGATATTGTGGTGCGGTTTAATTCGCGCGCATAAATAATGCGTGTTACGTTTTCAGCATCAAACTAGAGAATGAGCCGTTTAGATGGAGTCGTGGCAGGTTTATAAGGTGGTGTGCGCTCTCACCGGGGCCTACGGAGATCCAATGATTGATCTCCCGAAAGGGTTAAATCAATTGGAAATTGGTCTGAATAAAAACAAGTCTGCTCGCTTTATGGCAAAGCCCTGAATGCTCCAACTGCACATTAACAGGTCTCAAATTGTTTTTGTTTAATTCAACACTGATTATTTACGAAATGTAGGCTGATAAAATCAAATTTTTAGTGGTAGATTTTGAGTCATGCAAAGAATTAATAAGATCAATTAGCCTCCCTTAACTCAATTTAGAAAGATTTGTAGTGCGAGAAAAATCGCCACGCGTAAATCATGCGCGTTACACTTTGGGCATCAAACTTTGAAACGAGCAGTTCAGTTAGACTTGTGTCAGGGTAACATATATTGTATGAGACCTTGGCGGGGTCCACGAAGATCCAGGGATTAATCCCTCGAAAAAAAATCTTTGAAAACTAGTCTGAAATAAAAAAAAAATCACCCCGACCATTTATATATTGCTCATTTTATTTGATAGTGGGAACAAAAAAAAACACTCGAGACCAGAGCTTGCATTTTCTTCATTTTCTTCAAAAAACATTTTCTCCGGAACGAAAAACTAGTGTTTTTTACTATACCAATTCTTGTGAATTCAGACCTCTCAAAAATAGTTTGAAAAATGATTTTTCTGTAATAAATTATTAAATCAAACATGCAAGTGAACAATTATTCTGATATAATGGTTGTGATATTACGAGTTTTTGGACATAATGACATTTTATTTGGTAATTTATACAAATCGAACTTTTTAGTGGACGTTTTTTTTCTTAAACTAATTGATCTTTTCAGTTTTCAGTATGTGTTAGACTAATTCCTGACTGGACCAATTCTTTCATGAAAAAAACGTCTATTGGAAAACTAAGTTTGCATAAAAATCATCAATGAAAATGTCAATAATTCCAAAAATTGGTAAAATCACAGCTGTTTGAAAAAATTGTTCCGTGACATTTTTTAATTACTGATTTAAATTAGAAAAAAACTATCTTCTGTAAAAATTGTGGGTATCTGACTTTGAAAGAGAAAACGAGTAACTGTTCTTGGTGTAATTTTTGCTCAAATTTCAAAAACTTGCCGGAAAATTGGTGCATTGTTTGTTTCGGACTATTTTAAATGTTTCGTTTCAATTAACCGCTTGTGACCAGTTTTTTTTATCTGAAAATTATTGATACCTTGAGTTCAATCTGAAAAAAAAAATATCATGATAACTTTTTGAGCTAAGCAGTAATGAGATTTCCAAAATTGACAGATAATTAATCCGCGCGAAAGTTCAGTTTTCTGTTATTGCGTAGTTTATTTGGCGAACAAATCCGGCTCAGAAATCATGTGATTGAAAATAGGCAGAGTAACAGATCCAAACATAGTGTTAAAATATGCGAGATGTCTAATTTTGTTCTCAATATTGGGTATTAGGAGCACAGTTATGCATGTTGAAAAACAAAATCATTACATTTTGTTCAAATTGACTTACTCAGTAAACATATCACTTTGTTTTTGTTACTATGTTTGTCGAAAACAATTTTAAAAAAATATGAAACTTTTTGTGGGGCAAAGTTTGCACTTGGTGGGGTGCTCTAATGGGAAAAAAATGAAAGTTTTCAAAACAAAAATTCAAAAAAAATTATAATGTTTTAAAAAATTTTTAGATTTTTTTTAGCCAAAAACGTTTCTACACGTAATTCGGTAACTGAAAGATTTGCACCATTCTAGTTTCAGGCAATTACAAGAAATCTTATTTAATTGAAGATTGGTAAATAAAATGTTAGCAAATCTTTTTTTTCATTCTTTTTTGATTTTTGAAAACTTGACAATTTTTCTGCGACGATGATGAGATGAAAGCAAAGCTATAGAAAATTTTGGCGAAATAATTACTACAGTTGTTTCAAAAGTGTCAAAATTATAAATTTAAATAAAAAAAGATGCCATGTAGAACAATCAATAAAAATTTCCTTTTCAAGACTGACTGACTGACTGACTGACTGACTGACTGACTATCATAACTGCATAAGTCCATAAAACCGGCATACATTAACAAGGGCTGGAGAATTATAGCGATAACAAAAAAAAATGAAATTTCAAGGTTGAAAGTAAAACTGTATTATCAAGGATTGACATAAAACCAAAAGTCCACGCCAAAAAAAATCTCTACCGTAACCGTTTTTTTTTCTAAAATGGGGGTTAAAGTTTAATGACCCTGCTAGATATAAACGACTAGAAAACGACACTTATATGAAAAATTTTACAGATGATTTTTTAAGAGTCGATGAAATTTAAAAAATTTTGCAGATGATGTCTTTTTTAAGATTCGATGAACGCAGTTTAGTTTCTTATATGGGTCGCGGTAATTTTTCTTCTACAAAAGTTGCAGGCTCAATTTTATTTTTTCACAATCTGATTGTTATTGTTTTCAAGTACAGTTTGTTGTCTTTGTTGAAAGGAAGGCAAACTCCACAATCGAACATTTAGAAAGAAAACATCAAGAAAAGTTTGTTTCGAAAGTGAAGTTTATTTTCAGATTTTCCAAAAAATTATTTTGTGGGTCGGGTGATAAGAAATGGGGTATAATTTTGTGAATTTGGAATTATTGATTCACGTGAAATCTTCAATTTTCAACTAACGCGTTTAAATGAAACTTTCCGGCTCGCAAATTATTCTAAATTGTACTCAAGCAAGCTCATTGATCTAAATATTATATAAAAACGCAAGAGAATTGCTTGACTTAGCATGTTTCACATTATACCCCCAGCAGATTGCTATATCAAACGGTGAATCATCATTACCTGTAAAATATTCAGGTAAGGGAAACAGGAAAAAAGCCAATTTTTCTGATCAAACTCAAAAACAAATCATAAATATGCCAATAGTACATTCGCAATTCGCGAGTTTCGACCTGATATGATCAGTTTTGTTCAATTGAAAATTAATTTTTGAAATAACCGCATTTGTTTCCAATCAGGATTTTTTATATTATTTTGATGCTCACGATATTTTTTGTGCAATTTGCTTTTTTTGCGATCTGTTGATGACAGATCAAAGCCATACTGCATTTTTGGCTGCATAATTGACCTAGCTATTTTCTTTGATATATTGCTTTAAAAATGTAGCAGAGTCATTACAAAAACCAAACGCGCATCATGGCAGAATAAAGTTCGCATTTATTCCTCGTTTAAATAAAAAGGACATGGAATTCTATAAATTCGAAAGAAAAGTTTGTTTTGTTTTAGGCCCTGCAACAGTTATATAGTTTTAATTTGTCTTTGTTGGATTTAATTTCTTTTGTTAATTTTGAACGTCCGCTTTTTTCTTTTGAACTGTTTAATTAATTTGAATTCCAAATAATTTGTTTTTGTAATTGAATTACACAATGTAGATGATCGTATGCGGGGAAATTTGAAAAGCTTTCAACGTCTCTCTATTTTTCTAGATAATTAAAGCAAACTTTCCTGACATTGCTAAATTATCTGATGTCTTTTTTGTGTTTTTTTGTTCTCACGTAATTGAAAATGTGGTTTTCCTAACCAAGTTCTCAGAAAAAGTTTGGCAAAATTTGGTAACAAGAGCACAATTAAAAAACGAGAGCCTTAAAAAATAAGCAAGTGTGCCGTTGAAAAAAAAATTAAAGAAATGAACAACTAAGATCCACACGCATCTGAAAAAATTTATAGATGATTTCATTTTTCAACGAAAGTTTAGACCGAGTCGATGAACGCAGTTTAGACTCTTCTATGGGTCGCAATGTTTTTTTTAAACGTTGCAGGCTCAAATTTATTTTATCGCAATTTGAGAGTTGATTTTTCAAGTACATTTAGTTTTCTTTGTTGAAAGGAAAGTAAACTCCACCAGCGAACATCAGAAAAGTAAACGTCAATAAAAATGTGTTTCAATTTTAGATTTTCCAGAAAAATTAAATTAAATTAAACTTGCTAAGCGCTGCATGTAAAATGCTCGATTCTGATTGGCTGAATGTTCCCAACTTAGAACCAAGTTAACATCCTCCCCCCTAAATGTGTTTAGGGGGGAGGATGTTAACTTGGTCCAAAAAATTTTTTTCTAAACAATTGGGGATAAAATGAAGAAAAAAGTTCAAAAAATAGTTTTTTTTTCAATTGTTTTTATGATTTTGTCAATATGTTGAGCAAAAACTTTTTAACTGAGCTTAAAGTGAAATCAGAACATTCATGCCCTGATATATTTCGCTCTACTGTACGAATAGTCCTGTTTTGCTTCAGAAAAATTTTTGCACCCCCTGGACAATAGATTGTTTTTTTTTTCACATTTCTGAAGGCTGACAAATTAGGGTTTTTTTGGCAACTGCGAGATAAATTTATCATTTTTAGGAAAAAATTAAATTCTTTGACTAATTTTACCGCTCATCATCGGAAATTAATAGTTTCCCTTCATTCATGAAATGTCATAAGAGAGTGCAAAATTCTTAGTAAAAGGAGCTCATGAGGCCAACATGCAATAAGTTTGACGATCGAGCGGATACTAAAACGCACATTTGTATTCAATTGAGTAAAAATTGATCC